GAGATAGTCCAAGCGTAGCTCTGCTATTTCATTATAGCATTTAAGGGGGATTGCGTTTATTATGGCGTATATTTTGAAAAAAATCATTCCATTAAATTTATTTATTATAAATTATGATTATAAACCAGAACAAAAATTTAACATCAAAAATAGCAATAAAGCTGTCTTTTAATTAATTTTTCGGTGAGGCGTTAGCGCAGTAGGTTTTACATTTTAAATTAAAATTTTTTTAAAAGTTCATTATAAAATTGTCTGATTTATAGCATGGGCATTATGCACTTAATGGAAAATTAAGATTTTTAAATTTAAAGCAAAAAATAAAACAATACCTATGTTATTTTTTGCATTTTAAAGCATTAATTGAGCCCGTTATTTTGAATTTTCTCCGGAAATGCATCCCAAAAGGTTTATAATACCCACCCTATAAATTTCAGACAATTTTATAATGAACTTTTAAAGAAATTTAAAATGCAAAATCTACTGCGCATGTCGGGAAAACCTATTAAACTATCGCCTTACCAATTTTTCTTATATTACAGAAATAATTTTTTTTACATAATTTAATCACTTTTTCTTCATTATATTGGAAAATTTGTTTATTTATTGATTTTATATTATATTGATTTATATTTTAATAGGCAAAACAAAAATTAAAGCAATATCAGTTTTTAACTATACGTATCGGGATACAAAGATAAGATATGTAAGAGCATCACACTTCGTCTTTAAAACTTATCTAATTTAAGCTCTTATTGATATGGGTTTCTTCACAATTTGGAGAAAGAAAAAGAAATATTTTTTCCTCCCAACTAACATGGTCGAAAACCTCTATTTTATCCAAAAAATACTACCTAAGCTTCAAGATTTGGTCAAAAATGGCCAAATTATTTTACCATCTATATGTGATATCTTGAAACTTAGATAATATATTTTATTTAGCTATTTTGATTTAGCCGTTTTAAAAAAATAGATTTTATAGAATCTTTCAATGACAACCATCATATTAAATTTAGCCACAAATTCTTAAACATATGCCCAAATTAAACAAGTGTTTTACTCTATACTTTAATTATTAATAATTCAAAATGTTGCTGGAATTTACAAATACAAGTCGCAACTCATAATTCCCGGAAGAAAATAAAATAAATTATTAATAATTTATATATTATATATCTATTCAGATTATTGATCTTAATGCATTAGTTTATATTTATAAGCTTAACATTAACATTTTGTAAGGACTAATGATATTATAATGTAAAATGAAGAAAAACCCCGATTATTAATGTTATACCTTATATTATCGTTATTATATTAATTAAATTCACAATAATTTTTTTTTTCACGAAATTTAAAATGTGTTAGAAAAGGGATTTTTAGTTGGATAGGAGGGTGGATAATGATTTTGAAAAAATGGGGCATTTTTTTCTGGGCTGCTTATCAAGGCCATTTTTGTCTAGGACACTTTTCTCGGAGTCTTTATCTTTTGAATTTTTTATAGTATCTGTCACACATGTAATTGTTGGTAGATTTGGGGTAAAAACGAGTAAAAATTACTAATGTTTTATATATTGTACCAAATAATTTAATTTTTGAATTAAAAATTTGTATTTCTAGCAGATTTTTAACGGCGAATGTTCCAAGTCGATATATCTAAATTATTTATAATCTATGCTTTTGTCAAGAAATTCTAGAATGTATTAGTTATTATATTTAAACAATAACGAGTAGGGTAAATTCCAATAATAATTAATATTCTGCCATATTTAGGTATGGTGCTAGACAAGGAGTGTTCCAGATATTCGCCCCTTGCCACCATTTCTGCGAATATTATTGGTTGTTTATATTTTAATCCACTCTTTAAATTCAAATTTTTAAAATTTTATGTAATTTTTTTAATTAATGACTTAGCATTGAATTTATACACTTATAGTTTTAAGTATGCGACTAAAAATTTATTATCGAATAGATGCTGTAATAAAAGAACTCTCCGCAATTTAAAATAACTAGTACTGTAAAAATGTCGATGAAAGTAGCATCGGTTATTAACCGTGTTACTTTTTTTGTGGAAGAGGAACCATTCGTTACTTGTTTTAAAAGGGAACGAGTAACGCGTTTATTTTTTTTTGAATAATGATAACACAAAGCGTTCTTTAAATTTTTTCTTAAAAAATATGGAAAATATATATTTTATTATATTATTAAATTTTATAAATATTTAAAGAGTTTTTAATTCAGATTAATCACCTGTTTTTATTTTATTAAAATTTTTTGTTCAAATTTTATACAGTCAAGATTGTTAATCTAATTAGTATTTAATCAATTGAGGTATGTTAATTTAATTTATAATCATATTATAATTTATTTTATAAAAATCAATTCAGATGAAGATGATTTAATTCTGCTTTGGCCCCCAGTATGAAACATTTTTTACACCAATAAGAAAATTTGAAGAAGCTAAATTTATACTTATAAGTGTAGATTATACCTTAATTCAAATATCTTAACCTCAATGTCCATCAGCTAGATTAAATTCTAATAAAGATTTTAAAAAAAAATTGATGAGAAAATGAAGACTCTAGTGAAGATGATCTAATAAATTTTTTTTAAAATTCCTCCAATCATTTCTATTTATCAAATATAATACAACCCTCCCATCCTCTGCGTTAGTTGAACGTGTGAACACTTTTTTTTATCTGATCAAAATTTTGAAATCAATTGTTATAAATAAATAAAGAATTAATCTTATATTTTTTGTAGGGCTGTGCCGATATTTAATATAGGATCTTTAGCGTTTTGAAAAAATATCGGTTCGGTCCGATCTTTTTTTAAAAACTGATCCGATATTTTTTATTGTTTATGGTTATTTTATAATTGTATATATAATTTTTTTTTTTTTATAAATAATTTCATAATAATAAATTAATGAAAGGAAATAATATAAAATTTATTTGTTGTAATGTTTAAAAAAATAGTTTAAAATATTACAATATTATTTATTATATTATCTGCAAAAAGAAACGGATTATTTTAAAACGTCTAACGAGTTTAGTGTTGCTAAACGGTTCGATTTGTCCAATTTTAAGAACAATTAACTCAAAATTTTAGCCAAGAGTACCCATGAAAAAACAGCTAAATCTAGTTTTAGTTTTAATCTACACGTTCCCCGTGTTCTTAAAATATAGCGGAACTATCAAGGACGTATAAATAAACTCGCATCCTAGTGCCTAGCCGATTTTCTTCTGCACCTGTATGTAGGTTTAGCTGAATTCGTTGATTTTTTGCAACTAACTTCAATGACTGATTAATAATTTTTCTTATATATTTCGAAAATATAAAATTTAAAGTAAGGAAAAAAATAAAATTCAGATTCTAAAATAAACAATAGTATATTCGCAGAAATGGCAGCTATATCTGGAAAAACCCCCTTTCTATCAACTTGCCAATTATTTATGCTTATTTATGAAATGAAAATTTACATTTTTTAGTTAATTAATAAATTATGCAAGAAATACCATATTTCTTTTACATTTTGATTTAAAAAAATATTTTTTTAAAAAATAAAAAACTACCATCTAATCTTGATATTGAATGAAACGTATATAGATGATAACCTAAATATTTTGCGAATTTATTTCTTTGTCTAAAAAATTTATCGTCTGATATTTATCTTTCCCTGAATAAATTAAAGTTCAATTCCGAATACATAGAATTTAATTTATAAATAGTAAATCCAGATGACTTATAACAAAAAGACAATGGACAAAAATACCTCAATTTGAATAAATTTTTAAAATGCTTAGAAACGGTAATTTAAAAAAAAAATTATTAATTTATTTCACACAACTCATTAGATTTTACCGAATGTATTGGGTTTGCTCTCAAGTAAAATTATTATTTTACTTCATTTAATATAAACACTAACCCTTATCATTGTTGTATAAACTTAATCTATCGCTAACGCGGTCCACGAGCTCTTATCAGACCTTAGTCTGAACCGCGTAGTTCAGTAAAAACTAAAATAACTTATTGGCTGCTTCAGCAGCCTTATGTATCTTAAAATTATACCGAAAATTGCCATTTTTTTTTCTAATATAAACACTAAATCTTTGTTGCATAGGCATAAGCCAACCGCTAATCTGGTCCACAAGCTCGGTGTCAGACCTTATCTTGAACTGCGTAGTTCAGTAAAAACGAACGCGTGGGTTTACTGTTTTTAGTATTTCTCATAATCTACTTTTATGCTTAGATTAACCCTACATCAGGTCTTGCCATGAACCGTTTGGCAATACATTTAGCCGAAACCTAAATTTCTCCAGTACTCCACATGTGTACATAGTTTTTTATATAAAAAAATTTGGTAAAAATGTACAGCAGCTGCTCATTATCATTGGTTAATATTATTTTAATAAAGAATGAAATATTTGCGAGGAAGAAATGAAGATATTTTTTTTAAGTTTCCTCTTTTTTTAACATTTAAAAAAAATTATCACAATTTGAGTATTTTTGTCCGGTGTCTTTTTTTCCGTTGTATTTTTGTACAGTATTTATCTCCAGTGTCTTTTTGTCCAGGACACTTTTGACCGATTACTATAAAATATGGAAATGTTGACCTAATCATTCATAAAATAATAGAATAGAATACAACATCGAGTACAAGTAAATAAGGTGTTTTCACTAGGTATGATTTTTTTTTATCTGAGCATTGAACATTACGCCGAGATTAAGAGCTTTGTTACTTAGAATTTTTATGATACATTAAATTTTTTGCCATATTAATTTAGAAGGGATTTTTATTGGGGAGGGGATAAGATAATTAGGTTTCGTGATATTTAATAGATTACCATTATCACATCTCTCACCCATTTTATAAAAAATGACATTAAGTAACTAGTTGATTTAATAAGATTTTAGATAAATTATAATATTTCCAATTATTATTTTTTTAGACAGGTATGATCATAATCAAATTTAATTATGAATTTTAAATTAATTAATAGGATGCCTTGTACACACTTAATACCATGAAGGGTACTAGTACACATGATAATTACATTGCGGCCAATAAAAATAATAATATTGGTAATACGAGACATCGAGGATCTAGTTTGTCCAAATCTAGTCAAAGAGCTCGATCTTCTCACAATGATAGGAAACATAATACAAATCGGGTACAAAATTAATTATAAGTTTTCTATGTTCATTTTATTTTTTTGGGGATAGGAGGGGGAGCAAAAAAGAAACCTTTCTAAATCAAATTGCATGATATATATCAGAAACCTGCAGAGGTACCATTAGTACAGCCCGGATTTTTTTTCTAAAATTTTCAAACCCGGCCAAGGCATATTTAAAAAAATTAAAGTCTGATATATATTAATGCTCCTTTTAATGATTCATTTGAATAGTTATACTAAATACTTAAATTTAAGATATCGATAAAAAGGGTTTTTTTTAAAGATGCTTAAAAAATAATTGATAATGCTATATAGAAATATCTCTATTTTTTAAACATAAAATGGAGCCCTCAGTCAATTCGTTTTTCCAGGTCCTGCCCTATTCATAGAAAATTTTTTTTCGACCTATCCTATTTAACTATTTTTTTTAAAGAAGCAAATCCTATTCGATATCGAAAATTTATGGTAAAACTAAATGTCAACTTTTCCTTTTTGAAATTGATTTTTCCTAATATGATTGACATTTTTATTCATCAAAACCCTTTGTATTAGGTATATTTATTAATAAAATATATACTTTGAATGCCATCGGTTTTAGATTATGCATTATTTTATTTATTATAATAGATTGATTGCAGTCCCTATACCTCACCTTACCTTTCTCCACCATCTCCCGATTCCTGCTGGAGGAGGTAAATTTGTTATTAAATAGGTAAAATATAACACATCTTTTCATTTTAAAAGAACTAATTCCGATTCAGCCCTCAATCAAAGTTCGAGCCCCGCTGACCTTTCCTCTGCCGAAACCAGCCCTGACGCAAGACACTTTACAAACACGCATTCAAACTATAACGCCAATCAAAGTCATTTATATTTTAATAATGGCGGCGAACGTAACCCGATGAACTACAATACCGATCATAATAGTTACACATCTTCATCCCCTTCTCCTTCCCCAAAGGGCCATGTTTATCAAAATCAAACTAATTTGGTGCGTTATGATAACGGTTTGTAATTCACTATTATCTTGAGAAACATTTATGAAAAATACTAACATTTGTTTAACATCATTGTTTAATCTTGAACACTAGTATACAGAATTTGTGACAAAAGTGTATAAGCAGGAACAATTCAGAGGAATAATAATTGTGATGGTTTTTTTCCCTTCAAAAAATTGGGGTTTGTGCATACCTTACACATTCGTTAAGGATTTAGTTAACTATTTACTATTATACCGATCATACTTTGAACATTTAATAGTTTTATAAAATAAATTTATTTTATTTTGACTTGATTTAGGAAAAGCGAATGCTTCTACAGCCAATAATCATCCTTACATAAATGTGTGGGACCCATCCTTCACTTCGGTATAATAAAAATTTACCATTTTATACATTTATACCTAAAATATTATAGCGCTTTATTTTAACACTAATAAGCTAATTGAAACTAGGGCTCAACCAAAGCAAAAGTAAATTTAATTTAAAAAAAATTAAAATAAATGCCTGTCTTTTAAATAAAAATATTTTTCATTGAAAATTGCGAATGTCATTCTTAGATGGGTTTTAATGTTTTCTATAAATTTTCGCTTGGAAACATTGTGTAGGTGGCACACTTTTATTTAAAAGTATAAATTTCAATTATATTTTTTTGGGCATCCTTTACCCATGCTGTAATTAAACAGATTAACGTCATTTTTAAAATGTGATTTGTGAATAAGCACCATAGAATATAAATTAGATATTTATACAATTTATTTTAGTAAAATATAAATAATTTGTAATAAATGAAGGGGATTTGATAATCATAAAATAATTTATGCAATATTTATATAAATTAGAGCTCACTTAAAATTCTCAAAAACGATTATCAAATTTTTTGTCTGAGGGCCAAAAAATTTTATTAATGCTACTGACTCCCAAATTTTCTTCCCATAGATACGGCCTTGTTTGTGGTTACACGATTATTTTCAATCAAATTTTCATTATTCAAAAAATTGTGAATATTTTTCAACGAATTACAAAAGCATTAATTTTCATAAAAAAATATTATTTTTTCTAAATTATTTTGGTAGTAAAATTGGAAAGATCTACTACAAAATATAAAAGCTTTTAGATTGTAATTAATTTTTTTTAATATCTCATTACAGATCTTTTTTTTAACTCTATTTTCTTTTTTAAAAAAATTATATTTTGATTATACCAAAATAGACCCAAAATCAAAAATGCTGATTATTGAGCCCTGGTTGGAACCTACATTTATTAATATATCTATTCTAGGAGTATTAAAAAGTCCGATTTGAATCGATTTTTAACAATGATTCGATTACTATTTTAGCCAAAATAATATTATTTGAGCTTGGAGATTATTATTTTGGCTGAAATCTCAATCGTGTATCGGGCTTTTTAATAACCCTAATTCTATTCTTAATAAAAAAAAATTTTTATATTTTATGTATCCCTTTTCTGCAACTGCTTACGAACAAATAATTATGGGCTGACAATAAACTAATTATGCACGCTTAAATCACCGTTATCAATTGTTGCTATATGTGTATATAAATATAAACCCGTGATTAATTTTCTATGCCTGTTTGTGTTGTAATTCATGTCACGTAACCTTTTTATCGCTGACTTTTAAACCCGCCCTCAACTGCATCTCCCTTAAAATTAAAACTCTTTAAAAAAGTATTTTAAATACTCTCCTCATTTCGAAGTTTCTCCCAAGTTACTTCGTTCAAAGACCCCTATTTCCCAATTCCAAACGCCTAATAAAAACTCTACCATCCAAAATTTTGACGACCTTTCCACTATAATAAGATTAGACGACCGTGTTACTACAAAACGCAAAAAGAAGAAAAATATCCACAATGGCAAGAATATAACTACCGAAAATGTTATTAAAAGATATAACTCCACCGGTTGCATGGTTAAACAATTATTTACTCAATCTCCTGGAACGAATTATCGCGTGACGACAAATTATGATATCGTTTCTCCCGTCAAATCCGTCCAATCAGCGTTGACCCCTGCAGGGCTCGTGAAAAATCAACAAAATCAATCTAATTTGAGCCAAACGTACCCCGTCGGTAATATAACGAAAACTAAAACAAGTTCTTTAACCGGCCACCACGGTCACCACAATGAAAATAGAGTCCACTTTAACCTCCGACCATCCCTCTTGAACCCTAGCTCTTCGTCTTCCAATATGCTCAAATTGTGTTTATCGCAAATATACCTTAATAAGATTAAAGTTTATTCTCTTTTATTAAATAATACCCAAAGGAAATTAGTATAATTTTAATCTATTTTATTTTATTAGATTGTATAAAAATAAATAATTTTTTATAACCTCCCCCTGCTCTTTAAACATGTTTGATTCCAGAGTCCTACTTAATATTTATTAGTTTTCTTGGGACATTTTATAATTTTTGGTTCCTCGAGGAATTTAGTGTACCCAGGGTTATAAACTTTTGTTATATTTATTATACTCATACATTTGTATTGCATGCACATATTAAAAGTTATGTTTTTACCTGTTTCCGCTTATAATATATTACGCTTGATTTCTAGTTTTTAACGTTTTTATATTATACGTGTACAAACTTCAAAGTGTAATCTTGATGCTTCTATTTAAATCAAACTTAAATGTTGATCTATAAATAAAAAAATTTTGAAAAATATTTATCAGCACCAAAATAACAATCTTAGTGAGAATATGAGCGAAGTTAATGGCCTATCGGATCGATTTAGGTCTCGCGAAGTCCCTGGAATCAAGTTAGTGATTATTTTATTATTATTAGCAGGGATTCGAACCCGAACCCGGGTTCAAGAATTTTAAACTCTATTTAACGGAAATTTTGGTAACAGGAACTTAATCGAGACCGATTTTCAAAATGAAGTCCGAGCCCATCCCGGTTCCATTTTACCCCGGTTGCGATGAGTTGTCCATAACGGTCTCTGTTTGGTCTGTGATCTCAGAATGTCCAACCAAATAATTTTAAATTTCTGAACCCTGTTCGGTTTCACATCCCTGTTTATTAAGGATTTTAATTGTAAATTCAAAACATATTTTTAAAAAAGGGTGTTAAGTTTTCCTAATTATTTCTTTCTTTTAAGATGCGCTATTTTCAGAGTTTGACAACCTCTAAAAAAATTTATACATAAAAAATAACATCCTTTCCTACTGTTTGATTAATCTTACAATTTACTTTAATTTGGTTTTAGGAAATTATTAACAAGAAGTTCACTACTACGATTTTAAACAAAAATTTATATGCAAGCACCAGATATAATTAAATATGTGATTAGAGTGGCTTTAATTTTGGAAAATTTTAATTCCCAATATTTCATATAATTCAAATATTAACGAATGATTTGAATAATTATTAAAATTTATATATAATTTATTACGAATAATTTAAATTTATTATTCATTAAATTTTTTTAAAATTAGTCGTTTTTCTAATCGAATAATTTGTTATTCGTATTCATAAATTTCAAATCAAATATAGTATAATTTTTGATAGGACTAGTCCGTAGACATTTTGAGCCACGAGTTTGATATTAAAGCGATGATTTTAGCTCCTTCTTTTTTTTTACAGAATTTTATGTGATTGGACCTAGTTTTGTTAAACGGTTGATTTTTAAAAACGGTTAGCTCAATATTTTAGCCAAAAATTATTACGCAAGCATCAAGATTGTTAATATATATCCAAACCTTTCTGCCAGAGGAAAATCTCCTGGCTTGTCTAATATTTTTTTGGCCAAAATCTTGAGTTGCCCTTCTTAAAAATTGAGCCGTTTAACACATGATTGAACTTGAAATTATTCCATTAATACTTAATGCTATTTTTAATTCTTAGGATAATTTCTACTAAAAACAACGATGACTTTCAAAATAATATTGCCATGTCGCTGAATAATGCCAATAATATTGACTTTTGTAACAATATCAATGATATCAACGGCAGTAACGAATGTAACAATACTGGATCGTTGCCTGATTTGTCCAGCTTACATTTCCCTTCTTCTCTTCATTTATCTTTGGATAACGAAAATTACATTCCCAATTCAAGAGAGGTATTCTTTAAACAATTATTTAAAGATTTTTTTTGCAAATTAGATATATTTTCGTACTTAGATTGATTTTCCCTATAAGTGTTAATTCTCGCGACATCAGATAGCAATAAAAAAAATTACAATGGTTTTAGTTCTTATTTAGATTTTTAGGCGCTAATTAAATTTAGGGGTTGAGGGAGCACCTTTTTATCTCACCTTGGTGACACCTGCTTTATTTTATTATTCATTACTAACTGACACTCTTAGGTTTCTCAACCATTATCATCTCCGCTAAACTTTCATCACATGTCGAATAACGATATCGGCGTGAGTTCTCCTTGCAATAACTCACAGTATTTGAATGTTCCGTCCCATATTAATGCTCCTATAGCTGTTAACACGGCTCAAAACAATTTTTTGGATAATTTTGAAAAATATAATATTACTCATAATATCAACAATGCAATGAAAATCGAGGATTTTAAGAATGGACCCATCAGAAACGTAAATGGACTTATTGGAGGAGGAATTCCAACTAATTATAGTATTATTTTTTTTTAAAAAAAATTCTTCCAATTTGTGTTTTCCTCGTGACAGCATTTTTTATTTATTTTAAATGTAAAGTTTTATTTATGTTGAAATATTAATATAGCCATGATTTAATATTTATAACTTAAATATAATATATTATAATAAAATGTCAATATAGCTAATGCTACATGATTAAGAATTGATGAAAGATTCTTTTCAAAAGTATTTAGATACAGATACTTGAACTAAAAAATTAAAATGTATCTCGTACAGATACCATTCAAGATACAATTAATATGTATATTTTATTTTTTTAAATTGGAAATTAAAATGTATCTCGTACAGATACCATTCAAGATACAATTAATATGCATATTTTATTTTTTTAAATTGGGTGGGGGGGGGTAATGTTGATAAGTATTCTAATATTAATTTTGATTTCTTTTCTTGTCTTTGAATGTTAATAAACTAATAGCAATAAAATTATTTTTTTTCTGACATTTTAAGCCAAGTTAAACAAGTGTGAGCTGATTGTTTTTTTTCAATTTCTTCTTCATCAGTATCTCTAACAAATATTATTAACATCATTTAAATTATTATATATTTTAGTTAGAATGAAAAGAAATGTGGAATTTATGGTTCCACGGGCAATAGAATGATTCTTCGTAAAAAAACAATAATTTCTTTATTTAATTTAAAATAAATTCACAACTTTCGTATAAAGATATAATTCTTTTATTTAATTTACAATTAAATCCAAAAATTTTCGGATAAAAATTATATGATACGGGTTCAGTAATCAGTGTCATGAGTGTTAAGCAATTCAATAAGATTTGGCCGGGACATACAGGAAAAGATGAAGGTAACTCAGTTTGATGGGTCTATAATAGTAATTTTAGGATTTTATATAATAAAAGTACCAGGTATAGGTGGTAGTATTAAATTATGGTTGACCACCCAGAAAACTGAACCGATATTAGGCTGGGATAATATTAAAATTCTAGGTCCAGGTAATGCATGGTGGAATTTATTTAAGGTACAAAAAAGTAAGGGGAAGTTTTGTAAAAATTGTGTGAATAAAAAAAATAATAATGGTAATATTATTAAGAAATATGTTGATGATGAACGTGTTAAAAATCGTATTAATAAGGAGGATAATAAATATAAGATTAATGAAATAGATAAAATAAAAGTTGAAAATTATCGAGATATACGTGTGCAGATAAATTGTATAAAGGAGATAATAATCGGGGTAATAATAGAGTAGAGGATGAGGTTAAAATTAGTAATAAGGGTATAAAAGTAATGAAAGATTTTGTATGTTCGGAATTGAAAGAGATACTAAATAATAATAATTTTAGTATCCCTGATAATGAAACTTTTGCCATGGAAACATTAAAGGAAAAGATAGCTTATTTCCATTCTCAAGATAATTGTGGCGAGGAAAAATTCTTAAATATAGATGACAGAATAAAGGGAATATATGATGAACAATTACAAAGGATTAGTGACAATAATATAAATAACTGTAATGAGGGAGACAAATTACCAATGGGAGAAGATAATATCAAATATAATAATAACAAAGATAATGATGAAGATAAAATATGCAAAAGTAATGATGGTGCTATGGAAAAGGATAATGAAAATAATGATAATATAAATATGAATTCTGAAAAGGAGAGGGGTTTAAGGGAAAATAATGAAATAAAGGATACTGGAGAAGATATTGAAAAGGGGAACAAGGTTTGGATGAATAAAGACGGAAATGAAGTAATAGTAATAAATGACAATAATATGGTGAAGGAAGCGGATAAGGTGATGGAAGATAAATATATACAAGAGATGAATGAATTATTGATATGCTACAATGAGTTTTTTATAAATGAACTGGGTACATTAAACAATTTTGAGGTGAATATAAAATTGAGAGATAATTCGATACCTAAATATTGCCCAATTCGTCGAGTTCCTTTTGAATGGCGGGATGATATAGAAAAAGAGTTAAACAGATGGGTGCAGGAGGGAATTATAGAGTCAGTGGATAATAGTAATTGGGCGACACCGTTAGTACCTATTAGAAAACCCAGTACTCTGAGTTTATGTGCTGATTTTCGGATCACGATAAGTAAATGGGTTCAGGAGATCAAGTTTCCGCTGCCTAGAATCGATGAAATTTTAGCTAGTCTAAAAGGGGCCAGGTATTTTTCAAAGGTTGATTTTGCTAATGCATATTTACAGTTAAAAGTTATAGCGAAGAGACCAGTAAACTGTTGACTATAACGACGCAAAAGAGATTGTTCAACTTTAAGCGGTTACCATTCAGGTTAAGTGTATCGGCTTCAATTCTTCAAAGAGCAATGAAATTCAATTTTTCAAGGAATGGAGGGAATTTTTTATTATATGGAATGGACGACCTGTTGATTAGTGGGAGGTCCATGGAAGAACATAATAAACGATTAGAGAAGGTATTACAACTTATCAAGATGAGGGGATTGCGTAAAATAGAGAAAAGAGTATGTTTGGAGTCACCAGGGTAACATATTTAGGACATATAATAGAAGACAGAGAAGTCACGTCATTAAGTAAAAATATTGAGGGTATAAAAAATATGCGATCGCCAAAGGACAAGAAGGAATTGCAGTCGTTTATGGGAATGATAAATTTTTATCATCGATTTATTGAGGCTTTTGCAGAGATCGACGCTCCATTATATGACTTATTGAAAGATAATACACCTTTCAGATGGTTGGAAATTCAGGAAAGAAGTTTTAAAGAGTTGAAGGATAATATATGTAGAAAACCCATTTTATTATGTCTTGATAATGATTTGGAGGTGATTTTATCAGTGGATGCTTCTGCAAGGTGTGTGGGAGGAGCACTTTTACAAATATTGGAAAGGCCTGTTAAATATTTTTCGCGAAGCTTCAGACCGGCGGAGGAGCATTATTCGGTTATTGAAAAAGAATCATTGGCGGTTATATTTAGGCTCATGAAATGCAGAGAGTATCTGATCGGGCGCCGATTCATTATATATACCGATCACAAGCCGTTAATGTATCTATTCAAAAAAGATAATAAGGAATTGATGCTGTCTCCTAGACTGCAAAGGTGGTTGTTAGTTGGAAATTTCAATGTGGAGGTACGTTATAGACCAGGAAGGATTAATCATTTGCCAGATGTGTTGTCCAGATTATGTTTCGAGGAAGAAATAGTGAACGATGAGGATAATTATGATAATGGAGCGATTAGGGAGTTATCTTTCAGGAATGGTCCAGTGACTTGGTAAGAAATAAAACAAAGTAGGATAAAGGATGAGGAGTTAAAAAAAATTAAGTAATGTTTAATAGGCGGAAAAAATTGGGAAAGGAAAGATAATCCATACAGATTGGTGGAACAAGAAATAACTATTATAGATGACTGTTTGGTGAGAGGTAATAGAACTATAGTACCGCGAAAATTGAGAGATAAAGTAGTCAGAATGTTGCATGCGGGACATCAAGGGGTAAGTAGAATGAAACAATGGGCTAGAGAATATGTATGGTGGCCGTCAATGCAGAAGGATATTACAAAGGTCTGCAGAGAATGTTTAACTTGTAATATTTGGTCAAATCTACCCACAAGGAGGAAGGGTGATAGCTGGAAGGAAACTACACAGGCATGTGAAAGGATACATTTAGATTTTTTTGAGTGGGAGAAAAAGTATTATTTCCTTATAGTGGATGCTTTTTCCAAATGGATTGATTGCTCAAAGGTGTCGGGACTAACGTCAGTTATAGTTATACAAAGATTGAAGGAATTTTTTGGGAAATATGGAATGGTAATAGTAAGGGATGGTGGTACGGCATTTACAAGTGTAGCGTTTAAGATGTTTTGTGAGAGGCACGGTGTAAAGCATGTTATAACGGCTCCAAATCATCCCAGTTCCAATGGGCAGGCCGAGAGAATGGTTGCAGTGGTGAAATCGTGGTTGAAAAAGGAGAGGTATGGTGATGGTGAAAGATGGTTATCGCAATTGTTTTACAATAATAGCAGGAATCAAGATGGGTCTCCGGCAGAAAAATTTTTGCGAGGAAGGGCATTGTTAATGCTGGATTCGTTAAAGGAAGGAAATGAAAAGGTTGGAGGTGTAGTGAAATCTAGTAAATTTTGCCTGGGACAAGAAGTGTATATTTTAATGTTCAAAGGAAAATTCCGATGGACGATCGGCAAGGTGGAAGAAATAATTGGTAGTGTTAAATACAAGGTTAAAGATGACAATGGAATAGTATATTGTAGGCATCAAGATCAATTGAGGCCGAGAGAGGAATATAAAGGAGGGGAGATGTTGTAATTATGAGTATATGATAGAGATATGGTGATTGATGTTGGAGAGTGTTGTGTATTTTTTTAAAATGAATAATGTTTTTTTTTATTATTATGTATGAAGGAAAAAAAGTCATGATGATTAGAATTAAAAAGTCTTTGATTTTTGATTGTAAATTAAATAAAAGAATTATATTTTTATACGAAAGTTTTTGGATTTAATTGTAAATTAAATAAAAGAATTATATTTTTTATACGAAAGTTTTGAATTTATTTTAAAATTGAATAAAGAAATTATTGTTTTTGTACGAAGAATTATTCTATTGCCCGTGGAACCATAAACATTTCTTTTTAACTAAAAGATATAATAATTTAGCATATTTTTATCATCCGAAATATAAAATATTAACGTTTGTCTTGAATTGGAAAAACTAGAACAATATTAAATTTAAATACTTTTTTTAACAAATAACGAAAAATAATTGAGTAAAAATGTATGGTAAATAATTATTATACGGGCATTTTTGTATCTAGATACTTTAAATACTCGTGTTTTTTATAGTATAAAGACCCTATATCTCATGATTTTAGAGAAAATCAGATTACATAAATAATTTTTAGCTTTAAACAAATTTTAAAATTGTGAAATTTACCATTATAGCTTTAGGACAACACCTTATCTAACATCAGGCCTTTGTGCACATCTTATATATACCAAATCAACTTGGCAATATCATATCTTGGGCCATTAAATCATTTGATTCTCCTTTTTTTATTCAAATTTAATGTTTTTTATCCATTCTGATTTTTTTTTAAATTTTATAGACTACTCCGCTTTACCGAACGAAAATAATATCAGCCCTAATTTGTCGTATACCCTCGATTTTGATATCAATATTAATAAGAATTCACCGACTCAAATAAATTCCTCCTCATTGAATCCTAGCAATACCTCCCTATATGTATATTATATAAATAAATTGATATATTACGTTATTTGCTTATTTTAAATCATTAATAAGGTAATTATTTTATTACAATTATACAATTATTCATTTGTACTTGCAGCAAACTTATGCTCAAAATAACGACCAACATTTTGGCTCTAGGGATAAAAGTAGGTCCTTCGCTACTTTATACGAGCCAATCAATGATTTTCCAATCCAGAGTTATAACAGTAGCACTGGCTACTTGGCTATCTCCGGGTCTACAAACGTCCATAATTACAACCCAACTTTTTCTTCTTACAATTCTAGCGTAATAAAATAAAAAATACAGTGTATAACTTCGTATAATTTTTTCCAATTTTTAGTTCTTTAATTTTGAAAAATATCATAATTTATAGTGTAACTTCATTTTTAACTTTTAATTTCTAGCCAATCTTGAGAAATGATATAATAGATTATACTTTATTAATTAATGTTTTTTTTAATTATCTTATGGAACGAGTAATTTTTTGATAATAATTTATTTTTAAAATTTTTACATATAAATTTATTACTAGAATGAGGAAGATATAAACAAGGATCCCATGATGAGCGATTTCAGTTCATATTATTCGCCCTCTGCTAGTACCACAGGCCGAAACTTTAATAGGCAGCATCATCCTTTTGTAAATATATCTACATTTTTTCCACTTAACATGTAAGATAAAGGGACTGACAATAAAAAATTCATCATTATCAAAATATAACATGTTTTTAATCATCTATTTAATTGTATTTTGATTTTAAAAAGTTTTCAGTATTACATAAGATTAGTATTTTTAATAGCACACCACATGGGACAGGTTTCTAATGGCTCCCACTCTATAATAAATACCCGAGAATTCTTCAGAGTTGCTTTCGCAGAGCTTAATTTTTTATATACATAAATACTTCATTATCTTTGGAAATCTTTTTAAATTTTAGACTCGATCCACCAACTATGCAATGGCTCAAACGATAGATTTTTCTCCCTGTCAAAAGCTTTTATCGGCGTCTTATAACGAACAAAAATTTTTGGACCGTTACGCCTCGGGTATTTTGGGAATTTAAGAGAAGAGTTTTATGAGTGATTTGTCAATTTTAGAAAATTTTCTCAAACTTATAAACAAACTAATTAATTAAATTTAATGCTAAGTGATAATTCTTTTGCTACATTATATATTCTTCCTTTTTTGTATGTTAAAAGTAAAATTAACTAGTGCGCTAAAATTTAGTTTTATATAATATGTGATATTCTAAGTTATAATATAAAAGTAAAAGGTATTAAATTACAAAAAAAAGGTAATTCGGAATTTAATGATAACAATTTTGCAAATGAACAATTTATGTCTACTTCCTACAGACGAGCAAAATCTCAGGAAAATAATCTTAATCGGATAAATGAGAGGTGATTATAATATTTTTTAAATAACCTTAAAATAGCTCAAATCTTATATTTTCTTTATCTTTTTATATAATATATAAATTATAAGTGGTTGTCGTTGTAATATGAATACACATTGTACAATAAATTTTTATTTTTGTGTTAATAGTTTTTATAATAAATAAGACACTAGTCGTCATCATGGTTAAAGGCAACAAATTTTTTTCGCCCTTCATATATTATGTTCACATAAAATGTCATTTATTAAATCCTAATTATTGAATATTATAAACGTTTTTCCCCCTTGATTTTTAGGTCCAACGATTCTTATCTGACTCCCCAATCCTGTGCTTTCAGATTCAACAATCACTCTCTCACTAATTCACATTCACATATATTACTGAAAAATGACAACAGTGATAAATTGACCCTCAATTCGGGTATGATGCATGATTTCGATAACTCTACAACCCATAGCCTGGGTAATCACAACACTGTTGCCCCTGATATGTTGGTTCCGCCTTGCGCATCTCTTTCCAATCTTTCATCATATTACGGCTCCACTTCTAACCTAGAATCCTTTTTGATTCCTGCCGCCACCCTTTCCTCTTTTTCTAGTCAGGACGAAATGTTCCACCTCAAAACCAGCAATTTTAACTCTAAATATAGTAGGTCTAGCCCTGCCCGAAATGAAGTTAACGCCACTTTAGAAATGAGCGGAATGGATTATATAAATAATGATTCAGCAATTCTCGGAGACATTCTCATGAATAATTCTATGGGTATAATCTATTTTAGTTTTCTTTAAATTTATGCTCCTGGTTTCAATTAAAAATTTTATATGGTCAATGGCTTAAAGAGGCTTTCTCAACCTTTTACTAGCTAACTTTAAAAGGTTAATTAGTACTTGCTCTCGTGTATGGTTATAAATTCTTTAGCATTCTAGATAAAAAGATAGCTCAAAAATGGAAGTGAACTATGCTTTTTTTTTATTAGAATGTATTTCAAATCGAATGTATTAAGAAAACTACTGAGAAACATTTTTTTAAATATTTTAATTATTATTTTATTGGTCTGTATTTTATATTTTTAAACAAAAGAAGAATAAGGCTATTTAAGCAGATCACGGGGTCGGGTCTATTTTTAAAAAATAATTTCGGTTCAAGCTGAATCGGGCCTAATATTTTTTAAAAAATTTCAGGCCTGGTCTGGCTTAAATTTTTAAATATTGATATCATTACATTTTGTGAAATAAACTGATATATTTTAAAATTCAACAATGCGCTAATGTTTTTTATTTGTAGATTATTTTTTTTACAATCAAAAAAATTATTAAATTTTTATATATTTAAATATATTCGGACGGAGCCAGGTGGACAAATTATTCTTATTTTGGGTCGGGCTTTAAGGAACAAATAAACAAAATTTGTTCGGGATGGGCCGGGTAGGACAATTTTTTTGAAATATTAGGCCCAATGTAGATGATAATTTGAATACATGATATTTTTTTTAGGCGGTGTCTAAAAATATAAATAAATCTTGAAGAAAAAAAAGAAGCTATTTTTAATGTAAAAATAAAATTTGGTTCTAAATCAATTCTCGTCACAAAAATATATTTTTTAAAAAAAATAATAAAAATTAATAAATTTATTCAAATTTATTTAGTTAGGTAATTTTTATGAAAAAACTAGTAAATAATTATTAAAAAGTATGTTTTTCGAATTTAATTCTCTTTTTTTTTGTTTTTTGTTTTTTGGTTATGTTTTTTTCTTTTCATTTTTTGTTTTTTTTTCATTTTTATAAGACTTGGCCCAAAATGTTTTGTTAATAATTTGCCAAAATATATAAATTATTAGGTTTTTTTCAAAAACAGCCTTATAACTATAAAAAATATTTTATTTATTTTTTGTCTTCTGTGTTCAAAATCTAAAAAACATAAATAAATAAATTTGGAAGAAAAAATAATTCATGTAAATATAAAATAGTGTTCTAAATTATTTTTCGTCATTTACAAAATAAATTTTTTAAATAGTAATTCTTACGAAAAAACTAGTAAATAATATTAAAGTATTTGGTGACATTGTTATTTTTCGTATTTTATTCTCGTTTTTTTTGTTTTCCGTTATTTTAATTTTGTTTTTTTCTCGTTTTTTTGTTCTTTTCGTTTTTCGTTAATTTTTACAAAACTTAAAAAAAAAATAATGGAAGATTTGGGATAGTGTTGTTAAACGGCTTGTTTTGAGTTGATTTTTAAAAATGGCGAACTCAATATTTCATCTATAAAAATATTACGCAAACCTGAAGATTTTGTTCATAGATGGAACAAAGGTCTAGACCTATATTATCGAAATTTCGAGGCTTAGGCAATATTTTTCTATTTAAAATATTGAGTTAGCCGTATAAAAATAGGTTCAAAACGAGCCATTTAACAACACTAATTTGGGACATGTTTCATAATTTTATTAAATTGCGAAAATTGATAGATTTTGAGGTTTTTTTTTCAAAACATTTTGGACACAGCCATATGAAAGCCAAAAAATGATTTAAAAAAAATAATTTAAAAGATGACGATATCAACATGAAAATCGGAGGTAATAATGTAAACATTATAGATGATAGATATGACTCGATTGCACAAGATATTGTTTTAGACAATATGACAAGTATATGCGCTTATATTAATTTTAATTTTAGCATATCATTAAAATATTATATTATATATATTTTATTTAGTAATTTTATATATTTTTATATAGTTGTTATAATATTTTAGTGTTTTATCATTTTTTTTAAAATTATACCAATATCAATATTATCAAAATAAAATTTTAACGATTTATTATAAAAATTCACCGATACTATGATACTTTTATATCCCGATACTTTCAATTTTAACTTATTACCAGTGACAGATTTTCACCTTAATCATTTTTTAAAAAAAATTGGCCCATTATAAGCCATGAATAAGAAAAAGTAATTGATTTACAATTTTATAAACAGATAAGAAAGAAAAGCTTTTATTTTATTTTTAAAATTTTGTTGAAATTAATTTTATTGCTAAGTTAATAAACATAATATAAAATAAATTTTTATTTATATTGAAAGGAATTTTTATGGCTTAAATTAATGCGAAAAAGTGATATCGGTGCTTCTGTTATATTGATAAATTTATTTTTGATCAAATTGTTGTCACTTAATATTTAGGCGGGCTAAAGTCAATTAGTTATTGAAAGCTCAAAAAAAGTTTTTAGATATAACTGCCACGAATTACGCCCCAAGAAATACGAATAATTTCATAATTTGAATTTAGATCAACAAAATCAAATACTTCCAGCAAACATCTTACTATTGACAGTTTAGCCTGCTTTTAAATCATTTTAAAATACGAATGTCGAATATTAAAGAACAATTTTTATGAAATAAGTCAAAAAAATTATTTGCTTGAATTTTTTTTTGATGCAGTGATTCTTTAATATTACACAATATTTTTGAAATCATTTTTTTTTCTTTCTTTTCATTAGATGATCAACAAAGCAATTCTTCTATATTAAACGTGGACGATTTTTTGGATAAAATAAATCACGAAAGTGTCAAAATCAATGGCATCTCGACGAACGTTAAATTTATGGATAATGAATCCAAGTCTAAATACCTTTTTCCTAATGAAAGTAATAACGAATCTCCTATGCCACCAGAAACCAATGATAAGGAATTAAATTTTTTGGAAGGTGAATCTCAAACCTATATGCAAAACCACATTCCACACATTATTTTGACAGGTTAGATATTTTTAATTTAATTAACCGGAAAGTTTTAAATTGAATATTTATTATCGTTGAAAAGCAAACTTTTCTACATTTAAATATTGAATAGTCTTCACATTTAGCACTCTTAAAAACGTTTTTAATAAAATATTAACTAGAGATGTACCGGACATGAATCTGGCATCGGACCGGCCTGGAGTTTTATGAAAATAAACAAAATTATTATAATTTTTCTTCGCCTTTTTTAATATTCTAATTTAAATTCTGAAATTAATTATCAAGGTTACAAGTTTATATGGGGCGTCTTTTAACTCGCCGCCTGTCCATTTTTTTATCCAGCCCGCCCTTAGTGAAATAAATTCCACTCTTACAATAATGTTATACCTGTCCGTTATATTAAGATATTATTCGTTGATTGATTACTCACAAAAATTGTGGTTCAAGATGAGGTTGCCAGCATAAAGATTTTAAATCAATTAAGAATATTAATACTAAAATAATATATATAAAAAATTAAATTAAGAGAATTATTTAAATAACAATAGTCTAAATTAGAGAACTGTAATGGAGGATTTTTTAACCCGCCTACTCTAGGTTTTTATTAAACATCTTTCTCACCCATTTAAAAAAAAAAATTAAATGATTGGGTGATAGGACCATTTATTTATTTTTTTTGAAATATATTTTTACTTAAACTTATACAATTAATCTTTAATAAATATAAGACAGTGCTGCTTAACTCGAAAATAAAATTGGCTCGCCCTTCGTTGTTTTAAAAATATTTGTAAACCATCCCCCCAATGTTCAAAAAAAATTTCGGGCATCACCCGATCCTTGGGTTAGGTTATTGTAATTAATTTTTAGTCAGGGATGGGCTTGGTTTAAATATATTTTTGTTATAATTTTGAATTTATTTTTACAATCTTGTTCGTTTTTAGATTTTTAACTATAAATTATTTTTTATATTTTGATTTTCGGGTTGTAAATTGTGGATATAATTTTATGTTCTGGTCGTGAAAATGCTTTTCCTTTTGGAGGTTGGGTCGGAAAGATTTATCTTTTGCAGATTTCTAGTATTATAGTGAAAATCTGCATGTCAAAATCAATATCATTGTTAGCTAGAAATATGCAAGAACTTATCACGCCATCCTATGGCACTTCATTTTAAATGTAAAAATAGATATGATTGCATAAATAAGCGCTTTTCATATAAAAAAATTTAAGAAAATAAATTTTAACTAATCCCAAAGTAATGTCAGAAAAGTAACATCGTTACTAAAGACATTACCTTATTTGAATAAATGGAACTTCAATCCTTACCTTCTTCTAGAGGTAACGACTACGCGTTTCTTTTTTTTTCGAGTAACGTAACGAAAAAGGTTACTTGTTACTTTAATTTTTTTCTTAAAAAATATGGACAAAACATATTTTAATGTATTATAAAATAATTTATTTTTTTTTTAAATTTTATAAATAATTTCCGAGTTTTTAAGTCAGATCAAACACCAAATTTTTTACATTTAATCTTAAATATTTACTCAAGATTGTTAATCTAATTAACATTGAATCAATCAAGATATGTTAATTTATATTCGTATTCTCTAATACTATAATTTCTTTTTAAAGAATATTATATCAATTCTAGATATTTCTTCAGATGAAGATGATTTAACCTACCCTGACTCCAATATGAAACATTTTTTACACCAAAAAAATTAAGGGTACAAAGTCTACACTTTGTAAAATTGTGTCCCAACTCAAATATTTACTCAATTGTGGAGTAAACATTGGGAGTCTAAACAATGCAGTCATTTTTAAGGAAAAATTGGGAAGATATCTGATTAAACTCATCTAAATATTAAAAATGCGTATTTTTAATTTTTAGATGGAATTTCATAAATTATTCTATCTACTGAATATTATCAGTAATATAAGATTTGATATGAATTTTATGGGATACTTTATCTTCTGTTAGAAATTCCATCTAAAAATTAAAAATACCTATTTTTAATTTTAAGATGGTAAAAGCTATCTTATTTCCGATTGAGAAAATATATTGACAAGAAAAAACACTCTTTGATTCGTTTAAAAAACAACACATACCAGATTTTTTTGATAAAGATCAAAAAATTTTGAAGAGGATCTGAATAAAGATTCTTTAGAAGATGATCAATTAAGCTTTTTCAAAATAAGTATTATTCTTTAATTTTTAATAATTCCCCCAATTAAAATTTTATTTATTAAATATAATACAACCCTCTACGCCAGTTGAACATATTTTTAGCACCGAAGATGTGTTAAGCATCTTATTTGATCAAAATATTGAAAATCAATTGTTAAAAATAAATAAAAAATTAATATTAAAAATCCCATCTTATTTTATATTATTTTTATATAATTTTATTATATTATATAAGAAATTTTTGCATATATTTAATTTTTCAAGTAACGACAAGTTACTCTTTGAATACCCAGTTACACGCGTTATTTTTTCACAAGGTAATGAGTAGCTCTCCCCCCTTCCCTTTTTTGACTTAATGAATAATGAGTTTCTTTTTTGAAGTAACGTTTATAGCACTTAATTATAATTACGATTTCCCTTTTTTAAAGTGGGATTAATTGCTGGTACAAAAATGGAATCATAATTATTTACAACCATGTTATGGATAAATAAAATAATCAAAGATTTAAGCCAATTTTTAAAAATGGTTAACTAATAGCCAAAAAATATTTCTAAAGTTTCTAGATTTCGTTAATAGTTGTTCAGACCTTTGTGCTCTATGAGCAAAATCTTCAGGCTTGCTTAATATTTTTCTGGTTAAAAAGCCATTTACCAACACAAATTTTGATCTATATGATTAATTTTTTTATACAATGTATTATTGTTTGGACTTGGACAGATAAAAAAATTCGGTCCAGTCTGGTGTGCACTGATGAAAAATATGGATGAGCATAATATATGTTCTTATGGATATCCCTTATATTACCAAAAAATAATAATATTTATTTTTAATTTTTTTTAGAAGTAAATGAAAAGTTTTCAAGCAATACCTCAGATAACAACATTTTCTCCCCTGTGGAAACCTATACCATTAATAATTCATCAGAAGTCAATCCATTATATGAATTAGGATTTTAAATGATTAAAAATTACATTTGTGTGCATCTCAAGGTTAAGTGATCTGATTGGAATATAATATTTACATAATTGATTTATAAAATGTGAAGATAAACTAGTTAATTTTTTCAAAATATTTTTTAAAAAATTGATTTTAAATATATATCAATTTTAAATTATTTAATAGTATATTGCTCGTTTATATCAACCAATCATTTATTACCCCTAAATATATGATTTGAAAAATTGTGTCAACAATTTATAGGTAAAATTTTAATATATTTTACTTAATTATATTTATATATAAAATAATATATCATGGTACAATATTTATAAAATTATTAAAAATATTGATATTTGTTAAACATTTATAGATTTTCATAAATAATATATTGTATTGATTTTTTTAAATTGTATTCATTTAATGAAATGGTATGTATACATGTTATCAAAAAGGTATACAGTAAAATATCTCATATATAAAATAGTATTCATATAAATCATAATAATTGAATTTTTTTAGCCAATTCAGTATCATTAGACTAAATGAGGGGGGATTTTAAGGGAAATGATAATTTATTTTAAAATATTTATATATAAAATTATTTATAAAGCAAATAAAAAATAAATGATTTTTTTATGGCGGAAGGATTAAACTCACCACACAAATAATTGGTAATGGTCAATTAAATTTATTAAACAAAAAATATTTTGCAAAATGCTAATTAATTTCGATTTAAATCAATAATTTCTTTTGAAAATTCTCTCAATGTTATTGCAATCCTTCTTTCATTTATATTATTAGGGTCTATGGAATGTTTCCACTCATATCTAGCCTCATGTTCTATTATTAATAATGATCTACGAGGCAGGTATATTTCAATGAATTGAGAAGGTTGATCATTATTATCAGATAAGGTTAATACAGTGTCTGATAATAAGTTAAAAGTTACCAACCTTGGTCCCCAGGCCCAGAAGTCATCAAAATGGGGTTCAATGTGAGATCCTCTAATAGGATTATATTCAAGATTACACAATTCTACAGGTATAAATGGATAATCAAAATTCTTGTAACATTTAAATTCAGGAATAAAAAATTTAGTAAAGTTATTTATTATGTCATAATTTTTTAAGATGTTAATTAATAAAGAAAACCCAGGAAATTGTGAAGGTGTTAATATATTATGGTCTGAATTTTGTTTAATGCAATTATGATTTTTGATCTTTTGTTTTTTAAAATTTATCTTTGGTCCAAAGTCTTGTTTTCGTCTTCCAGATTGAGATCCAGACCATTGTAATGAATCAATAATATTAATTAAAATTTGTTCATCAGTTTTACTTAAAGAATCTGGATATAAATGAACTCCATTAATTGATAAAAATTTTAAGTTGTTAAATTTTAAGATATCATTATGTAAAGGACATATATTAAGTTGATTAATCTTAGAATTATCCATAAAAGGCCATGATTTATTTTCACATTCATGGCAATAAATAAATTTGTTAACAATTTGACCATCTTGAAATTTGAGTGCTGGGTAACATATGTTACATTTCCTAACACCTTTGCACCAACAATGAAGGCTTAAAGTAATTTCGTTTTTAGACTTGATGGTATGTTTCTCCATAATATTCAACATAATGGTTAGGAGTTTCATGAAGAGTTATTTTGTGTAAAGTTATAGGTTTTATTAAATGAGAAGTAAGTTTATTCCAAATATAAATTGCCAAATTTTCCATTGTACTAATATGAAATAATTTTATAAATTCATCAATTTCATTAATATTTTGATGATCAAAAAATTCAATAATTTCAGAATTTATAATATTTTGAAGAACTTTTATATCCATTAACATTCCGTGATTTTGAGGTATTAAGGGACCTTTGATAGTAACTTCTAGCAAATAATTGTGACCGTGTAAGTTAATGCATTTTGTATATAGTTCAATGTTTTTTTCTTGATCTAAATTTAAATCATAAAGCTTGTGAGCTGAAGAGAAATAAGACTTTTTAGTAATGTAAACTATAGGATAAACGTTTTCTTGCATAAATGTTAATAAATTTTGGTAAATTAATATTGAAATCAGAAGATTGACATAACCAATCTGACATATAAATTGATACTCATAAATTATAATTATTTTGATAGTAAATATAACAATCATGATTGTTACATTCAACAGATCACAAAAAAGCAAAACGACGTTATGAAAACTCTTATTGTATGAAGGCTTGGTGAAGGCATAAAAATATCTGGGAAATGCATAAAAAAATTACTACCAAAATTGTAAATAAATATAATTACTCTAAATCTAATAATATTGTTGTAAAAATAATATTAAGAAGATATATATTATATTTTGTAAAAAATCGGCGTTTATTGGTTATTATTTTCATGTTGTAAAATTCAGAAAGAAATAAAATATTTAAAAAGTGCCTTATTTCTTTCCTTTTCTAACAGTTTAAAAAATAAATATTTATTATAATACAACAAACTGTTACTGATTTTTTTGCAAAATATAATATATATCTTTTTAATATTATTTTTTTATCAATTATTTTTTATATAATAAATAAATATTTATTATGATACAGCATGTACCCCTTTTCAAAGTACTACATGCTACATTTAACTGTAACTATAATTTAAGAATATTTTTTTTTAGATTCTTTTGATTCAAAACTTCGCATCCTTGAAATTCTCTTGATATCGACGTTGAGCGAAACTTTATCTCGTTGATGTTCTCTTATATCGACATTGAGCGAAACTTCATATCATTGATATATTCTTGATATTATTGTATCGTTCATTTCTGACGTATACGACGATTTGATATTTGATTAAACGATTGTTTGGTTGTTATCAAAAATTATCCTGATTATTGAGTCATCGCTTGATTTATCCATTGCATCATTGGTCAATCATGATCATTCTATTTTAAGCTTGGTATCTCCAGCATTGTTGATTATCATTAAATTATGGTTAATGTATCATAGATCTATAAGTTCAATCATTTTAATAATGAAAGGAGGAACTATAATAACATTTATAACTTTAGTAGATGAATACAACAATCTTTGTTGAAGTCCAATATGCTATTTGTTATAATTGTGGAAAAAGAAATATTTTTCTAAAATGTTGCTTAACGATCAATTCCATTAATAATAAAGTAAACAGTGGCGTCGCTAGGAGGGGGGAGGGGAGTGCAGGGGCTTGAGCCCCCTGAAAAATTTGAATAGCCCCTTGAAGCAAAAATTTATTTTTAATGGCTCTTTAATATCCCCTTGAACTAAAATAAATTTTTTTGATTGCCACCTGAATGATTTCTTTTATAATTCTATTAAGTAATATATAGATTTAATTTTATTATTTAAAAATTAATAAGACTGTCTAGATATTTATTATTTTACATATTAGATTAGATTAATACATATAAATTATATTTTCACTATGTCAGCTTGCAATCAAATTTTTTGTTAAAAATAGAATATTAATATCACTCACTAAATATTAATTTAGCATTAACAGTTGAAGCTTTATTGACTTTTATTATTTAAATTATTATATAACCTAATTAAATAAATATTAATTGAAAATTAAGAAATTTAATATAGTAATTAGCCCGAGTTCAAAATCACTAATCAACTATATTATTGATATTTAAATTTAATTACCATGCCTCTTCTTAAAATTATTTTCAAGGTCCAAATCCAAATAAGTATAAGAGATTTATTTATAAAAAGTAAGTAAACATATAGTTTATAATCCTCTATTTTATATAATGGTTATAAAATATTAGGTTAAATACCAATACAGACGTATTTGACAGTTATATAATATATTACAGTTAATATTTTAATAAATTTTACTAATAAATGCTTTTGATAATAAATATAAGTAGACCTATGCGCCGTTGAAATATCGGCGGCCGGCGCAATTTTTAAAAAATCTAATCTATGGCCGGCGGCGTGCCGATTTTTAGCCGCCGTCAATAAAATCGGCGTAAATCGGCGCATATATAAATTTTTATAAGATAAATTTTTTTAATTGCTTATTAATTTTTAAAAAAAACAAATAAATATACACTATTCTACAGATATCTTGGCATATTTTTTAATATTCATTTAATAGAAAACTTATTATATCCAAAATCAATTTCATAATTTAATTATCATTGTATAAAAATTATTTTATTAAAATTTTTGGGACACAATGATGATCTCCTTGAATTTAACGTCAATCCAGCGATAGAGAAAACTCTTTCACTAGGTGTGCAAGTCGCCGGAATGCAAAGAATTTTTTTGGCGAGCCTGGAAATATTAGGAAGTTCACTCTTCTTTTCTCTCCAAAAATTTAGAACGTCCATACTTGTGAATGTCGTTTTCAAAGAAAATTGTGGCATTCTTGTTCTAAGTCACCTAACTTGGAATCCTAATTTATATTTGTTGAATGTTTATTTGCAAATTTTGTCAAATAACTTGATTTTAATAATTCATCTTCATCCTCATTAGCTATATTTACTACCTGATTAACATCATTCTCTATAAGTTTAAGATGTTTTATAATAAATTATGAAGCTGAACAATTTTGGTCTATTAAATACTTTGAGACAATTGTCATTTTTTAAAATCTTGTATCTTAAATAGAAGCCAATACCTAGATAATTTTAAATAAAAAATACAAAAATATACTATATAATATTACTTGCAGATACAAACCGGAAATCGTAACGCAAGTTTTTTTTAGCATATTTTCCCTAAGTGAAATAATTTCAGAACTATCAATATCATTTTCACTTCTAAAAAGTAACGCCAAGTTTAAAGTAGGCTCTTTTAGTACTGAAAGAAGTTCGACAGTTTTTTTAAATTTTGAAAGAAATGCTAATAGTTCTTCTACCAGATCAGATTCATAATTTGATAAAGTGCTTCCCAATTCTTTTCAAAACATCATTAATTAAATTCTTATTTAATCCATATATGCTTTCTAGCATAATTAATATATTATGCCAACGTGTTGGGATATTTAATTTTAAGGTTTTCATATGCGTGGAATTATTGTTATTATTATCATTGGAATTGCCAATTTGAAACTGGGTATCCAGTTATGGATCAATGCTGTCAAGATCTAACATGTCTGATGTTAAATCTATTGTACTTAGGCATTTTCTTTGATATTCCTCGAATTCAAATTCAACCTCTGCAGTTTTATATTTTAGAGCAGTAAAAACTTCTCTAATTCTTTTGCAAAAAATTTCCAGACTATGGATTTTTTATTATCCAGAGTTAGGATACTAAAATTATTTAAATTATTAAAGTAGATGCATCCATTTTAAAAATATGTAAAATTATGGTAACTTTTGGAATTTCAGATTTTTGATTGATTGAATTCTATAATGACGTCAATATAATTAAGATTTTAAAATAGTAGAAAATAAAAATTCATCAAAATCCTGATTGATAAAAAATTACAAGAGTGATGTTGACCATTAATAGAATAAAAAGGTAGAAAGAAATTTCTGCGCGGGCCGTGCGCCGTCGTAACGGGGTGCACAGTTCTAAATATAAGTAATAAATTGCTATAAAATATTTAACGCCATCTATTTATTTAGAAATATTTTTAAAATTTAACATATTATTTATCCCAGAATGGATGTAATAAAAAAGATAATTTTTCTTCTCTTTTTTACGTGCTTTTATAGGAAAGCTATTTTTTTCTTATTTGAAAAACAGTTCTGATTTAAATTATTAATGCTAGTATATTTTAAATACTACTACTATTTTAAGATATAATATACCAACTACTAGAGGTGGTGCTACAATAATATATAAAATCTTAATTAATTTCTTTTATCATATCACTCTGGTTCTTATTTTATACAAAAGGTTTCATTTCTAATATGGCATCCCTGCCTTGTAAATAACTTAAGGCTTTAATACATTTGCATAATTTCTTCTAAAGAATTTTAATGCTCTTGTTTGATCAATTTATCTATCATAATAAATTCTGATATATGTTAATATAGTGAGTGTCATGGGTATGACTGCCAATTAACCAGCATCTTTTATTTGTGTGGCTATGTAATTTAAGATTATTATTATAGCTGCTGAGAGCATATGATTGCATATTTTATAAGCAATAATTAATCTTTTAGAATCTCACAATTTTTTTTCAATTATTTATCTAGCTTCCATCATGTCATTTAAGAGGAAGCTCTAACCACCATATAGTTTTATGATTTGGATTGGTCGTTTATATTCTCTTCTCCAAGAATTGTTGATTTGGTTAGGCCTATAAATTTTTCCTTATTAGTCCATTCTATAAAACTTTGTCTACACAGAGTGTATTAGTTTCTTGACCGTTTGTCAATGTAAGTTGCCAATTTTATAATATGTAGTTTTTAAAAACCATTAATTATCAATTGAGGCATATATACGAATTAATTAACCTTTTTTATCACTTGTAATTTTTTAGACGCAAAATTTATATCAGCAATCGGAAATATTTTATACTGTAATAAATAGATTTTGTATCAAAAAATAATATTTTTAGAAATGTCTTATATTGTTTTAATTATTTATATGCTAGTTTATTTTGTTAAAATAATATAATAAATGACAAAATATGAAATCCTGAATATTTATTCAGAGTTAGCAAATTTTTAAAAAGTATAATATATTAATATAAAATCCGGTCGAAGGCCCGCAAAAGGGGAGTATGAGGGCCTCGCCCCCCCCCCCTATAATTTTTTTTTTAGTTGAGCCCCATGAGATTGTAAAGGCTAGCGGCGCCCCTGAAAGTAAATAATTTAGCCATGATAGTAACTCAAATTAACAATCATAAAATTAATGTTGTGTTTGATACAAAAGCTGGTTATTTAATAATCAACAATAAAGTATCGATAGCATCTACGTGGAGGGGGGGGGGTATATTTACTTCCAGTTATTTTGAAAGGAATAGGGGGTAGACATTCAAAAGTGGGGCAATTATGGGATGAGATAAAGAAAATAAAAACATTATTTGTAGATTATAAAGACAAAAGTAACTAGTATATATGTATACTAATTTATTGATAGTTTATTTAGATTTATAATTCCTGAAAGAGCTTTAATAAAGGTTTCTTTGTATGGTTACAAATTATGTAGACTTTGAAGGAAATTTTCTGACACGTAGATGAGGGGGAGATAATGGATATCCAAAATTAAGGCAGGATGAACAGCTTTACAATTATTATTATTATCCTATTAAAACATTATGGATAACATTGGTAGAATCTAGAATGTTAAATTAAATCTAATCTATAAAAAAATTGAGAATCACGATGACTGTGCGAAATCAAAAAAACATTTATGGCTATTTTTGGATTATTAAATTAAGTATTTACTTACTTATTTTCCTTCCTTCCTTAAGATATATATCACATGTTATCCATATATTTTTTTAAAATTATTAAATAAAATATAAAAATGCCAATTTGTATCTAATTAATATTAATATATATTTTGAAATTTTATTTTGTATTCTATTTTTTTTCCTATATGTAAAAATTCTCTTATATTTATGGTTTATGTTCTAAATGCAACGTTACAGATTTCTATTTCGAATTCTTCTGAGAAATTTATTTCATAGATAAACGATATAATATTTGAGAAAATTAGGCATTTATAAGACTGAAAAAATATATGACTATTAATGAATTAATTAAATTAAAAAACTACCAATATCCTAAATTTCAATTATTAAATTTATTATTTGACTTATTTATTGACTTATTTTGATTATAAATTTAATTAACAGAAAATAAATATTATATTTGTAACTGGTTTACTCATACATTTTTTTATTAAATATTTTAGCGTTTAAATTTACCATGGTATATGATCAAATTAATCAGGCTATCTTTTTCCAATTGAATTTGATTTATTGTAAACTATATCCTTTGACGTGGTTTGCATTTTCAAGCTTGTAATCAACAATATTTTATCCAAAACACAAAGGGATAAAATAAATTTTTCTCTTCTATAAACTACAGCACCAGCCATAATAGAAACGACAGAATTTTCGGAACCTTTAAATTTGTCAGAGCTGTCCTCAAGGTATCATAAATTAGAAAACTATTTATAATAGTCTTAAATGGTAATAGCCAGCCTCAGTAGTATGTATTTTTCTATGCTAAAAAATTATTGGGATTTTTTTATTACATCACTCTGACATGCTTTGATCACGCATGTATTTTAAACATCATTGAAATAAACGTGAATCTCGTCTAAGATCCTATCACATTTAATTCTTTTATCGATTGACATAATTAAACAATGATTAAATTTAATCAATGACTATATCACGAAATAAAAGCTATCTTAGGGGCCTCTGTTTAAATCGTACTCCATTGATCCTTCTACTCATGTACCATATTTTTGCCCAACTAAGAATTCTAGGAGATATAAGGAACTAACTTTGTATATTATATTTTTTTAATATCAAGACCTCGTGTTACCCGTAAAATATATATTTATTAATTTTTCATCCGGCTGCCTTTCATCATTCTCAATATATCTCATTAACAAAGTTTTTACTTCTTTAGAAACATGAAAGTATAATTGAAAAGTAACTGTTAGATTAAATTTCTTTTTAATTTTTTTATAATCATATTTTTCTTGGTTTCAAGGAAAATATTTTATTATACCATACGACAATAGATTTGAATATAATTTGAATTTTAATCCCATTTGTTATTGTTTCAAAAAGAAAAAATCTCAAAATTATTTTTAAGAAGCAGTTGCTGTGTACCCCTCTGTTATAGGGACCGAAGGTTAGTGCATCGTGACATTCTTGTTCTAGATTACTAATGTAATAATTGTTTGCCATTTAACTTTATGAGAATTGGATGTTGGCCCATTAACTTGAACTCATTTACTGCATTTGAATGTTGATCTAGTTTTAAATGTCTAATTAAAAATTGCAATGATTAGAATTCGAACTTAAATATTCGGAAACAATTTTAAGATCTTGAAATCTCAGATTAAGTAGTGTCGCTAGTCTAAAATTACTATATAAAATAAATTTATATATTATAAATCACTAATTAGAAGCCTATGGTCATGTTATTTTTGCTTTTTTAGCCAAATGATATCTGAGCTATCAGATTCATTGATATGTATTTTTTTTTCACTATGAAATAATAAACCTAAATTAATTGTTAATTCCTTTTGTGCGAAAAGAAAATTTACAGACTCTGAATGGATTTAGTAAATGAGAATAGTTGGTCAATGAGATTCTTTGTTATTAAAAATTTTTAAAGATTGTTTACCTATTTTATTTAGCATACTATTTATATAACTTTTGTTGACACCACGGATACTTCCTAGCATAATTAATATGCTGTGAAAATGGGTGGGCCATTATGATTTTAAGGTTTCCATATTAATTCAATTTGGTGCAAAAAAATACTATTATATACCATTCCTTGATTTTAATATTCAAATTTATATATAATAATTTGATATATAAATATAATTATATATAATTTTAAAAGTTTTACACGTCGCGCCGCCTCCGCAAAAATATTAGTGGCTGGCGCGTGGCTCATCCTCCGCAAAAATATTAGTGGCTGGCGCGTGGCTCATCTCAATTGGCGGCTTTTCCAACGTGGAGGAAATTTATGTCGGCAGGCGTGAGATTATTTTTTACAACTATGCAAATTTATTATGTGACGGACTTCATATAAATTTTAAGTCCGGTCAGGGCAGAAATAATTTTTATAGATCGGGGGGAACTTCTCTTTACCTACATAATTGAAATTCGGGCCGCGTCTCCTCAATAGATATATGTGTCTGTTTTTTAAATAATTCATAAAAAGCCCCACGATTTATTTTCACATATAAGTGGCTAGCAGAGCCTCTTGGTTGTTACGAAAGTTTTCTTTTACTTTATTCATTTCTTAAATAACATGAAAAATGATAAATAATTCTTTGTTTTTTTTATTAGCCTTTATATTGAACAACCGCTACATTAATTTGGAAAAACGACAAATATACAACGTATATTAAACAACGGGAATCAAAAATAGCTTAAAAATATATAAACAAAAACAGCAAATAGGAATGGTAAAAAAATAACTCCCTAGTAATCGTGCCTTCCGATTTACAATTTACATTAAAATAAATATAATTATATTCAATTTACAACGATATACACAAGAAATTAATATATTTATCTTTAAATCTGAGTTGGCTGCCATTTTATATACTTTTCGAAATTTTTGCAGCATGGATGAAGGCGTAGATTTGTTGTATTATATATTGACATTATGATATGTTTCACCATAGTATTCAACAAAACTGCTGCGAGTCCCGTGAAGAGTTATTTTATGCAAAGTAGTAGGTTCCATTAAACGAGAATTAAGTCTATTCCAAATAAAAATTGACAAGTTTTCCATTGAATTGATCTGGCATAATTTTAAACATTCATCATTATCATGGATATTTTTATGATCAAAAAAATCAGTTATTTCGGATTTTATAATATTTTCGAGATCTTTTTCACCCATTAATACTCCGTGATTTTGGGGAGGACCTTTGATGGTAACTTCTAGTTCATAGTAATGACCGGGCAAATCATTGAATTTTGAATAATACTCAGAGATTTTTTTTTTATCGAAATTTATATCATAAAGTCTATGAGCGGAATAAAAAGAAGTTTTTTAGTGATGTAAACTAAAGGGCAAATGTTTTTATGCATTTAATTTTTTTTTATAATATTTCTCCTAATTACATCGCATATATTTTCCCGACAATATTGTATTGTTCTTTTTTTGTATAAATATTTTTTTAAATATATTTTTTGTTATTTTAAATATATATATGTGCAATTATTTTTATACAATATATTTGTAATTTTTTTAAGGGAAAAATTGTTTTTTAACAATATGAATGAAACTTCAAAAAATAATTAATATTTCATTATTTTAAGCTAGTCCTAAACTATAACCGGTGTAGAGTTATTATACTTGTCTGTCAGTTTCGTATAAAATATAGCGGTTCTAAACCGGTCTTTCAAAAATGATGGAATAATTTTTTTTCTAATTTGATACAAGTTTAAACTTTTAAAAGTAAAAATTTTCTTTAAAAATTTTAAAGTGCTCAACATGTCTCAGTAGGTATCTTTCAAAATCTCGTCAGACTCTTTGAATTGATGTTCGAAAACACTAAATTTTTCGAAATTTGATCAAATATTTCGTTATTAGCTGTTATTTTCTGGAGATCAATTAGATTTTATTACTAATTAAAACATTTTAGAATCTTATGGCAATTATAAAACAGCATTTACGGTTAATGATAGAAAAAGCGACTGTGTAAAATTTGTCGTAAGTCAGATAGATAAGTTATATATCACCACGTGTCATTAACATTGATTTTTTTTAAAAATTACATGAAATATAAAAAATGCCTATTTGTATCTATATATTAGCTTCTGTGTTTTTTTTCCGGCAATATGCTATTTTTTCAACTTTAAATGATTTTTTGAGCGCGTTTTTAAAAATTTAAAAATCTGATTTTACCGGATATATACGTCATGTTTGGAATACCTACCCTATAAATTTCACACAATTTTTCCATGAACTTTTAAACTAATATATTATATTAAATTTTCCATATATTTTTTATTTTAATTATAAATGACTCAAATTTTAATAACAAAATTGTCTACAATTCATAAGATAGGCATTTCAAACATGATTGAATATATTATAGGTAAAATCCTATTTTTAAATTTAAAAAAAGTAGTAAAAACAACACATTGTCAGGAAAAAACACATTGAGACTAACATATATATATTTCTCAATTTTATCTTATTTTTCTGTCCTTTATGATCAACGATGATGATATTTAATAGCTCAGATTTCCTAGTTTGGAGGCTTTTTTGGGCTGATTATTTTTTAGGATTTTTAAGTTAGACTAAAATAAATATAATATTTAAAACAATTTGGCCTCTGCATAGGCTGAAAAAACCACTAATTACTAAATAAAATTTTGTGTTAACAATATTATTATTTTTTAAATTAATTTAAATGATTAATTTATTATAGTTTGATTTTTTATTTATTATTTTTTTGCATTTTTAATTTAATTTAACAGAAAATATATTTCCATTATACTCATAACGGTTTCCAATTTAAAAAATTTTTTATGAAATAATTTAGCATTTAAATTATTCCAAGGTATTTGAATAAAATTAAAATATAACTAGCCAATAATATTTTTTCTTTATAATGTTTTTCAGAACTGTTAATAAATGTTTATTTCATTTCTACAATAATGTCTAGACGTGATTGTTTTTCTCCAAAAGCTGCCCTAGACTAAACAAACGTTTTACAGGAGCGCTAGATCTAAGTGAGACATTATATTAAAAAAAGAATAATATTAAATTTGGGAAGTTATCATATAGATAACAAATTATATATATATATTTAACATATTAAAAAATAACGAGTTACTTTGCCGTTACATTCAAAATTGGTGTAAAAAATTACAAGAAAATGAGAATTTCATTTAAAAATTATATTTAAATATGAATATCCTTGATAAAGGAGTTAAAAAAAGAAAATTATTATCTACAAATTTAATCTAATTATGTGCAGTTAATATCATAATCTTGGTGTTTTTTATGAGATACACCGAGATATACCTATATATATTGCTCATGAGCAAAAGGTTAAGACAGGTATAATAAATCAACGTGATTAAATGTTTGACCCCGACGGAGTATGCCTAAAACTGAATTGAGGATATTATTTGATAAATCCTGGAATTAAATAAATGATTTCATCATTAAGCCTAAGAGAAAAGAGTAAAAATATATTTAGTAATTAAAATAATGCGATGCAATAGGTTATCAATATTAGTAATATCAATAAATGTACCCTCCTAAGTACAAGTATTTTGAATGGGTTTTTATGATAGATGCACCAATACCTAAAGCTATCCAAAAAATTTTAAATTTCTAAGTATCGATTGATATCGGCTAAAATTTAAAATATCAACCGATACCGTGAGTGTGCATTGGTTTTAATCATGCTACAGGTAAATCGACATAATCTAGTTGAATATTGCAATAATAGAGTAATAAACGGTCGCCTAATTTACAGCGACCAATTACTATATTCAATTTGTCGTTAAAGGGGTGCATTTTACCTCTGAAAATAAAAACAAAGTCATAAATTATAGCTATAATCATGTTTGCTTTGGAACCTTTTTATATGCTGGACAAGATTTGTCTAAAGTCACCACATAAGAGATTAACTATACCGTCAAAAGTAGTATTATTTTGCATCATATCTTACAATAAACTATCAACACTAAAGATCTGCATAGGCCCGGCCCGTACCCGGTTCGAAGCCCGTTTAGGCCGGGCCTAATATTTTTTAAGAAAATTAGGGCTGGGTCGGGCCTTAGAGATTTTTTAAAAATATATCAAAATTTAATTTTTTATGTAAAATAAAAATATTAGATTATTTATAGAAACTAGACGCCATATAACATATATCGTTTATTTTGAGTAATTATAAAAATTAATTTCTATTTTTAAATAAATTCGAACAGTTTGTATATTAGATAAAAATTTTATTAAAAATACTCAAATATTTTCAAAAAAAACTTCGAGTTCGGCCCTTCGGGCCGGGCAAAACGTTTAAAAAATTTCGTACCGGGCTTGAAAAATTAGGCTGATGCAGAACACTAATCAACATAACGCAGTGAGTGTTTTGTCATTATATAAACCTCATCTATAATAGGGTTTGACAATTTAATATCCATCGCCTGAGATGTCATATTTGATAATGATATAGAAGTATCTAATATTAGTATTATAGGTAATTTAAAATCGCTATTCATTTTAAGCTATTAATTTACCTCTTACTCCCCCCCCCCCCCACTATATATACAATATATCACTATAACAATAATTTGAAGGAAATATAAATAAAAGTTAATTTTTTTTAAAAATTTTTAGAAAAAAATTATTTTTATGAAACAAAAAACCCCAAAATCATTTTCATAAAAAAACCTATGACATACCCAAAGTCTACACTAAGTGCATCTTATGATCTCCAATAAAATTTACGGCAGAAAACCCCACATAAGTGCCTCCCTCCCCTATAGGAAAATTCTGGATACCTTATGACTAAATTCAATAAACATGATGGCAAAATTAAATAATCCAAGCCCAATTTGAATAAATTATTAATGACAGAATAGATTTGGCAGAATAAATCAATAATTTTTTTTAGAAAATTTGAAATCTTTTTTCCAATATGGATATTTTTCCTAAATTTATCAAAGTGTCAACCCGAACAGAGAAGCATAAATAAACAGTTACTATTTTCTGAACCGTATTCATAACCAACCCGTTATAAGGAAATCTCAAAAGGAGAAAACATAGCAATTAGAAATAAAACGGAGAAATGGAACTATACTTTTTTAAATTTAATAAGAACCGGAATGGGAATGAAGCTGAACCGTTATACTTAACTACTCTAGTTCGAGACACCCTGATTTTTCACTTATTAAACGTAGTTCATTGGGTGAAGATAGGAATTTTATAGTATATTATATTTAATGCTCAATATTTAATTTCGGCCAAATTGTTTTCTCATGCTAAAATGATTCATAGGTTGAATTTAACATAAAATTTACCAATTTGACACATTTATTATATATACATTTTTCAAAAGCTTTATTAATATTATTATTAATATCATTTTTACAAATAAATTTGAGGCTATATTGGTTTAATTTAAATTTTATAAAGTGTGAAAAAATTTTTTTTTTAGTATTTTTTAATTTTCTTTCCTTCGTTATAAAAAACGGCATCGCACCCTCCACAGTAATTGGGAACGCATATAGCGTTTGGATATTTTTTAATAATTTTTCCATCACATGGGTTAACTAAGCATTCAACTCTAGGTTTGTGTAATGGACATTCTTTGATGATTTAAAAATATTTAAAAGTAATTATAATAAATAAAATCAATGGAAGCAATTTTTTGACCAAATTATATAGATTCTTAAAAATGATAAGTTATGGGGGAATTTGGTATATAAACTTTTCTCGCAATCCACCAAAGTTTCATTCAAATAAAACTCCGCTTTACAACTTGCGCAATTACTGGTTGTACATATAGCATCGGGGAAGGCAGGGCAAACAGCAAATTTACATGGGTTTATCAAGCAATTGACGATGGGTTCTGTAGGTGAACATTCTATTTTAAAAAAAAACAATGCCAAATATTTCATATATATATGTTAAAAGCAAAATAATAACACAATTGCAGTGCTAAGAAATTAGGTGCTAACCAGTTATGGTCACTCTTTTAAAATATAAATTATGAGCTGCCCCCCTCTCTTTCCAATATGCGTCCTCCATCTTTTTTTTATAAAAATTGACGAATTATATCCATATTTAACAAAAATAATTTATTGCAAAAAATTATTATAATTTAGAAATATCTAGCATTCAGCTGATAACGAGATTCTTTATATTACATAGAATATTTCTTGGGAGTATAACATACTTTTATCGCAACGCACCCTGATTTCGTTTACATAGTATCTAGCTTCACAAGTTTCACAAATATAAGGTTTACAAATGGCATTGGGATAGGCAGGACAAGTTGTTAACTTGCATGGGTTAGCATAACACATTACTATTGGATGACCCGGTGGACATTCTAAATTTTATAAATAAAATAATGATGTTCTGTCAAGATAATACTAATTCTTTTTTTTAAGAAAATAAATTATTGTACAAAAACAATCTACCATGGCAAATAATCGGTTTGTCATTCTCATAAAATTCAGCATTGCAACCTCCGCAATAATTAGCTTTACATATGGCCTGAGGATTAGACGGGCATTTGGCAATTTTACAAGGATCCACTAAACAATTAACCTTTGGTTTGTCGGGAGGGCATTTCCCATTTGTTTCTTTTCAGATTAGTTGACAAATGACAATATATTTAAAGCAATCATGATGTTATATAAAAGAAACAAAAAAAGATAGGTGAATTAATTTATTATTCATTCGCCAATTACTAAATTTTTAAATATCTATTTTTAATTTAAACCAATAGAGTACACTACAACTATATTTCAAATGAAAGTTGTTGTTGCAGGCAGATCGATTCTAGGAAATATATTTAGAACCGTCTGAACTAAATCCGGTTAAACCAGTTGGTCCCATTATTTATCTAAAATCTATCTATATGCAGCCTACAACTTTTTGAAAGGAGAAGTTATCTAAACCGCCTTTTTAAGCTTCTCTGGGGAGGACTACAACTTGCAGTAGAGTCCTGCTCCGTATGGGGCCTAAAAAATAGATAAAAATTGGGCTTTAAAACATAAAAATCGTGTTGGGGTTAAACTGAATCGGGTACAAAATGGGCCTAAAAACTTTTTCTTTAACAAAATTCTGAATGGGCCGATTTAAAAAAAATAAGATTTTAAATATATATTTTTCAATTGAATATTTAAAAAAATAAAATTTGGGCCAGGTTTTATCCCCTAAGATAAGCTAACAAAAATCCCAAATGGCATTGATTTAAAAGTAAATTTAATATTTTCGGTTAGATTGTTGGTTATATTTTGGTAAATCTAAGTTATAAACTAATTTCTGTAATGGGAACTTTAGTCTCTCATTAAGCTCATGAATGTTATAGAAAAAAAGCCGAATCATATAGTAACTAATAAGAAATGTTTGAAAAAATAATATATTGTTTTCGTTACATTCTTATTGATCTACGATAAAGAAAATATCAGTTATAATGATTTATAGTTACTAATTAAATTCGACACTATTTCATTTTACTTTCTTAAAAAACATTATCTCGTTTATACCACATAGATGATTAAAAATTTAGGCACCATTATCAAATTTTATCTGAAATAGCTAGAGAAGAAAAAAACCTTGAAAATTAATTGCTAAATAAATGGTATAATTTGCAAAGGGACATAAAATATTTTTTAAAAAATGAAAAATAAGAGTTAATTGTAACATATACCTGAACATGACACTTTCTCCTTATACAAATAAAAATCTGCATGACAGCCACCACAATAATTCGACCGGCATTCAGCTTTGGGATAAGCTGGGCATTTCGCAAATTGACATGGTTCCACATAACAATAGACCATGGGTTTATCAAGAGGACATACTAAGTCTTAATATTTATTATTATATTGTATCATATCTAATTTAGTTTTTGTTAAAAAAAGAATATAATAAAATCCTGAACTGAATATTACTTCTAGAGAACTGCACGGGCTGTCCATAACTGCACGGGCTGTCCATAGCCCGACCCGCCCCGAGTCTCGGATCGGGATCGGACATTAAAAAAATTTTAGGGCTCAAGTCGGGTTGTCAGAGATGTCCGATCTGAAACCCAACCCGACCCGATCCGAAATAAATATTTATATAAATATTCTAAATAATCATTATAATTCATAATGTCAATTATAAAACCATATCATATTTTATTTATCACATTTTATCCTTAGAATGTCAATCAGAATAACATATCATTATCAATTATTATTTTATAATTTACATAACAACCATATATATTTTATAATTTACATAACAACCATATATATTTTATAATTTACATAACAACCATATATCAAACTATTTTATATAATTATATTTTATGCATTGCATAGTTAACGATATTATTATATACTTTACTTTCATCATATTCTATCAAGGTAAATAAAATATATTTTACTAATATCTATTTAATTAAATAACCTCATATTTTCATATTAAAAAAATTATTTCAATGGATGCAAAATTTAAAAAAATTGGTGAAAAGATTAAGAGCAATGACTATGATATAAAAAAAAATGTCAATGGCAAATCTGAGGTCTGGGAAAAGTTTTCATTTATATGATGGAATCAAAGAAAAACTTAATTATGTAGTTGCAATTTTTGCAAGAAAAATTTGAATAGCCCCACAAAATTTTGAAATTTTCACAACTGAAAAAAAATGTAATTTTAGATAATGTTAACTAAAAAAAGGAAGTTAATTAATGTTAGCTAAAAAAAAAGATTATTTAATATAATGTTAGCTAATAAAAAAGGTAATTTATTAATTTATAATAACGTTAGCTAAAAAAAAGAAGTTAATTTAGGTTAATGTTAGCTATAAAAAATTAATTTTGAAAATAATTTAAAAAATTTTTTTGAGCACCCTCAAATTGTAAAGACTAGTGACGCCCTTGAATGATATATAAAAGTCTAAGTTTTCAGGTTGCCATTTTTTAATTTTATTTTTCTTAAATAAATTTAAAAACATAAAATAATGTATTTCATTTAATAAAATTTGCTTCGACTCAGAATCTTAATCTATATATCAGAGACCTGCAGAGATATCATTTGCAGGGCTCTGCCCGGATTTTTTAAAATATTTTACATTCATTTTAAATTTTTATAGATAATAATGACTATTTAAAATATTAAATTTTAAAATATAGGCCCGCAGATCTCTGCAATATATTATAGCCATTCTTTATAAGGTAGTCATAAAATAAATCTTTTTCTGATCTCAAGATCTGGGGGAAACCGGGACCGGGCAAAGTACCATTTAAATTGCCTGTCCCTCCATATATTTTATTTATCTGGATGTATATATCGATTGATACCTACAGCAATATATTATAAATGAATACTACTACAATTTAATAATATTTTTTTAAAAAAATTAAATTCTTTTTTTTTTTAAAGTAGAGATCTTGCAACAAACTGTGAGGTAAAAATCAAACTACCTTGTGGGGCTTCTTAAACTATTATATTTCTTGCTTATATCATAAGATTGATGATATATAGAATAATTTTATTATTTTATTGATTAACTTATATATAAAATTTGGCCAAAAAAAAATATAATTGTAACATAAAATTTTAAATACATCTAAGATGTATAAAATTTCTTTGAATTTTTTTAGTATATCATGGAATTTGATACAAGTAATCCATAAAATAACCAAAGATAAAATTAAATAAATTTTTTTTAAAAATGACATTATAAACTATTTCAAATTATAAAAAACATTTGAACTTTGTTATAAAAATTAAATAATATATTAATTTAATCTATAATTTATAATCTTGTCCTTAGTGTTGTTAAAATGGCTAACTCAATATTTTATCCCTCGAGTTCGCTAATAGATGTCTACATGAACAAAATCTTCAAGCTTTCGCAATATTTTTATGGGTAAAATAATGAGTTAGTCGTTTTTAAAAATCGGCTCAAAACGAGACTTTTAACAAAACTACGTTGTCTTTCAAAAATTTCCCAAATTTTACATCAAAATTTTATTCATCATATAAAAATTTTAAATAGTCAATTATTTTAAAAAAAGTCTATATTATGACTAAATTTAAATATCTTAGCAACTCATATCTAAAAATGGGATCAAGCGGTTTGCCACCCCCACAGTCCAACCAGCTTTGGTCTCCCTTGATGTATACAATTATTCAAACTTGAACAGGAAATTTTCTTGTTATTCAAATAAAAATCTGCGTTACAACCACCACAAAAATTTGACCGACATTTCGCTTTGGGGTTAGCTGGACATTTCGCAAATTTACATGGGTCCACAAGGCAATTGACGATTGGTTTATCAGGAGGGCACAAGGAATCTTATGATTAATAAAAAATAAATAATTTATAACCTTCTAAAACAATTAAAAATGAACAGAATAATGTTAAAACTCAAAACCATGTCTCGTCAATTGATTAATTAATTTCTTCATTCCTTCTCTAATGATAAATAAAAAAAATTTTCAATTAATAAAATTTGTTAATTCAAAATTCTTAGTCATTTAATAATTAATTTTTTTTACCTTGCATAGAATTATAAAATATAAATATTTAACATTATTTTACTTTCACACGAAACTTTCTCTTCGTTGAGATAGAAATCAGCATTGCAGCCCCCACAATAGTTTGATCGACATACAGCTTTGGGGCTAGCTGGACATTTCGCAAATTTACATGGGTTCACTAGGCAATTGACAATTGGAATATCAGGAGGGCACAATGATTCTTCTGATTAATAAAAAAGATGACAATTTATAACAATCAAGGGCCTTCTCGAAAATATATTAAAATTAAAATTTTCCAATTCATCATGGATTCAGGCCACCCTTCCCCGCAAGTTTGGTGGTATTGGTATCCGATCCCCGATACAACTTCCTCCTAGCCTTTATCTCTTCTCGTCTGGCTGCTCAATCGATCATCGATAATGGATCCGCTCCTTTAGATACTGACCTTTCTCAGGCCTTCACTTTTTGGGATAGCCATTGCCCATTCACCCTTTGTCGTCCTGCCTCCAGCATTCAAAAAGACTGGGATGCTCCTCTGATCACCCGTTCCGTTGAATGCCAAATTTCAAACAGGCCTTTTGAGGATAAACCTAATAATTTAGTATTATATGCAAACTAAGGTTACGAATGGTTGGAAGCCATCCTCAGTTCCAATCTTGGCCTCCTCCTGACTGGTGAACAGCTACGCATTTCCATAGCCCCCCATCTTGACTGTAATGCCGTAGTTGCCTCCATTTGTATAGACTGTGGTCATCCCATTAAATCGAAAGTTTACCATCCCTTGCACGCAAGTTCTCCTATGGAGGAAAACCGCCCCATAAAGCTATCAACAACATTCTCCTAGCTACCCTCAAAGAAGTTAATATTCCATCCACCCTTGAACCACTGGGCCTTTCAAACGAAAACGCCTTACGTCCCGATGGGATATCCCTCATCCCTGGAACTAATTCTCCCGCTCGCTTGGGACTATACCTGTGTCGATTTTACAAGCAAAGTCTAATCTCTCATTTTCTGCCATAGAAAAAGCTGAAATCCTAAAAAAAAACAAATATGCCGGCTTCACCAACACCGTGTTCATTCCAATCGTTACCAATACCCTAGGCATGTTTGGAAGTGATGCCCTCAATTTCATTAAAATCATAGGGAAAAAATGAGACAGCTCTGGGGACTCCAATGAAGGATTTTATTTTCGTCAGCAGTCCAATTTTTTAAGCATTCACTTTCACTCTTCTCTAGGGTGATTTACACCCTTTTTTTTAATATTTTTTTTTCTCGGTTCTTTTTTATACATATATATTTTTTAATTTATTTTTAATATATGCTTATTTGTTTTATTTAATACATATTTTTTTAATTGTTTTATGTATATATCCTATTTTAAAATAAATAAAATGATTTGATTATGAAAAAAAAAGCCTTCTAAAAAAATTTAAAAGTGATAATAATATAGTAAAAACTCAAAACCATGTCTCATTAAATGATAAATTAATTCCTTCATTCCTCTAATAATAAATAAGATTATTTTTCAATTAATATTAACTCAAAATTATTGGTCATGTTATAATCAATTTTTTTAAAGGATATATTTTTTTAATTAATGTTTTTAAAATATATAATTTTGTGAAATATTATATTATTTAGCATTATTTTACTTTCACAGGAAACTTTCTGTTCGTTGAGATAGAAATTAGCATTGCAGCCCCCACAATAATTTGATCGACAATCAGCCTTGGGATTCATTGGACATTTAGCGAATTGACATGGGTCAACTAGGCAATTGACGATTGGTTTATCAGGAGGGCATAATAATTCTTCTGATTAATAAAAAAAATGAAAATTTATAACTTCTAAAATAATTAAAAATGATAATAGTTATAACTCAAAACCATGTCTCGTTAAATGGTTAATTAATTCCTTCATTCATTCTCCAATGATAAATAAAATTATTTTTCAATTAACTAAAGTTGTTAATTCTAAATTCTTGGCCATGTACTAATCAATTTTTAAACTTTTAAGCATAAAAATCAGAGACCTGCAGGCCCGACCCTAAGACTGGCCCAGGTATTTTTAAATATACCCGGGCCGGGCCTAAAATTTTTTAAAAAAATGCCCGAGCTGGGCTGGTCCTAAATTTTTTTTAAAAAACCGGGCCGGGCGGTGCAAATGGTACCTCTGCAGGTCTCTGATAAAATAAAATTTAAATAATTTAACATTATTTTACTTTCACAAGAAATTTTCTCATTATTGAGATAAAAATCGGCATTGCAGCCTCCACAATAATTTGATCGACATTCAGCTTTGGGATTCGCTGGACATTTCGCGAATTGACATGGATCCACTAGGCAATTGACGATTGGTTTATCAGGAGGGCATACTGATTCTTATTATTAATGATACTATATATAAATTTCTAAAGGTTTAAAAAAAATAAACATAACGAAATTCAAAACTATGTCTAGCCGAATTATTCATCGTTTGTGACAATAAATTTAGGTTTTTATTGATAAAATGAATGTTAAAATTCTTCTTGATTTGAAGTCTTTAGCTTCCAATTATTCATATTAAATTCGTATTTTACCAACAATTCAATAATTTACAAATAATAGGAAAAGGTATTCGTTAAATAATAGTCCATTCATTATTCGATCAAATAATTCGACCCTATTTTTAATATTTAAAAATATTGGAAATTATTTGTATTATTCGAGATTATTTGTATTACTCTAAATTATTCAACCAATTTTAATTATTCTTAATTATCTAAAATTATCTGCAATTATTCAAAATTATTTGTAAATATTCAAAATTATTCGTGAAAATAATTTCTAAAAACTCAGAAATATTCAACATTTTACTTGAGGAATTCTTTATAAAATTATTTTAGTTATAATCTTTTTGATCTTAAGATGAGTTAAATTTAATTTTTTTTACTTAAACAGGAAACTTTCTTGTTATTCAAATAAAAATCTGCGTTACAACCACCACAATAATTTGATCTGCATTCCGCACTGGGATAAGCTTGGCATTTAGCGAATTGACATGGATCCACAAAACAATTGAAGATATGCTTAGGGGGAGGGCATTTTGAGTCTTCATATTAATTAACATAATTATACTTGATAAAGTTTTTCTTTTAAAATTAATATAAAGTAAAAGTTGAATAAGTTCCAAATTTCAGATATGTGTTTTAATAAATATAATATTGTTAACTTTAATTATTTTAAATCTTTAGTTAGTAAAGTATTAAAATCAAATTTTCATTTTCTAAAATCTTATGAAATATAATAATTTTTTGATCTTGAAAAAGCATTTTAATGTCAAAAAAAAGATAGTCAATTTAAATAATTTTGTTATTACTTTCACTTTCGCATGAAACTTTTTTTCCATAGAGATAAAAATCGGCATTGCAACCTCCACAATAATTAGCTCGGCATTCAGCATTGGGATGTGTCGGACATTTGGATAGCTGGCACGGGTCCACTAAACAATTGACTACGGGTTTGTCGGGAGGGCATAGATGCTAATAAAATATCATTAAAATATACAGTGTTGTGCAGATTTTGATGGAAAACATTTATGTATTTATTTGCAAATTAAATTGCAGAAATTATTAAAATAACATATTTATAATTTTTACAAATTTAATAATTTTTAAATTAAAAATAATATGGAAATGTTTTCCAACAATTTGCACAACACTATAATATGGAAGCTTTTAAAATTCATGGTTTGATTCGAGTGTAAGAATTCTGGTATAAAATGGGCTTGTACAGTGTGAAGAATTTATTTTAAAAATATTTTTTTTATGCGTCGATTTTAGTGTACCATTTTCAAACACACTAAAAACTTGTTATAAATATATAAAAATTAACCTATTCCATAAAAAATAACATGCAAATATTTTAAAAAATGTATTTAAATTTAAATATGAAAAACAAATATAATTTGACGAAACGTTATTTATTTATAGCTATGGCAAATTTTATTATCCTTGTTTGATCTTAAAATAATGCCTTTTTGAAACTCTTTTTTTTTGTTTTTCTAAATTTAATGTCGCAAGAAATATTTCTTTTAGAGGTCATTTAAATAATTAATTATAATATATAACAAACAATATTAATATATAATATTTTTAAATTAAATTTGATATTATAGTATACCATTGCTACAACGAACTTTCGCATCATCAACGTAAAAGATGGCGAAACATCCCCCGCAATAAAACGGTCGGCATTCCGCATTAGGATATAAAGGGCATTTTGTGACTTCGCATGGATTAACCTTGCATTGGGATATGGGAACACCCGGAGGGCATATATCTGTTTTTATTTTAAAAAGATTTTAAAAAATTAGCAAAATTTATTTAATATTATTAGTTAGTCACGAACTGTTTAAAAAATAATACCTGCGTTTCAGGGATACCATATGATTTAAAAAAAGTATTTACAGCTGGATTTATATAAATTTCTATTCGTCTATTTATAATCATAATACCTGTTAGATTTGAGTTTTTTTAAAATATATCTTAACCATCCCTGATGCAGATTCTCAAACCTTTAATTAACCCTAACCAACTCTCTAACCTTTAATCCAATTCTTTACTCCAGATACTTATTTAATTTTAAGTATATTCCATCCAATTAAAAAATTTTCTTTAGTTAAACTAGCTTTGTTAAACACCCCGACCCGATTTGGGTCGATTTTTAAAAACCTATATTATATACAAAACAATATTATGTAAGTATCAAAATTTGGTTGATAGAGGTTCAAACCTTTCCGCTATTTATAAGCAAAATCTTTAGGCTAACATAATATTATTTAGGCTAAAATCCTAATCGGCCCAAACCAGGCCGTTTTATAACACTAAGTTGTACATTCCTTGATTTTAATTATTCCCTTAAAAGTTTCATATTTGTGTATATGATATAAAAAAACATGGATTACTCATCAATAGCGTATTCATGAATAGAATCCGAAGTGTTTTTTATAAATATTAAACTTCAAAAAGAATTAGATAACTTTCATTTCATATTTTACCAATATGAGCAGTAATAATTACACATAAAATTAATTGGCCGAAACGGTATTTTCTAGGTATTCGATAGATAATTGCAAATATTTAAAAAAAAATAAAGATTGTGCTCACCAGGGGTGTAGTAACGGTGGATGGCAACCTCCCCCCCCCTCTCCAAAGAAATATCACTTTTATTGCGTTCTAGGTTATTCTGATGCACTTTAAAATGAATGATAATGTACAAAATATACATAAATTAACTTTAATGTTACATAAATGATGTTTAATATTACACAAATTATACTTACGATTACATAAATTGTGATTAATATTATCAAATTTAGTTCATTTAACAATTATTTGTATTTTTACTATGATATATTGCTTGCTTATATTTATTCCCTAAATTTTTCACATTCTATAGTCAGCTTTAGTGTTGTTAAACTGCTCGATTTGAGCTGATTTTTTATACGGCTAACTCAATATTTTATCCAGAAAAATATTAAGCAAGCCTGAAGATTTTGGTCATAGATGGCACAAAGATATGGACATCTGTAGCAAAATCTCAAGGCTTTGGCCATATCTGGTTAAAAATGAGTTAGCCATTTTTTAAAATCAGCCTAAATCGAGCCGTTTAACAACACTAGCCAGCTTATTAGCCGTAAAAAATTACAAAATGTGATCCATAATTTCCTTGAATCCAATCAATATATGCAACTTCTGATCAAAATACACAATAAATTTTAATCTTCTTCCCCCCAGTTCCAAGAAAAAATTTCGAGAACACCAGTGAATCGGACAGGATTTAATCGGGCCGATTTATAAAAACGGTAGTCTTCAGGACAGCTATAAAAAAATTAAAATGGAATAACTAATCTTAATTTTTATATGTATTATATAGATTTTTCATATGAATTTTTATAAAACCAAAAGTTCACGGAACTGTTAAAAATTTAGAATGGGTACTCAAACTCATACCGATATACATTTTCGATCAAAGCCATTTTTTCTTTAATTTAAATATCGCTCTCAGTAAATGATTTAAAATTGAGAGAAGCTGAATCCCCATTGACTCCTTAAGATCGGGGACTCCCTAATTAAAATACTTACAAAATTTCAACGAAAAAGTAAATTCAATTAGGTGGTCATTATCATGGAAGCTTTGTCAACTTCAAAACATAATTACATTGTCTGGTTGGTCATTTATCTTTTCGGGGCCTTCGATATAATCTTTTATCGGATATCTGTCTTTGGTCAGGTTGGGCCTTTTAATTTAGGTCCGGTCCTAGGTCAGGTCTTGGATCGGGTTCGATCTTTGACTTTCGCATATAAATATTTTACCTGTAGTTAGTCCATATTTTAACATCTGAAGTAGAAAAACGACGAAAAAAAGTTCCATTTTGGTTTTGGTATCAAGAAGGATCAGTTAAGTTTATTATCAAAAAATTTTATAAAATATTAATTGAAACAAATATTATGATTTAAAACCATTTTTAATACCATTTTAACGCTAGTGAAATTTGTTTATGTTTTGTTAATAAATTGTTTTTTTTTTAATTTTTAAAAAAAGAAGAAAGTTTAAAAAATGATTATATAGCCAACAGGAAATATCTAGTATGTTTTTGGATGCCATATCATTTTATTAACGGATTTTGTTTTGTATAAAATTAACATGTAGAAAACCAAAATGATTATCGTCTATATAAGTCATCGATTGATTAAATATGCCAAAACAATTATATAATAAAAAATATCAGATAACAGCAATAATGTAGATTATAGCGGTTTGTAGATTCAAATTTTATTTAAATTTTTGTAATTAAATCGGCAAAATAGTCTATAAAGGGTTAGTCTTAAAGTTTTTATTGGTCTATAATTTGAATATATTTATTGGAATTTAGCCCATGATATTTGACTAGAGGAGAAGGGGATTTATAAAATGATATGTAAGTAATTTATGATGACTCAAGTTTAACTCATAGAAAGAATAAATTTAAATGATCTAAAAAAACCCATATGATGGCTTATTTGAACATAATTTCCACTGTCATATTTTCGATGACTTCCTTTTGAAACTATTATCATATAAAACCAAAATTATTTCAAATCTAGGAGCTGGGTCAAAATTTTTAAATTATTAGACCATATAGGACAAGGTGTTTAAGGATAATTTATTTACCGTTTTCTTATATGACCTCTTTTAAACACAGTTTTAACATTTATGTAGTTTTTTATAAGTTTGCCTTGGGGCCACTTTTGGTAACTGTAAATTTAAATATTCATCTTTATTTATATCAGTTAATTATTACATCAAAAATTATTACACTATTTTTATTATCATTAACGATTTTTGTGATGCATTTAACTTTTAAGTATAAATTTGATTGCCGAAAAAGACTTGCTAGGCAAAAAAACCGGCTATTGAAATTTTAAAACGTTACAATTTTAAACTATATATTTATTTTATTACAAAACTTTTTAAAATTTATTTTAATTTTACCAGGATTTGGTTTAATTTCCCATATTTTAACAGACAATGCTAACAAAAAATTTACCTCCATTAAAATCCACAGTCTCATAATTAGTATATATTAAAAAAAGTTTTTATAATCTTAAATAACACATACCGAATGGGTAATATCATAATATAGGATATTTATAATCATGTAATAAAATTAAATCAAGATTTTTGTTTAAATTTAATCTTAGGGACGTTTCGGAACTGTTCCATGCAAGTAATCACTGTTTCCGTTCTCGTTCCATAATTTTCCCCAAGTTTCGCTCTCATCCCTGCGAATAAAAGTATATAAGTATTTATTCTTATTCTATAGAATATACAGTATTTGTTAAAAGGTATACGAGTTATATGTATTTCTAAAAAAAATACATGGCATGGCATGATAGTGGAAATTTTTATTCCTCTGGTATGTTTTGTGGGTTGGGTGCTTTTTTTGTAACCTGTATAAAAAAATACAAAATTTGTAAGGATAATGATTGTATCATGTTTTTATAAATTTTATAACATAATATCCTTGATTTATCATATGTATTAAAAAAAATACTGGTGTTACGTAGTTACGTAGCATGTTATAGAAGTAATGGCGATACCTTTTAACATTAAAATCAGGTAACTACTTTACTATTTAAAAAACTAATGAAAGTAACGTGTTACTTATTATTACATGTTAATTTATATTCATAATATTTTAATAATTTTTTTTATTGTTTAATGTTTAGATATATCTTTGGAAAACTAAAAAATTTTTAAACATTAAAAACTTATTTGGAAAATATAATACACCACTGCTGCCTCAGCATCTATTGATCGGGTGTTCAGTACAGCAAAAATATGCCTGAGATTGTTAAGTGGATAAAAACTTTAAAAAAAAATAAAATATATTATTTCGTTCATGGTAAAGGGTGTACCAAATGAAAGCTAGTAAGAAGGGTTTTTGATTGCCTATATTACTCTAGGTTATGTCCTTAGGTCTAGATAATGGGGGGGGGGTTAAATATCTACTCTATAAAATATATCAATAGGTATAGATCTCAGGACCGTCATAAATGGAGAAGGAAAATCAGAGGGGAAACAGGCTTAAATGCCAGTGTAACATGAATCGCCATTAAACAGAGAAGAAGAAAGTTGCTCAATTATCTAATTATAATTTTTGCTCAAACTGGAAGTTTTTATAAACAATATTATCTTTTTTTACATTTTCTATATTTTTTACATATTTAGATTTATAAACAAAATTATATTTTTTAAATTTTCTACACTTTTTTTACATTTTGGTGATTTGGCAAAAAAAATTTTAGATTATTTTTTTGAATAGAAAATGTTTTTTATATTTTCTAGATTTTGAGGAATCAATCTAAAAAAATATTTAAAAAATAATTTTGTCGATAAAAACTTCTAGAATTTGAGCAAAATTATAATTAAATATTCAGCATGTTTTATCAATTACAGTCGATTTTTAAAAACGACCCTGATTGAGATTTTCGCCAAAATGATATTATATAAGGCTAGAAGGTTTGGTATTTGCCAAATCTCAAGGCTTGGATAATATTAGTTTGGATAAAATGTTAATTGAGTCGTTTTTTAAAATCGACCCTAATCGGGCTTTTTAACAACCCTAATTCTCAATTTCTCATTCTCTACAACGTCGAAAAAGATATTACCGTTCTATTCTTATAAATCTATGCTTATTTATAAAATGAACCTGTCATGTTATTGATGGCATTTTGTTTATATTTAATTGATTATTTGATGAAAGAAAGAGGAGGTATATTTTTTTTTGGAATAATTTTAAATGAAAAATTGTATTCATTATTATATCATCCGCGATTAGAAATTAACCTGAAATAAAAAAAGTGATACTCGAAATAATTTAGATTTAAATTAGGTGTATCACCATTAACGGCGATGCACTTATATATATTTTTTAGAACTTTATGAAAATGGTGCCGTGACCAGGATAAAGTGCTCAAATTTTCGATTATATTACCTTTTCCTCATTTCTTATACTTATTATCGAATAAACGGGACCATATAATTTGTCCCACTAGAAATCTAATGTTTCTTCTTTCACATGGTGATAAAATAATTATCTTTATAATTCGTTAAGACCAATAATCAAGCACTCAGATATTAATTGCAAAAAATCTTGAGAATATATATCAAAGAATAAGCAATTATACTCGAACAAATACAAACACACACACTCTACGCTGAGCCAATATTTTTTAGAATCATGATGTGCATATTTTTTTTATTAAAAAATCGATATATTTATAATGAAAGAACTTACAAATCCACACTAGAAATCATGTAACCCTATTAGATACATGGTCTATCAAAATATAGAGATATGGTAAAGGCATAGTTGATCGGAAAACAAAATACAAATATATTAAATATATGTTTAATTTAGTTTTGTTATTGCATGCAACAATAAATAAAATAGTCGTTAATTGCTGGTTTTTCTTGAAAAAAAAGGTAGAATTTATTTGAATCTTATGGAATGCATAGAAATACAAACTAATGACAAAGTTATGTGTGCACATTTATATAGAAAAATTCCTAACATTAATTTGAATGAATAAAAATTGTATGTGGATTTATCAGGCTGAATTAGATTTATTCGTGCATATAATTTTTTTAGTCTAGACAAAATAATGCAAAATGTATTATACCGCATTATAGAGAATAATAGAAATAAAATGGGATTTGTTTTTTTAGTATTTTTGAACTAGTAGATTAATAATAAAGATAAAATTTTCTTACCCATTTTTTAAACTCATCAAGTTGCTGCAGTACGCTTCGTCGGAATAGGCGGTTAAATAAGAAGTTAATATAAAAAGTCATACTTACGTAAATGAATTCCAGAGTATTTAAAACAGCATAAATCAATGACAAAGATAACTCGTTGTATCTGATAATAAAAAAATCCATCGACATTTGCATTAACGTGACAGGTAACATAAGAAACAGAAACTCCAGGGTGAGAATGAAAACGGTTCTAATATGCATTTCGTGTTCTACTTTTATTTCTTTCATTCGTTTCAAAACGGAATGTGAAAATACCGGGTCATTTTTTGAAATAGATGAATGATTCAAACTCTTCTGAATTGAGTCGGTATCTGATTCCAACGGATGGTTTTTTAGGGGCTCGCAAATATTTTTCTTTATGGCCGCATTTGTTAGAATATCAGACTTTGATTTGGAAAGCATGGGGAATATTTGAGGTGAAATATCCAATGGGTTGTTGGTTCCATTTTCCAAGCTATAAGTTAAGCCGCGCAAACTATCGTTGCAAAAAGGTTTCGGCTGTTTTTTTAGTATGAGCCTCCCTTTGATAGCCATGATGGCAAGGAATGGTATGCATTTAGTGAACAACTCTCTCGATATTTGGTAAGTGATCCAAATATATCTAGTTAAAGTATTATGTGCAGGTGAATATATCGTATACATAAAAACTAGGTGTATAGGATATTTTAGAGTTGTATTAAATATGTAATTGGCTTTAGTAGGTTGATAAGTATACTCACGATCATATTCTGTAAAATTTACGATAGGACATATATTAATCTTTCTGGTCTGTTTCCACATGAAGGTCGGTAAATACCAAGCAAAAGAATATACGAAGGCTAATATTATAAAAATATTTGCCCTGCATTTAGTTACAATATTTTGATAATGTAGAGGTTTTATTATCGCTATGCCTTGGGTTATAAATAACAGAACGTAAATTAGAAAACTAATGACAATCAATGGCTTTGTGATAGGCTTATGAAAATAGGCTAAGTAACTGTTCCAATGATAAGAAAATAACCAATGTTGGCTTAAGTTATGGGTATTGTTAATTGGTCTAGACATCCATGCCAGTTCCATCATACTGTAAACTTCCATCAATGGAGAGGTAATTAGAGTTAGCACGTTGATCGCGTTGATGGAGTAAAAAAATTTGAGTAGAAATCTACTAACACCAGTTCTTTCTTCGTTGACTATTATTTTGCAATGTTTATGGGAAATTTGTTTAGCTTCTGGTGTTTTTGTAATAAAATCTATAATTGAAAGTTTTTTTGACAAATAATAATTTTTTTTTGACAGCTGCAATTTTATATGGGTTATTTGGTCATATTTTTGGGTAACTTGAGGAATATTTACCATAAAAAATCCAACTATGTTACCTATCAATCCAAAGATAAGAATAGTCATGCCCAATATCTGGTAGAACATGGTATAAATGAGGCGGTCATTCAAGAAATCTCGAAGAACTAAACAACTTTCATTTGAATATTTATTTGTTATATTAAGCATGTTTATTTTTGATGGGATTCAGCTCTAAGTGTTTAATCTTATGGTATCTATGAAAGATTATATGAGATGAAATGATTAAATTTGTACAAATCTATCACAACAAATATTTTAGTACATAATTATTGATTTTTCTAACTTATTCAGTCCATTTAATTTTACTAAATTCTAAAACATTTTGAATGTTATTAACTTTTAGATCTAAAATATTTTTTTGTAGTAATAAATTATTCCCATTTTAAAAAGTATTTGTTAAATTTATATATCTTTAGTTAAATTTGTAAATAATTATATAATAACTTATTTAAAAATAATATTATCTTATTGTTTATTTCACGTAATACATGATAAGGCGCATTGCCTTCTAAACGTTGTAGATACAACAGAGCTGCGGTAGGTATTTCTCATTTCCCTAATTCTGGATGTTGATAATGAATTCGTGAAAAAATAAGAGAAGCCCTTTACAGGTTTATGGGCAAGCAGCACGTACCTCCATGCATAATAGTCTACGGACTATTATTTAATCTGTAGACTGATTAAAAAGGAAAGGTCTAAGATAACAACCCACTATTACTATTAAATTGATCATTTCTCATATTAAATAGCTAAAAATTCGGAACATATTTTATATATCAAAGTGTTTAAGAATATTGTTATTAATATTAATAGATTTTAGGGAAAGTGTTGTTTACAGCCCGATATAGGTCGATTTTTAAAAACGGCCAGATTAATATTTAAGCCAAAATGATATTTTTTAAACCTGGAGATTTTGCTCATAGATGGGAGATAAGTTTGAACCTCTATTTGCCAAGAGGTTTACGTAAAATATTATTTAAGCTAAAATCTTTAACGGACCATTTAACAACACTATAAGTGAGTATTGGGAATAAGATATCCTTAATTCTTAGATTTTTAAAAAACTCAATTATATGAACCAATAAAAAAGAGAAGTTCATTATATAAAAATAATAACAACCCGTTTCGGCATATGCTAATGAGTCAATAAAAGTATTTACTTTCTTTCGTTTAGCGGCTTGAAACACATCCTGTAACCTGAATAAACCTGTTTGTATGATGAACTAAAACCTAACCGGCTAAATTTAAATGAAAGAACGGGTTCGGGTAAAATAAAATGTACTAATTTGCAATTTTTATCTGCTCTATTTCCATTCTAGACCAATAGAAATAAATAGGAAATAAAAAAAAAACAGTTACTCGATAAAAAAAACCAAGTTTATTTTATTTTATCTTACTACAATCCTAATGGAAACCAATAACACAATCATCTCAAATATAATCTACCAATAATTTTATTCAAAATTTTTATTATCATATATAATTTGACCATTGTTAGATGATTCTGAATAGTATGGATTTATTTAATATTATAAACAATGTAACCAGAACTCGAACAAAACTAGGAACCGGTACCTATTAAGCTTTATAAGATCCGAGCTAGGAACCAATTTGAAATCCAGGAACCGATTCTAAAAATAATTAAGTAATTTGTATATATATTATTTGGAATGTTGAGAGTGATTATATTTTAGAGGATTTTTTTAAAAAAATGATTGCTTTTATTGGAAATGGAACTAAATCAGTAACTAGAACCATCGGAACCGCATCAAATTTAAAAATCCGGAAACCAAACTCCCTTTTTTAAATTTTAGGAACTAGAAGCGAACGCACTTTTTGAAAAATATTTGGAACTGGCAGTACTAGAGATCTGCAATGGGCAGGTTTTGAGTAGGCCCGCACATTCCCCAGGCTCACTAGTTAAAATATTTTAAACATTGGGCTAGTGTTGTTAAAAAGCCCGATTTAGGTCGATTTTTCAAACGGCCCGATTAAAATTTTGGCTAAAATAATATTATGTAAGCATCGAGATCTGGCAAATAGATGTCCAAGAATTTCTGCCAGCTATGAGCAAAATCTTTTGGCTTACATAATGTTATTTTGGTTATAATCTTCATTGGGCAGTTTTTTAAATCGACCCGAATCGGGGATGACGGACAAGTTAAAAAACATTTTTAAGAACAATGGGCGAATAAATTTTAAATATTTTTTGGCCAAATGAGCAGAACAGACTTCGATTCATTATAGATTATTTTTTTTTATTTATAAATAAAGACATCCTAGCATTTTTAAACAATGGGAGGGGCACGGGATTAGACAAAATTTTTAGATAAATGTGCCAGTGAGCGTATGAATTTAAAAACCATGGGTGAGCGGACTTGTCGGCTAAGACCCGTCCATTGCAGACCTCTAAGCAGCACCCCTTTTAGTCTAGGTTAATTATAAATAATATTTTACCTATTTCATGCCATGAATATTATAAGTCATACCCGAATATCTGATTATAATATTATATTATTAATTTTTAACTGTAATAGTGAAAATGGATTATAGCTTTTTCGATTTTATACAACCTCTTCAAATATGTTTAAATTTATTATTAGAAAATTAATTATATACATTTTTAATTTGAAACCTTTATATAAATTTAATTTCAAGGTATTATGAATATAAATGACTTATTTGTCAATATCAATACGCTTATCTATTATTATTGTATAAATAAGTTTAGTATGGATTAATAATTTAATTAGATGGTTTCTTCCCTCCATGTGAGGTATAAATAATTCATAAGATACACGAAGTAATTGAATCATTTTTTTCAAAATATTTAGGGGGGGGGGGTTGATGCTTCTCTATCCTTATTTAATTTGTAATTATACTAATTAATTATTTATTATCAAAAAGTTGTTATTCTCATTTTATTATATAAGAAACCAATAAAAAAAAATACTAAGTAATAATTATGTAAAAATATTAACTAAAAATAGATTTACAGAAAATGGGCGAGATTTTTAACGAATAAGATAAGGTGAAAATTGAGCATGATAAAATTGTACATGTAATGTAAATTTTTTTAATTAAGGTTTCATGACACTGTCTTCCTTCCCGCTTTCAATTTAACACTTATTGACCATAAATTATAGAGATCTTATTTTAAACCACTTCCCTATTATGATTTTATTTAATATAAAATCGATTAAAATTTCTTTTGCCAAATGATTATTATTATAATTTGCTATTTATTTTTTTTAAAGCATCTCGCAAAAATATTACTAATTCGAGCAAAGTTTATAGAAAAAAAATATAAGGTTTTTATTTCTAAATTCAAATTGGGATATATTATCTAATTAGTACTCCATATAAAATCTGGTATTTTAGGATGGGTGTATATATATTGAAATCAATCTAATTAATCTTTATTAAAAAGAGTAGAGCCTTTAATAGTATTTCATATTTTGTGAAAAAGTGCAACAATACCAGGAGTTGGAATCGAACTATCGAATTAAATATATATAATATATAAATATTTGTCGCAGCTGATAACAGTTTTTTCAATTTAATATAATAAGCATTAACTTGAAAGTACGAATTGTAAATTACTGATAAATCTATAACTGTCTTCACACAAGGTTCATCCACAATCTTAAAATTTTATATTACATATATTCCTAAACTGGTATCTAAATAGAGATCAAAAAAAATTCCCAAATCCAAACACAATTAATTTTTGGCCTTCACCACAATTCGATTTAAAAATTTTTTGCAGGCTGACAATCCGGCCAAGAACTACAAAAAAAATTGAGGAAAATGCTTAATTAAATTTAGGTTAGGCCTATTGTTATAATTTAATAGTATGGTTTATTAACTATTCATTAAGAGTATAAAATTAAATAAGAGGATCAAAAAACATTGAATATAAATAAAAGAAAATCAGTATACCATTATATATCACATTTTTATAATTATGATGATATTATCTCGAATGAATAAATAAATAATTCGGTATTAGAAATAAAAATATTGTGTCTTATAAATTAATTATCGACAATCAATATATATAAAATAAAGACATATTACAAACAAAACAGTATAATCTTGTTACCGGTCACAAAAAACGGAAGATATTTTAAAATAGTGAAATAAAAAAATATAAAAACGATTTTTTATTTGGATAGAGAAATTAGTAATTCGTGAGTGAACGGAAAAATATGGAAAATTTTGTGAATAATATCCAATTATTTATTATTGCTTAAAAGCTTTGCATTATATTAACATCATGTCTAAAATAAATACTGAAGTGGACAAATAAATTGTCAATTTGGTATAAAAATATAAGGTTGTTGATTCAATTAAAAAAAATTTTTAAATCATTGCCACAAAAAAAAATTTAAAACGTATCACCGATTAATTGTAGGAATGAAAAAATTTACTAAATAAAACCTATAAGCGAATTATTTTTTATTCTAATTTATTCTATCAATTAGGTATTGCATTAACCCTAGTTTGAAGGGCCATGAGCTGTTCTCCTATTTCTTCAGGTAAATCCTCGGGCAATTGTTCTTGGAAATATTTGCTGATATCAAGGCATTCCTTTGCCCAAAACTCTTTAGGAATGGAGAATAGGGCGTCGTAATCTATATTCAAATGTTCCAGCCCTTTCAAATTTAGCGAACCGGGTTTGGGGATATAGCCGATGGGGCACTTAATTGCCACGTCTTCCCCGTTGCAAAACCTTAATTTTTTAAAATATAGGACGAATCGATTTCCAATTTTTTAACCTATATGAAAAGAATATGAAAAGACAACTTATAAAATATAATCTACGCCCTTAGCGTTTTTCAGAGGCCTGTGGTTGTTTTAATTTTTCAAATATACCCGGTCTAAAAAAAAAATTTTTAAATACCCGGGCCGTATATTTTAAAGCGGAATATATCAAATCGCCATTTATAAGCTATAAAAATTAAAAATAAAGAATATTTTAAAAAATCCCGACCAGGTCGAAAAACTTTTCCTTGAAAAAAAACGAGTCAGGCCGGGCCTATAAATATAAAACCTGGGCCGGGTCGAAATTTTTTTAAAAAAATCTAGGCCGAGTCATGCAAGTGGTACCTCTGCAGGTAACTGATATATTTCATTAAAGTATCAAAATCAGGAACCGTTACTGTATTTTTACATTCCTATTCTAGGCAAAAGGAATGTTTTCCAGCCCCTGTAATTTTTAAAAACACCTAAATTGATATTTTAGCAAAACAAATATTAGCTTAGACTAGATATTTCGCTAAAGGATGGTTATCTACCATCTTTTGGGGAAATCTCAGATTAGATCAAATTTGTTTGGCGAAAATCTTGATTTAAACGTTTTTCTTTTAATTCGGCGAAATTGAGATTCTTTTAAGAAAAATATTGAATTAGCCATTTTTAAAAATAAATTTATATAAAAGTATAGGTTAACTGTTTTCTATCAATTTATAGATACATTTTGATTCAATTATATTTTTCGTTTTTTAATATATTAAAATAGTTAAATTTAATTCGATGTTTTATATTAAATCTGTTAAATACCTGTCAATTTTTCAAATTCAAGACGAGTTATATTTTACTAATTGGATGACGAAAATAGCTGATATTAATATTTAAATATCATCAATTTTAGATCAAATGCTAGAAAATTTTAAAGAATAAAAAAGGAATTGCCATCGCGATCAGTTGATAATCTCGGTAAATGTTAGAGAGAAAATCGCAAATTGAAATTAATATATATTTTTCAGCACCCCCCTCCCCAATGGATATGAATAAGTAAATAAATTTTAACACCCATAAAATTTTAAATATTTGTTTTAAAAATAAATTGTAATTAACTAAAAATTTCCTGCTAATGTGATTTATAAAGTATTACACTCAAGTAAAAATATATTTAAAAGGGGATGCCTTAATAAAAAACGAACAAAAAGTATTTGGTTCAATTCCAATTTTGTCTAACAATAGATTTTCAATTTTGGCATTATGAAGATTTAATCATATAAGACAATATATCTTGAACTCAAACAAAAACAAATGATAATCTTTTAGAGAATATTTAATTTGGATGTAATGTAATAATTGATTCATATCAATATTAATAAAATCTATACTATATATTAACATTAAGTTATATATTTTTATAGTAATTTGCCAGAACGTTGCGAAACCTGGAATGGAACAAGAACGTAAAAATTTAAGTAGTTATGGATTCCTATTTAACAAAGAGATAAAGCAATAACCTATATATCCAATCGATGACTCTGCAGTTTTCTCCGAACCCAGGCCATAAGTATTGGCCAGTAGTGGGATGTTTCCTGAACCAGTTAACGTGGAAAATACGAGGTAACTCTTTATGCTCCTTGTGTTTGGCTCCAAGGCTGAGCCAATGTTTTATATAATGGCCGAAATTGTATCCGAAAAATGGCCTCATGGCGAAAGGATCATGCATTATCACTTTACCTTTAAATCCGAAAATTAAGTGGAACAAGTATATAACGTATATTGTAAGAGGGCGATTAGCAATTAATTAGGACCAATTTTGGATATAATTGAACGATTAATAAAAACTTTCATGTTCTAATTTAACCTTTATGCTCTGCAGCGGCAGTAGTCTCGGACCTCATAGAGCTTCCCATAAAGACCCCGTGATTCCAGTCGAAGGAAGCGTAAACGAGTGGTACACCGCCATCCGGTCTGCGGCCCCCGAAAACAATAGCACTGATGGGGACCCCCTTAGGATTTTGCCAGTTTTCGTCTATCACTGGGCATTGTCCAGCTGGGGCACAAAATCTAAATTAACACAAAAATAAAGACACAAGATATCATAGAAAGTAAATAAATATCTTTATTTATATAATTAAACCACGTGTAGCCTCCAAAAGTGACATTCACTTTATCTCAACGACCCAGGCAAACTTGTAATTAAAAATGATTACCAAAATTGCTCTGTGCTGATCAAAACGAAAGAGGGAACATTTTATGGAGGTTTCACTTTATTTTACTTATATTCGCCAGATTAAGTGAGCCTTCCCCTAATGCATTACATTAGGATTCTGGAAAATGGAAATACCTATCTAAACCTCAAATATAACAAAATTATCACAATTAGTAATTGGTAATAGGATTAATTGTTATTTAAATATATTTGTCAATTTTGAATTATGATTAATTGATGTATTTATATTAAGATATATAAAAGGACAAAATTAATTACAAAGTTATAATAAAATTATTCATTGCTTTTCATGATAGTTCACATTTCTATGAATCAAATATAATAATAACCTCAAAATAACAGCAATTTCGAAACACTCGTAACGTAATTATATTTTATTTTCTTATAAAAAAAATTATCTATTTAAAATAAACTTATTTAACAAAATGAGAGTAAAATAATTGTAATAATGAAAAATTTCCAACAAAATATTTGCAGCACATATTTTTTTTAAGGATTGCTAGTAGTAATTAAAAAAAAATTGGAATAGAACAAAAATTATTACATTATCAACAATCATACAGCCTGTTATAAAAAGATACATACACTTAGTTTTAGGTTATGATCTTATCAAGAAAAACTTCGTGTCTAATATCAAATTCCTTTCAGCAAAAAATAATAGTTGCTAAATAAATTATCTAATAATAAATTAATTTTGCGAGCCATTTTTTAAAAATTGTTTGGTAAATTAAAATGTAATCTTATTAATAACATTTTAAAATGTATTTAGTGAGGCAAAACTTTTCCCCATACATTCTCTTACAGAATGCTGGTGTTAGGCACAACTAATCAAAAACATTTTTTTAAATGTTATAATACAATGAATATACCAACCTAGAGTTGGGATGAGCTGCTAAAGTCCCACTATCTTTGGTCCAATTTTTAATACCCGTCCATGAAGTTATGCTCACTTTTTTTTCGCCATTTTTTCCGAAGGTTTCTTCCTCCAATCCTTCCCAATAAACGCCTCCGTCGCTCGTTTCGGCTACGTTCGTGAATAAGGAATTTGATTTCATAGTTTCCATTGCATTGGGGTTAGTTTGGTAAGAAGTACCTACGAGAACGGCATAAAAAAAATATATATGAAGGGAGTTCAAAGAAATTTAGCGTGCTGAATTGGTGTAGAGAAAGGTGATCAATATACACTTTTTAAATTGATAGAAATGAGCGTGTGTCAAAACAAAATAATAAATTGTGGGTATACGGAAAAGAATATGATAAAAAAAAAGGTTTTTTAATATTCAGTCAAAAAAAATTACCGGGAGCAACCCCAAAAAACCCGTATTCAGGATTAATAGCGTGGAGTTGGTGGTTAGAGTCGAATTTCATCCAACTTATATCGTCACCGACGCAAGTAATACTGCACCCTGGAAGTGTGGGTTTCATCATGGCCATGTTTGTCTTGCCGCAGGCACTAGGAAACGCGGCAGTCAAGTAAAATTTGGGTTTACTTCATTGTTTAAAAAAACATAAAAACGTAAGCTCAAAAAGAAATCTATTTATTTCATTATATGGCAGCATTCTTGACTTGGCTGGCATATGTCCAAACCCAAGAATGCTATAAAAAATATTCGGAATTATATATTATTTCTGAAAATATATTGATTAGTTCAAACTTAGCCGCCTAACATATAGACAAACTCTTTATTCCATATCAGACAGCCCATGCAAAGTTTCAGTAATATCGATAAGCCATTTCGCACACCCCTAAGCTTACTGACAAGGCAGCCATGTACGATTGATTTTACCTATAGGTAATCATCTCATATATAAAGGGACTTCTAGATCCCCCTAAGCCAATTAAGATTTGCTTCTTACCCTACTACCAAATCAAAATTAGCAAAAAAGGAAATCCAAATAAAACTACACAACGCCAATATTTCGTCATACCTCACCCCCCCCCCCCCCTTGTGGTAGAAGTTTTTGCATGTATATATCAGAGACCTTCAGGCTGGACCGTAAGAAATTTTTTAAAATTAAACCGGACCGAGCCTTACAATTTTTTAAAAAATACCTAGGTTGGGCCAAAAATTCTTGTAAAAGTTTCGCTATTACTATGAATATAAAATAGATGATATTAAATAATAAAATATATAAAAATTGAATAACATATCACAATTCACTTCTCATATTTCCTAAATTATTTCGAAACAATTTTATTAAAGAACTTTTATACACCCAGGCCTGGCCTAATTTTAAAAAATCAGGGCTGGGCTAGGTCGAATCTTATTTTTTAAATCCGAGCTGGGCCAAAAAATTTTTTTTTTACAAATATTTATACTTCGTTTACCTGATGCCTTTAAATCGCTTATACTAGTTTAGGTGTAAAACTAAACAAAAAATATTTGTAAATGAATTATTATTCTAACCCTAGGCATTTCATATATCTTTAACTAGCCCATGTCAGGTTTAACGAAGACCTAATTTCGGGTAAAATTTAATCCGATACTTAGAGCTACTTCGTGCTTCACAGCACTAAATTATAAGTTATACGGGCAACTGATTAAATTTAATGAATGGAGTGGTGCCATCTCACATATATTTTTCTTCCGATTATGATTATTCATATATTGAAAAATAATTCCAAATAGGAATCCAAATAAATTATGTGATCGTAACGGCTTCCCTTAATTTATTATATGTATATATTTTTAATTTCACCTTTGAGTGTCGCCTTCATTGGCCGGAGGGACGAAACCCGTTATGAGCATATGTTCGGCGAGCCATCCTTCCCTTTTAGCGAGTATGGAGCCGAGTCTGAGAGCAAAACATTTTTTGCCCAAAAGACTGTTGCCTCCGTATCCACTCCCAAAACTGGCTATTTCGTTGGACCTGGGGATATGGGCGATCAACGTCTTTTCAGGGTTGCAAGGCCAATTATTAACAGCCGGTTCTGATAAATGTATGAATTTAAAACTTAGAAATTTATGGCGATAAATTCTAATAAATCCCTAAAACATCAAAGTATGACTTTTGAGTAAAAAAGTGGAATAAAAAAATTCATCATTTTGCATCTAATAAAGGGGGGGGGGGCAATTTTTTTCTACTTAATCTATGACCCATAATATGAATGATAGCTTTGAATCGCACCTATTTTTCAGTTTTAGCCGTCTCGAGAAAGTTTTAGGAAATTTGTCCAATCGCCTTTTATTTGAGGGTCTGGGACCGATTTAACCCGAATTATTATTTTTATAAATATATAAATATTGCTATTTTATAATAATAAAGGTCTTTAATATTTTTATTTTTAAAAAAAAAAAAGGTGAGAGGATATAAATGAAGCGGTGTAGTAGACTCAATCTGACATAATAAAATCCATTCCTAAAAAAATATTAAAGCTAATAAAAATGTACAAAATATTTAATTTTCAAAGCATGTGGGAAATTATAAGCATGAGAGGAAAATAAGAATATTTTTATATATAAAATCAAAAAAAAAGCTTTAAATTTTTGCCAAGGTCCAATTCCGCCCAGTCCTAAATTAATTCTAAATAAAAATCCGGTCCGACTAGAGCCGGTCAGTACAGGATTAGACTACGAGATTATTCCCTAAAAAAGCTATTTTAATAAACATATATAGAATTGAACTTGCAAGGGGAAGCGGTTGGCCAACCGAATGCAAGCATTTTACGAAGGAATCGTTTCCTAAAATTTCTAGTACCTTGGGAGAAACCTGCGTCATGATAACCATGGATGCGACGACGTAAGGCGAGTCGGTTAGTTGAATGCCTATTTTAGATAGGTTCGAACCTATAGGGCCCATACTGAAAGGTATCACGTACATCGTTCGACCTTTCCGTTGTTTTTAAATATTTAGAGAGCTTTTAAATAATGGAATCTTCGATAAATAACCCTGCATTCAATTAGAGCGAATTCGCGGCTAATTATATGAAAATACCGCATATTTTGTATACTTCGCCGCAAATTCTTCTAAACTGCGAATGTAGGGTAAGTCCTCATACAGTTATGAGAATTCGCGGTGGAGAAAGCAAAATTACAACGTATTTTGTATAATTATTCGCGAATTCGCGCTCTATGAATGAGGGGTATTGTGTGGTATAATATGGTTGCCCAATAAATGTTCAAGATGATACTGCATGCTAAAACCAAGATAGGGGGTGGGAGGTATAATTATATTTTACATAGGGGGAGCCATAGTATATTTTAATTTGATAATAATAGCAACTATAATTAAGAATGACGCGTTTATATAAATTTCTTTGCAAATATATCATATTCAAATAAATATTTTTTTTATATTAATAAGTATGATGAGATGAAACGTTACATGGTCGGTCGATATGGGTCGACACTTTTTTACCAATAACAGATTATTCAACCCTCAAAATGAATAATTTTTCGATAAACTTTTGCGCTATTAAAAATTATATTTTCTTGGAAAATAATATTAAATTGTATTTTTTTTTAGGTTTATTAGATCATTTTTATTTTACAAGAAAAAATGCAACCCCACTCATGTTTACTTGTTTTTCCTAAATCAATTATCTTAAAATTATTTTTATTAACTTTTTTTCGTTCTATTCTAAGAAATGTAATGTTTATTGTAATATATTTTCGAATATTCTTATAATATCTACGTAATGAATTTTGCGAAATATAAATTTTATATTTTTGCAAATCAAAATTTCACGAATTTGCGCAATTACTTGCCAAGTTAAGATGTAGGCTATATTAATTTATATATATATAAATCGATGAAATTCATATAAAATATGGTTATTATAGCGCAAGTTATTTAAGAATCTTTTATATAAGACAGGTGACACTGCCGGATATCGGTGGTATCAGCCCGATTCCGATAACAAAATGGTTCGGTTCTCAACAGGAATTGATAATAATTTTTTTAATCTGTTATGTAAATAGATGAATATTAATATATTGGAAAAGTGTCAAGAAGGGTTCATAATTGTTTTGGATAATTTTCGGGTAAACAATACTCAATATTTTTAATAATAAAAAATGGCAGTGTCTTTAGAGCCCTATTTCATTTTGAAGAATTTCGGACATCCGACCCTAACATGGTTACGCCATTAGAGTAGAATTATTATAATCTGAGTGGCCTATAGACTATAATAATTATTTCAGTGTTTAAGCTTAAATTTTTTTCGTTAACCAAAATTTAGCTGTAAAATTATAGTGCCTAAGGCAGCTACTTTTTTTAAATAAAATTCTTCATATATAGCTAACCTTTCATGCATCCCGGAAATCTGTCTTGCCAAAGAGCTTTACTCATATCTTTAGGAGACATCCAATTACCGAGTGTTCCTTTGACTCCTTCCTTGGGTGTAGGGACCGTCTCTCTCTTTTCGGGGGTACTGATAAAAGTTTTACTTTCTACCCTAGCTACGTCGGCTGGGTCAGTGAGGGTTAGCCAACTTTAAAAAAATATATATATTTAGATTTCAAAATTTGATAAAAATATATATATATATATATATAATTTGTTAGAAAATGTTAGGAATTTAAAAATAATTTATAAAAAAATTATTGAAATCCAAAAATATTTTATCGTAATTAAACGATAAAATATTATAGATTATTGATTTTAAATTTATACAGCTTTCCTAGTATAGAATCGGCATGACCTTATTTAGGCCTATATAAAAACGAAACGAATAATGAACCATTCGTATTCGATTCTTTTGAAAGAATCGAACAATTTACTAATCGTCCCGTAATTTTATTCAAGAAATAGATCGGCTGATATCAACTTGATGTCGACAAAATGGGGTCCACTGATTATAGGTGATCAGCTGATATCAACTTGATGTCGACAAAATAGGATCGACCTCTAAAAAATATTTATCATTGTTAATCATTTCATTACGATTAGAAAATATATAAATAAAAAATTAGGCAAATATTGACCAAGAATAGTAATAAAACAATATTATTTTTAAGATAATATAATATAGGGCGAGAAGGAAAAGTATCAATTACTGATATGATAAGAGTTTCGATTAGTGATGTTAAACGGCTCGATTTTTTGAAACGGCGGCTAACCTATTTTAGCCAAAAAATATTATGCAAGCCTGATTTTGCTCATAGATACAGAAAGGTTTGGACATCTATAAACAAAATCTCGAGGCTGGCCTAATATTATCTTGGCTAAAATCTTAACTTGAAATTGGTTAAATTGAGCCGTTTAACAACACTAGACTAGATTCGGTTTAGCTGGCCTATTAAAATATATTAAGTAAAATTAAATTATTTATAATTTTTAATGAAAAAGGGGAAGAAAGGTTATATAAAACTTCCTTGAAATAATATTGCTATAATATAAATTATGCAAATTTAATATTTGGCAATCAAATTTTATAAAAGTTTTTCTTATTATATTGTAATTTTTAACTTTTACTTTTTTTTGACATATTAGTGTAAGGTTATTCCAATGTCCAAAGTTAGTTTCAAAGATTGATCATTAATTTTAAAGCTATGATAATTTTACAAAAATTGTTTTGGCCACATTTTTTATTTTCCATTTTTTAAAAAAGGCTTTTTTTTATTTTCCATTTAAAAAAAAGGCTTATCATGTTTTTCTATAGTTTTAAAATATTTCGAATTAAATTTTTTGATGTTTTGGACGCAGGGTAAAAAAAAATAAAATTGTAACCTCAAAGATAGAAAATATAATGTTAAAAAAATATTAATTAAATGTAAAAAAACTCAAATCCTTTTATTTTATCATAATATTGAAGATGACTACCAAATAGGATATTTAAGTTAAAATTTGACATAGATATTTATATATATTTTTTTTAAAAACCAATTTTGATATTTGCTGAGTTTTTTAACGATCCCTTGGTTCTGCATCAGAGCCAACAGTTTAGAATTTTCTTGAGCCGATCCGTCGCAGAGGAATATATTTTCCGGCTTACATATATCGGCCTTCTCCTTGATGTAGGCCAAAACGTTAGGCGCCAATTTTGAGGGGTTCCCTTTGACGAAAGTTATGGGCCGCCTAAGAATGACGTTGTTCGAGAGCGTCTCTAGATTCGCCCTATGATTCGAGAAGCCGCCGACGAGTCTAAGGGTGTTGGGGTTGGAGAAGGCTTTCGAGAAACAGGAAGCCGTCATTTTAGAAGCCAGGATCATTGGGGCTGAATTTTCGGAACTAACAGAAGGATTATTGTTTATAATTGTTACTCGGCGGATATCGCTATTAAAATCGGAGGTGATGAGGCCTATATCGTGGGAGCCATGGGAAGGTACTCTATGGAAAAATAATACAAATAGACAAGTGAAACATTAATTAGATTTGAGTTAGAAAAGCTAAAAATAACACATATTTTTACAAAATAAATTGTGATATATTGAATATATCAATTTACTTGTCAGTTGTTTTCATGGTATATAAAAACAAAATCTTTTAAGTTATTTAATAAATTGATTTTTGCTTAAAGTCAAAATTTTAGGCTTGATGGGTAAAAAATTTTTTATTTCGTTAAAATTTTATCATTATTTCAATTTTTTAAAAATAAATAATTTAAACAACAATAAAATAAAAAAAAATCTGATCAGGAAAGGGGAGAGGGAAACGTAGCACTTACAATTTAAACAAATAAAATATATTAAATAAAATAAATATAAATATATTGGCTGGCATTGGCATTATATAATATTGCATCACTAAATTGTAAATAAACAATTTTATAAGCCAATCATAATCTAGTGCGTAAGGACACACCCCCGCCCTAAAAAAACAATGGCTGGATTGGAACATTATTAACTTTGCATCATTAAATTATAAATAAATAACAATTTTATAAGTCAATCATAGTTTAGTATGTAAGAAAACACACCTCCACCCTAAAAATCAATTTCAAAAAATTTTATTTTTGTTATTTTTTAAAAATTTAATCGTAAAATTATTTTTGAAAAAAAAATATAATCAAGAAAATTGTTGATGTTTTCAAAAATTGAGTTTTTAGATATTAATTTAGGCCTGGAATGGATTTGAAAAAAAATTTATTTCACCAAGCCCAGCCAATGATATATATATAAAGACCTGTACATGGTCCACCCAAATTTTTTCGGTCCGGCCTGGGTTTTATATTTTCAGGCCCGACCCGGATTTTTTTAAAATACATTTTATTTATTTTCAATCTTTATAGCTAATAATGGCGAATTAAAATATTTGGTTTTAAAATATACGGCCCGGCGCGGGTATTTTTTTAAAATTTTTTTAGGCCCAGTCCGAGTATATTAAAAAAAAATTAACATCATTCATTAAATGCATTCGAGTGTCCATAAGTAGAAGTCAGCTGTAGCGACATTTCGTGCCCTTTCATTATATATGCATTAATATAACAACAAATAAAGACGATTAGTCGAAATGTAAACCATAAAATGGCAGACTCTTATGTAAGGACACTTAAATAATTAATTGCCAATCTATTAGTATATATATCATTGAGCCCAGATGGATTTTTCATTTTTGTTCTATGTCCGACCAGGAATTTTTAAAATTTCGCTATTTGGAATAAGAATGCGCATTTTGTAAATGGCTTCAAGGGGGAACTTGAATTGGAAATATGAGCATTAAATATTAAACTCTCCATTATACGATTTATTAGAATTGTTAAAAAAATTGCGCGCAAAAATTTTTGTGTACAGCGCGTTCTGCATTCATAACGCGAATTCGCGGCGAATTTTATATACCCTGTATTTTTGTAATCTCCTCTGCGATTTCGCGCTAAGAGTGAGTGAGAAGTTATCTTGCATTTACCGTTAGGACGAATTCGCGGCGAAGTATACAAAATATCCTATTTTTGTGTATTTTTAAATACTTGCGAATGCGCGATTTCTATATAATACTTTTTAAATGTACGTAAACAGCTGCGCGATTTCATCATTTCACGCTGAATTTATAAAGTATGCCTATGATTTACCTAATTTTGTAATATGAAGCGATTAATTTTGCATTTAATAAAATAGCGCTTACTATAAATGCAGTGTAAAATTTAAATTAATTTTGAAATATTTTCAAAATGTGCATTAAAATCTGATATATCAAGTAATTTAAAATATAAAATGCAGAGACTGATAAGGAAACGAATGAGACAGACGATAAAAAAAAACGAAATTTATCTATAAAAAATATTTATTTCTAAAAACAAAAGATTTCCTTTTAAGAATTTTAAAAAGGTATTTCATTTCTTATAATGTATACACTATTTTATATAATTAGATTCTCTACGATGATGATAATGTGCTAGTTGCCATTATTCGCCCTAATTTTAACGGGACCTCATATAAACCTAACTGGATACAAAAAGCAACTAAATAGGTTAATTTTGACTAGTCCAATACCCAATAAAGATAGATAAATAAGCTGGTACTTCTAGAACGGCATCTACTATAGAAGTTTTTTTTAAAATAAATGATAATAATGAAGCGGTTTTAAAAAAAGCAAAAAAGTTTGCCTTTAAATTAATATTTATAAATTGTTATCAATTTGCAAAATACCATTTGAAAAGATTTTGAGTTTTGCATATATAAACGCAAACTCTTAATTAGGTTGAAGTATAATGCAATAAAAAATCCTTCTTGACACATTTTTTTAAATCTAAAAATACTTCGAATAAACATTTCATAATTTTTTCTTAATATTAAAAGAATGTTCGTAAAATTAAATACTTCATTACCCTTCAAGTGATAACGTTGAGCATTTATTTAGTAAAGTAAAGATTATACTTTCTGATCACCGATCCGGACTTAGGGATGCCAGGGCCATGTTACGGAATGGATGCGACCGCCCTAAGCCGCCGAATTATTCGAAATTTTAAGAACCCGTTCATATTTAAAATAAAGAATATAGATATTTAAATAATTATTTTACATATAAACTGGTATGGGAAACTTAATGGGAATGCTAATTTAAAAACGTAAAAGCGATTCATAGTTAGTAATACTTACAGAGTTTACCGTTGTTTTGGAACAGAAACTATATTTTGTTCTCATTCAATTCGAACATCATATAAAAATAATTTCTAAAATGTCAGTACCCCTATTTTTATCGTTTTTTTGAGCAAATTCTCATTTAAAACGAGCATTTGTTAAAAAATATAATTTTTTAAAAACTAAGTGGTAATCTATAAAATTATTCAAAAATTATATAAATTTCTGACTTTTAGTGAATAAATTTTAAGTTTAGTTTAAAAAATTATATTTTTTAATAAATGTTTGTTAGAAAATATATAAAATAGGTTGACATATTTAAAAAAAAAATTTTCAATATAAAAAATGTTATTTATATATTTTGTGCTCTCATAATAAGAGTTTCTGTTAGAAAACAATGGTATACCCTGTATGACGCTTTGCTGGATTTTTCAGACACAACAAAAGACCCATAGTGTAGCATCATAGAGGCGTGTTCTTCATCAAAGAGTTCCATTTTTTGTTGATGCAAGATTACGCAAAGCGACAGTATAATCCAATGACGCATTATTGATGGATTTAGGAATAATCGTTTTAAGGATTACTTAATCCTAAAAATAGCTTGCTGAAGAGTTAGTGAGAAAAATGTTTTACGAGTAAGAACGTCAATTCGACGAAAAAAACTTAAAATTAGTTTTCCTTTGAAGGAAAGGATCCAGAGTTTAAAAATATCCTATTGATTTTTTCAATATATTGCTCGATCAGGCTATGATGTCATTACACGAACGCTTTTTTAACAGTTTAAATATTTATAGAAGCATGAGAGATCTGCAGATCTGGCCGTAAGCCCGGCCCGAGTCGGACCATATTTTATTTTTTTAAGTACAAGCCGAACTATATTTTTTTTATAAATATACCTGGCCGAGTCTAAAAATTTTTTTAAAATATACCCGGGCGGGCTTAAAATTCTTTTTTTTAAATACCCGGGCCGGGCTGTATATTTTAAAACCAAATATTTTAGATCGCTATTATTAGCTATAAAAATTAAAAATAAATGTAATACAGCATGAAAAAATCAAATCCGGGCTAAAAAAAAATCCAGGTCGGGCTGGGTGGTGCAAATGGTACCTCTATAGGTCTCTGAGGATCATTTAGTTTTTTCGTTTGTATTTCTGAAGCTGTTAATTATTCTAATCAAATATTTTGCTTACGGGTCTAGATATGTAAAGTGACATCGAAGGATTTAGATCAATCTAACTAAAAACTTTTATATTATCAATACTCCCAAACAAATTTCACACTTTATCCATAGTAATTAGGCCAGCGGAAGCATTTTCCTAATATTTCGGCTCTGAAATTTTTTACTAATAATCCCAATCAGTGTGGCTTCAGGTGAACGTAGTTTTTCACTGCCTAGTTAAAACCTACCTAAGATACTGCATGACAGAGGATTGTTTCGTTTGATTATTATATTATGGTTTGCAAACAAATGAGCAAAGGAAGATATAAATTTTAGCCGTATTGTTTAATAATATAGTTTAAAAAAATATTAATATGCAATTGAATATGTTAGTGTCAATGTGTTATTTTTTTTAACTTTAAATCATTCTTTGAGCGCGTTTTTGCATTTTTAAAATAGGATTCTACCGGAAATGTATTATGACATGTTTCGAATACCTAATATATGAAGTTTAGACAATTTTTTCTTGTTAACTTTTGAGCTATTTATATTCTATATATAAAAATCTACATAAAAAAACTAATATAAATTATATTAAGTTTAAAAAGTGTAAGGCAAAATTTTCTAAATCGCAGGATTGGTATTTTACAAAAGGAATACATTTCCAGTTTACCTTGCGTTCACAGTTAACGCGAATTCGTGGCCAAGTATATAAAATATGATATAAATATAATAATTTTGCATTTCGTTTTTGTGTATTCGCCGCGAATCACACTAATTGTGAATGCAAGGTTAATCAGAAGGAAGGAAGGAAAGAATGAAAGAAAGATGTACTGAAAAAACCAAAGCTGAGAACGGACCCTCGATATTTCGCTAAACCCAAACCCTAACTCGAAATCTTTTTTAAAATTTAGGGTTCAAGGTAGCTTTTATAAATTTTTTTTAATCGTGGAAGTTTTAATGACGATATTTTAGAAAATATTATAATTCGCCTAAATAAAATTTTTAAAATAGAAACATAATATTTTAAATTGTTTTGTAGTATTTAGTGTTGTTAAACGGCTCGATTTAAGCCGATTTTTAAAAACGGCTAACTCAATATTTTATTCAGAAAAAATATTATGCAAGCCTAAAGATTTTGCTCATAGATGACACAAGGGTTTGGACATCTATTAACGAAATCTCGAGGCTTAAGCAATATTTTTGTGGCTAAAATATTGAGTTAGCTGTTTTTAAAAATGGGAATATGAGCCGTTTAACAACAGTAGTAGTATTATATGTATATATTATAATTATGATGATAAATTATTTTTATAGCAATACTAATTAAAATAAATATAAAAAAATGATGTTTCTATTATTTTAACTAATTTTTATAAATTATTTTTCTGGTCTCGGAACCCTGAAACCGAAACGGGTTCAAAGATTTTTCACTGCCCAAACCAGAACCCTTTTTTTATAAGGAGGGTTCACAGCCCTGGATAGCGCCGTGTATTTTGCAAATTAAGCATATATATACGTGAAATAATCATTCTGATAATAACACAAAAAAGGTTGTAAAAGAAAATATTGTTTTCTTGTAATTTTTTTTATAAATTTAAATAAAACATATGGAAAATATATATAAACCTAGGCAACCTGAAATTCAAATATGGCCAATTAAAATATTTTTGTCCTGGATGATAATTTTTATCTCTAATATTTAGTAATTAAAAAATAATCCAGCTTTATTTTGACAAAGGAGAATTAATTTCAAGCAGTTTATATTTAGAAAAAATATAATAATTTTAATTTACATAGATCGTTTCGCGAAAATTATTCTTTCACAAACTCCCTTTTTAGGGCTGAAAATAGTTTTTAAAAAATTAACAAATACAATCATTAAAGCAACATCTCATTCATTCCAATTGGATACGTTGGCTAGTCAAATTGCATGCTCTTCTTTAAATCTGATTGGGAAAAATTATGATTATATTAAAGACGATCTTAACAAAAATTTTTATCTGTGATAAATGAGATTTATTTCTCAAATTGCAATTTCATCCATAGTACATTGAACCCTATTTGTTCAACTTAAATATTTTATATCTTCTTTTTTTAGCTAGCTATGTTTTTGTTTTCTTTAAATAGTTTTTTCGAAAATGTAAGTTATATTTTTTTTAAATCTTAGATATGTATTACTTTTTGTTTTTCTGGGTTATTTTAGCCTACTTCATATATTATTTTTAAAAAATTTTTTTATTAAAGTTTAATTTAAATTTAAAAAGATCATGATACAATCAAAAAATGGTGATTTAATTAAAAATTGTGATTTGAATCAAAATATTCATTTTAAAAAAAATATTGCTTGTGACCCTGTTGCATATCCCTAATACTTAAAATCGAATGTCATATATTCTTATATTCGATATATGCATAATGCAAAGGCATATCAAATGTTGAGATAGGAACCTTAGACAATTGACTGCTTTTAATTATTTATATGACTTTTTATAGTGAAATAAATATAATATATAAGGTAATTTATTAAAATGTGAAATCTGTGATGTTATTTCACTCTTCATTGCTAATTTTTAAACAAAATAAAATTTTGATAAATTTATTTGATATTTCCCATTTAAACAAAAATATAGAGAAAAATGGATTGTCTAATACAATTCAATATCTATTTTCCATGTATTTTATCAATTTTTACTAACCAGTGCAATGTAATAATGTAGCAAGAGATTTTACCCATTAAATCTTTATTAATAGTAACTTTATCCAAGTAACAATAACTCAATCTATTTATATAATAGTGACCATTAATTTTTAAGTGTAGCATATAGTAATCTAAAAAAATCATTCCCCAGTTGTATTAAGGTGCTTGATTGTAAGTTTTAACAACCAATGAATTATTTAGAATCAGTCTATTCTAAACAAATTTTATTCAATAAAAGAAATGTCAAACTAGTCACCAAATCTTAAAATACGCTAATCATAGGTATTTAATCCATATAAAACAATTTTTTGGAAATTGGTTTGAATTATTTACTTATGCCAAATAATAAAAATTTTAATATTTATTTAAAAAATATAAGTATATTTCTATTAATTGAACCCATATACTAATATCTATTTCCTAATTCCAGTTAATATCTCAATTATTGTTCTTCTGGTTGGGTTAAATTCAATTATATTTCAAATTTAGTCTATATTTATTTTTATTTTTGAGACCAACTTAACTCTAAGTGAATCAGTGGTGAAACTACAGGGAGGATTTTTGGGGTTGGACCCCCCCCCCCCCCAAGCATTTATTATACGTTCAAAAGACTCAAAAGTGACTTTATATATAATAAATACCATGAATATTTAAATTTTTCTGGTTTTAATGTTTGTGGAAGGATATTATATTGAAATTATTCAGGATAGTATTATTATAAAGTCATTGAGAATAATCTACTAAATTATAATAACATATTATTGATGCATTTAAAAAATATATTTTCAATAATTCTAGGACTTTTACATTATAAGAAAAACAAATATGATTTTTAAGATAAACCGGGCTGAAGGCCAGGCAAAAGGGCTAAAGGCCCATTAAAGAGAGGTCTGGAGGTGAAGCCCCCAGGATTTTATATGTATGGACCTTCTCTAAGGAAAATTTCTAACTACACCATTGAAGTTAATGAATGGCCTGTAAAATTTATGGGGGCTTCATATTCAATCTTGACTTAGGCCAATCTTTCTTATAAATTCTCAATACAATAAATAATATAGCTATAATACTTTAAATTAAATCTAAGCAAAATATAAATTAAAATTTATTAAAATATCATAATGTAGGAATAATTAAAATCTATATCATCTTTTTAGATTATATTTTATAATAAGTATTATAAGTTTTAACATAGTGGAATCTGTAGGAAATCCAGTATCAGACTCATAGAATAATTAAAAGTATAAATATAAAAAAAAAGGAAATGAGGTAAAAATTTTACAATTAAAAACCAATAATCAAGATTATTTACCTTAAAAATCTTACTTAGTATATTAGAATTCCCTTATATGTTCAAAAGCTTTTAGTTTATTCATATCAAAGATATATTAACGAAACGCATTAAAAAAAAGAAAATTAAAAAAAACCGTGTGTTTTAATCATTCCTTCAGGTATATAAAGATGAAAAAATATCAACATCCCCACCATTATCGGCTTTAAAAGTGACAACTAATATAAATAGAAATGGGAATAGCCAAGTAAGTCATTATGTTTTATCTTTTTTAATTAAATTATATAATTTATTATATCAGAATAAATTATATAATATATTTTTTTTAATTATAACTAAATCATTGAACTTAATTTGAATAATGATTCAATTAATTTAAATAATAAAATAAAAATATAGTTCTAATTATGTTAGAAACGCATGATGAGTTATAAAGAATAAATATTATAATTTTTTATTTTTATGTAATATATTATATTTTAATAAATTTATCTTACATTCGCCAATTTTAATTAAGTGTTATAATATTATTTACAAAATAATATAACAAATTAAATTATATTTATCAAGCTATAATTAAAAATGATGCGTCACTTTTCTTTACAGTACCAATTATTTACTAGCGTTGATAAAAAGCCCGATTCGGGTCAATTTAAAAAAAGGCCCGATTAAGATTATACCCAAAATAATATCATGTAATCTTAAATATTTTGCTCATGACTGTCAGAAATGCGTGGATATCTATTTACCAAATCTTCATGCTTTCATAATATTTTTATTTTGAAATCAAGCCAACTCAAGCTTTTTAACAACACTCATCTATATACTTGGTACGATCGGAATATTTGATTCGATGATTGGATAAAAAAATTAAAAACATGAGGTTCTTTCGCTGAGGTGGAAAATTGTGTAAGTTGATGTGTAATAATATGTAAAATGTAAATATAAATTTTAAATTATCTATTTAAGTGTGAAAAAGTCATGGATATAAACCCGGACAAAAACCTGGACCATGAAATGTCGTGATCACCCCCCAAAAAAAAATATCCCTTCAATTAATGATGAGTTTTTATTTATAATTATTTTATATATTTTACGAATGATATTTTAAATTATAAATTCTACTACGAACTATTAAAAATTATGAATATGAAGGAATTGTTTATTGGAATATGATTTAAATAAAAATCGTCTACACATTTAGGATGAACAGGTATATATTGAGAAGAGGGCTACCTGGGAGCTAAGCACCCTACTAAAAAAAATTCCCATCCTTAGCCCCTAAATTTTAAGGAGGGGTGTATTGATTGGAATATAGAGTCTATTAGGATTCAAAATCTCTCAGTTTTATATTAATCATTGAGATAATTTGGAAATTTGATTTAAACTGAAATGCATTCCACCATGAGTAGAGTAATCAACCTATGAATTTCAAAAGTGTTAACTCTACACCTTTCTATATTTTACAAATTTAAAATAAGTCTAGTTTATAACTTCAAAACATAATTATCTCAAATTCAAGGGTTTGTACTCGATACATTTTTCGATAAAATCTTTTAAAATTTAAAAAACACCTATGGATCCCATATAACAATATCATATAGAGAAATAAAATATATATTTTAAACTGATGTCTTTTAAATTAGAGTTAATTTTAAGAGTTAAAAGTTGTGTAGGAAGAGCATTAATATCCATTGCAAGGCCATAACTTAATTTATGGTTATTTGTAGTGATTTAGAAAGCAGTGTTCAAAAAGACTAATATTAACAAAGATATTTTACTAATACATGAGTAAATTTTAGAATAAGCATTAGATTTTATATTTGATATAATTAAACTATTAATTTTAAAAATTATAAAGTTCTTAATAACTTATTTATTTTTAAGTTTGAGGTATTGTTTGTTTATTGATGCGAGACTACAATTCTTTACCTAAATTAAAAGTAAACCCTATGTTAAATTATTTATTATTGTAGTTATTAAGTATGCTAAGCTGCAATATACATGAGTACATATAATTACGCTTTGCGATATATATAAGTAAATAATTAAACTTTTCAATGTATATGATAATAGTTTATAATTTATAAATATTGTGACAACTTTTATCTAGATAATTCATAAATCATATCTAGATCAAATTCATATATGTTTGTTTTAACTATTGATAATTCTATTTTGATTAACATTAATAATAATATATTTTTTAAATATATCACCAAGATACAATTGATTGATAGAACCTAAATATTTTATGAATAATATAATACATGTATTTTTTTGAAATATGATGTTAAATTCTGAATTATAAATTGAAAAATATAGATTTTTATTCCAAAAAAATTTTAGGCCATTATAATATATTAAAATTTATGTAGAATTTATTTAGTGAATATGTGCAAACAATTTTAATTATTTTTTACACAGAATATGGAAATAAATGGACATTTATATCCTAACATTTGATTGGTAAAAACAGTTAATAGAAAAGATTTAATAGAATCCAATTCTCTCATGTCATTGAAAATTGAAACATTGCAAAATGGAATACAAAGTATAAAAAATAATTCTAACCAATTAAATTAATATATATATTCTACATTCCTTATATCTGTAATTATATAGTTATAGTTAGTTATTAAAATTAATTTTAGTATTATTAATTTTATTACCTTGAGTTCATTTTATTGGCACAAAATATAATTTTAATAAATGACTTGATTATTATATGACTGTATTTTGAATTTAGTTTTTAGGCCATCAAAAAAAAATACCATTTTTTGTTTAAAAAATACCTGCAATATTTCAAACAATACTAAAAAAAATTTACCAAATTATAATATTGCTAAAATATATTTATCTAATCTACTATCACTTTCAATTTTAAAAAATTTTGAATATGAAATATTCAGTAAAAAAAATATAAAATGATATGATTATAATTGTTTCATGTATGATGTGATTTTGCTCATTACAAAAAAAAGACTAGCCTAGCTCAGATTTGCCCATCTATAGAAAAAATTAAATTATATCAATTAATCAGTTGAAAAATAAAATAATGGACCCCCATTACTAATCAGAGTTAAAATTGCCCAACTAAAATTGAATTTTCTTCATGAATATTGTTTATTTTATTCTAAAATATACGATTTAAAAATAATTCAAAGCGGTTTTTTAGATTATATAAAAATGCAATAACTAGATATGAGTTTAAAAAATATTTAAACAAATATTTTATCACATATTTTTGTAAGCATATATTTGTTTATAATAAATAATTTAGCAATTCAGCAGACATAATATGTAATTACTTCAAGTAATTAAAATTTATGATTGACAATCAAACTTTTATCCTACTTTTTGAGAGATTTGGATAAAATTTATATTTTTTTATATATATGATTAATTAAAGTTTTCAGACATATATAATGAGAAATTATCAAATTAAATTTTAAATTCAATAAAAATCAATAATGAGTTAATATTATTTGCTATTTCCTTCTGAAACAATTTGCAAAAATATAGGAAAAATTATATAATATGATAAAATTTTAAAAGATTTCAGACCATGTAGATCACAAATTATAGAAAAATTTGTGTGGGGATTAAATAAACCCCAACCCTAGGGCAAAAATAATTTATAGCTTGGCTGGGCTTAATATTTTGATGTTGAAGCCTATGATTTAGATGAATATGAAAATAATTTAAGAATAAACTATATTTGATTTGCAAAAGGTCAAATTCGCAGGCATGGACTGACACATTTTTATTATTTTCCTCAAGTTCAAACTACATTTTGCAAAAATAATATGGCCTAAATTTTAAAAAATTTTTGTTCATTTTATGTCCTGCCTATGTTTTTATGATTTTATCTCTAAATATTATTGGAAATGTAATAGCTTCGAGGTGATATTGAGTATGTATGAATCAATGTTAACTAGTACTTCATATGATTCTTTAACACGTTAATTTTTATTTAAAAAAAATTGCCTTGGTTTCTAATATTTTATTTTTAGAAGAAGCTTAGGGTTTTTTAATATTAAAACTGACCATTTTAAAATCATATCATTTTGCAATCTAAGATGGAAGTCTACTTTATATTATATTGATTTTCACATGCTTTGCAAGCCTCATCATTAATATATTTAACTTTTGATTTGATGGCTGAGAGTGAGAATTAGTATATAAAAAAATTATTTGATTAAACTATCAAATTGAAATATGGGCTATTTTTTTAAAAGAAAATTTGTGAGCTAGCTTCATAGTTCATACAAGGTTTGATAAAAGTAAAATTGAAAATTGTAGAGAAATTTAGGAGACATAGGCATTGGTTTTTTATAAACCTATCTTTAAGATATATTTTTTTTGTAAGAGAGAACTATTTTATTTTTTATGCCAGTATTAAAATACCCTGGTTATAAATATTTAGAAATTGTCACAAGATTGACATATTTTTTAATACATAACCATCTTGGAAAAATGTTAAAAACATTTAAAAATGTGTTATCAAACAAAAATATTTTAAGGAGGGTTTGATAGTGGCAAATAAAATAAACCTATGTTTTGGATTGGCAAACCCATTTCAATTTTGAACAAATTTTAAATCATCCAATTTTAAACGCTTCCTTAGATAATTTTGTTTTATAACAAGTTGTGATGTTATATCGTTATTTCAAGATGTTTATACATAAATAATTGGCTGACAATTCTGAGATATACACATTTATAATGAGGTAATATCAATATTAGCAAAAATATCAATTTTTAGGCAACAATAATCTATACCAGGTTCTTTAAAAATTTACCTATGGATTTTTACAGGGATTTAAACCCTAACAAATATCAGGTAGATTTAGATAAGATAAAAATAGGTTCATGATTCAGGTTCGGTTCGTAAAAAATTATAATATTGTATTAGAATTATATTAAAATTTTTTTTTTTCAAATTTTATCACTATTCTCTGAGCTGTGTACAATTAAAATATTTTAAAAATTTTATTCACAGTTAGCAAGAATTCGCTGCAAATTATGCAAAATACATTGTTATTTTATATATTTTCCATGAATTTGTGCTAACTGTAAATGTAGGGTAAAGGAAGAATAATTTTAGTCTGAGAATACTTCTATCTAACTCGGGTAGCTGGCACCGTCAAATTGCGATATAAAAAAATATCTAAAAATAATTACTGATAATATTATTAACAACTACTGATTGTTATTCATCTTTAAAATGGTTAAAATATCAAAAGATTCGCCAGTATGTTTAGAAGCTCAATTCAGGTTAGGTAAATAATAGTGGTTAGTACTGGTTTAATGGTTCTGGTTCGGTTTAAATCCCTTTTTCAAAAATGGATCTAAAAATTTATTCTTATTTATAAAATATATTGGATATTTCTTAAAATTAGAGATATCCACATGTTGTTTAAAACTACTAAAATTCTGTTACTTTTAGGTCAACATAGAGAGGTAATTAATTAGAAATTGGCTCATTCCAAAGCCTGTGGCTGAGGAAAATAAATTTGGCGCTATGCCATACAAATTATTTAAAATATTTTTATAGGAGTCTGGGTGGAAGCTTTGATAATGTTTTTAAAGCTGATAATTAGCTTTGTCGTTTGCCATCATAGAAAATTATTAACTGGGCTGGTACAAAATATACATTATAGGCCAGGTCAAAAAACTTAATAGAAAATTTTCATGAGTAGTTTGGGCTATGTCTTCTCTGAGTCAGTTTGAGCTATGCCTTCCATGAGTCCGTTTGGGTTATGCCTTCTAAATATATTAGCTAGTAGTGGATTAAAGGTCACAACAAAAAAGTGGTAACCATTAGAGGTTTTCACTATATAACTAATTTTTTGCAATTTTTAATGTCATTGCACAGTTTTGCATATAATATCCAATTCAAGCTATTTTTTATAATCAAGTCTTTGTATTATTAGTAATTATCATATTTTTAAATCCTTTCCCCACATTTAGCATATTATACACTCAAGAGGTATGTGGTGGGGTTTAAATCCCCCACCCATCCTTTTTTAAAAATAAATCTATTTGGAATTAAATTGAGTATATATTTTTCATGGGTTTGTTTTATGACATTTTCTATTTCAGGTCAAAGTTAATATCCGCAAAGTTTAATATATTTTTATCCAGTATAATATGAATTATTAGTCTATTTTTTTTATAGCCTGGGGGTTAAAAATTTCCCACTTTAACTTTCGTTAAATATTTTTTAATATAAATATTATTTGGGAAATTAATAAATATTTTGATAATACTTATTTATTCATTTTTTTAAACATTATATGGGAAGTTATCAATTTGTGTAATATTTATTTTTTGAAATATTTTGGTAACCTATAATTTTGTTATCTTTGTCAATCAATTTGAATTGCAATTTTTTTATACTTATATCTCAAAAATAAAAAATATACAAATTAATGAATTCTCGAATATCATATTTAATGAAAGAAGAATAATCATGACAAATACAAGAATCATAAAATCTTTTATATCATAAGAAAAAATATAGAATTTTGTTTTATTATGTGCTAAAGATGGTTGTGACTTGTGTAATATGTACAAAATTTTTGGTTAAAATTTTTTCAAAATTTGTTAGAAATATTGCAATTAAAAATTAGGGTGGTTATAATTATATATTCTCTATATTGCTAACTCTCACGTTAAATTTTTCCCCGCCTTACCGGGTTTTAATATATAGTATGGAAAATGTGGATGTACTGATATCTAGTCGATATTTTAAAAATTTAACCCATACAGATTTTATGCCTATCTTTATTTTTGAACTAATTTTCCCTAAAGGAAATCTTATAAAATATGTTTTTACATTTTTTTAACGATAAAATAAGTATTAATATTTTATCTCCGGTTGATATCCTTTTGATTATTGGAGGGTTAATACTAGAAAGTTTCCAACTTTGTAATTGCACCTATGTATCATTTCCCAGAACAAGTGTTCCATCAGAATCAGTCTTCGACAAAGCTGGCGATATAGATAGTATTTTTAAGTAGTTCGATTTAAGTCAATTTCTAAAAATGGCTAAATCAATATTTTGGCCAGAAAAATATCGCCTAAGCTTTGAGATGTCGCTAATAGACGTCCAAGCCTTTTGTGCCATATTTGACCATCTTCAGGCTTGCGTATTATTTTTCTGGGTAAAATATTGAGTTGCCGCTTAAGATAGCCATATAAGGGAAACTTATCACACATGCTTGAAGCTCTTATCTTTTTAAAGAAAAATATTCAATGTTATAATTTTAGTTAATTTATATTTCATTATATTATTTTATTAATTGATATTGATATTTAATTTGTTTTTGCCTTTTATTCAAATAAAGATATATAGTTTGTTATACAAAAAATTAATATAAATATATAATATAGTATGCTAGCATGTAAATTTATAATTATTAATATTAAAATTAAAATAGATAAATGAAAATTCTGATCATTATTAAAAAATATGGAACTATATATATAATTATTCTTTAAGGGCCATAATTTAATAAGATAATACATTATTACTTATAAATACCTCTACAAATTTAAACACATATTTTTAAAATTTTAAAGCTTTGAGACTTTTTTGATTTTAATAAGTGAATATTCATTTATACACAAATTATTATTTCATTACCTTATGTTTTATAAAATAATGACAAAAAACCCAATGTAAATATCGGTGCCGTTTGAAATAAATTTTGATAAATATCAGATCGGATTGGTAAAAATTGTATATCGGTGCAACCCAAATAATAAACCATTTCAACGCACATTGCCATGTTCATATTATATTGTTTGGCTCAAACAGTATTTAAAAATCATAAATCCATATATCCATAATTTATATCGTATTAAAAACTATTGTATGCTATTCTCTACTTAGAAATCTTATTCTTACCTCCTTAGATTAATTTATTCTTTAATAATCGAAATGGCAAAAGAAATCCAATGGGTTAGAGAATTACATTAATTGATTATAAATTAAATATTAGGTATAATAAACCAGGCCAAAAATCCAGCACCCCTAAGGCTCAGGGATCTTATAAGACAGATCAGGGCAGCCCCGACCGCCGCCGAAGAGAGGGCGGTCATACAGAAGGAATGCGCTTACATCCGATCAACATTTAGGGAGGAAGATAATACATACAGATGTAGGAACGTGGCAAAGCTTTTGTACATTCATATGCTCGGTTATCCCGCTCATTTCGGTCAGGTTTAAAACAATAAAACATACCACATAATATATTAATTATAAATGGTATTTTTGATCTCAAATTTCTAGCCTAAATTTAAAGATTATTAATAAGCGGAGACCTTTCTTATATTACATCTAGTATATTGTTGGGTAATGCTAAATCTAGCTTTTAGTCGGCGGGTTTTATTCAGCACGCACCTTAGATCGAACCTAATTTTAGCCATTACCCAACTATAATCACATTATCTTTTTATTTCGTTTTTTGGGGATTTTGACTTATAGCTAAAAAAAAATATAATATATGTTCCTCTTAAATCATAAATTTTTTTCAATTTTTATGATTTTATTTTTAATTATTTAATCTTTATTCACACCTATATGTAACAAGTTAGATTATCAGAATGTATCCCCCCCCCCCTATTCCTTTCTCAAAAATTTCATTCCATTAATTGATGCAAATCAAATATTAATATTTTTTTTAAAAAAATTTAAATGTTACTTTTTTATAATTTCTGTGCATTAATTTTTTTTTCACCTTCCTCTTTTCAAATGTTATTAATATATTGAAAAAGATTTAAAATAAGAAGAAAAAAAAATTTAAAAATTAGAATCGATTTTTATTTAAAAAAAACTCAATAATATGTCTTTTAATAATATAAATATATAATTAAGATATATAAAAGGATTACTCCATATGCACTAGAATTATATAATCATTAGCATTAGTATATATATTTATCTTTTAAAGAAATTTCAGGTTTAAATAAAGTATTGGTTTATTTCAATAGAAATTTGTCGTAACTTTTTTGTCTCATACAAAACAGTTTTATATAAAATCTGCAAAGATGCCATTTGAATGGCCTAGACCTGCCCATATTTTAATAAAATTTCTGCCCGGTTTTGGTTTTATATGTTTAAGCCCTGCTCAGTCCAGATTTTTTTAAAATAAAATTCTTCGTAGAGAAAGAAAAAATCAAAGTATTATGTCCGGCTTGGCCCTGGTATTTTTAAAAAAATTTTTTTATGCCCGCCCGAGTATATTTAAAAATTAAAATACGGACCGGGCCTAATGCCTGGTTTACAGGTCTCTGATATATAGGTTTCCCCATATTTTGAATTCAAATTATCAATTGCTCCAACAGTATTGGCTTAATAGTTAGTTTCTTTATAACATAAATGAACCATATATTTTCAATAAAAACAAATAAAGGGAAATTAAATGAGTATATACTATATAATATTGAACTGAAAACAAATTCTTAAGCTCGAATGCCTAAAACTGATCGCCTCGCCTCATTTCACTGACAAAAGGATAGGGTACCTAGGCGCTATGCTTCTGTTGGACGAAAGACAAGACGTTCATTTACTAATGACCAATTCACTTAAAAAGTTTCAAAATGTTCTTTTCTTACTTTATAAAAAAATTTGTTAATATTTAACGGTTGTGATTAAATTATGTATCATACCCCAAAAATTAGAATGGTCTCAATATATACATTTTATTTTATTTTATTTTATTCATCATTCACGATTATCAATATCTGACCCTCCCCGCCATTTAATCAATGTTAGTGATCTGCAAGGCCCGGCCCGATCATCCCCTCATGGGGTCCTAATTTACTTTGGCCTTAGGTTGACCTAATTTTCGAAAATAATTTTGTTATGACAAAAAAAAATTTGGCCAGGCCTAATCCGATGCAGATCTCTAATTTATGTTCCATAAAAAAGTCTACTTTTTAAAAATGAAATCTTACAATTATAAGGAACTTTACTTATTTTGTTATTAGAAAACAACCATAAAATGTATTTATTATATAGCGATTTAAGCCATCAAACTCAATTCGTGGTCGGGTTAGCCTTGTGCACTTTAGGCAATATATGTTCGCCCGAGATGTGCCGAGACCTGGCAGGAGAAGTCGAAAAACTCATGAAAACTTGTAACCCATATATCAGGAAAAAGGTGTCTTTTCTATTTCCTAATTGCCGTTTTATATAATCGCAATTTTCTTTAGTTTCTTCATTATTAAGATTCTCAAAATACATAAATTTAAGACAAACCATTCTAATACTAATCCCGCTACCATATTACACTTTCGATGTCGGTTTAAATCGTAAACGTTTGTTAGATTTTAAAATAAAAAATTTTACACTATTTTATATTGATAATCTTAATAATGAAGCTAGTTTTGATTATATAAACATATATTATATTTCAGCTTTCCTATCTTTTTGGGTGGTAATTACCTTCAGTATCTCAATTTTATGTTATTTATACCTTTCCTTTTTATTTGATGTAATTATTATTATAAAAAACATAAAATCCCAGGCTATTTTATGCGCTTTTTGTATCATACGGAAGATACCAGATTTGATGGAAATGTTCATACCCGCTACGCGAGCATTATTGAGCGAAAAAAATCATGGTTTTAAAATAAATAAATATATTTCACTTATAATGTTCATCGAGGAAAGATTTGAATTTAGTTCATTAAAATTATTATAAATAAATAAAAAGTAGTTTGGGAATGAATAATTTATTAGGCGTTTTAATTTACGAAAATTAAATCTAAAATTTTCTAAGTCTATTAATATTTAATATTTTTGTTATTCTTAATTTACCTTTTTTTATTTACCCCTATTTACTCCTCTCCCGATATTAATTTATCTTATCACCCTTCTTTACTTTTTCAAGGTTGTTGCATGTTATAAATAAAATGATTAAGTTCCTATTTATTGATTATTTGGGCGATCAAATATTTAAAAAAATTAATAAACTTACTAAAAAATAATAATAGGCGTGTTATTGACGGCTATTGTTTTAATCACCGAAATGTGCGAAAAATCGGTCGACGCCCTTAATCATTTCAAAAAGGTATATTCTATTTTCAAAATTCGATTTATAGGCCTCGTGAAAACCAAGCGAGCGCGAAATTTTGAATTTCGTCTATCAAGCAAAATATATTTTGACGAAATAAAAAATATCATAAATTTTCCGTTTTTTTTCAATTCATGATTACGATTCATTTATCGAGTCAAATTAATTTAGCCTATATAACAAAAATAATGTATTTTATCACCAATTTTTATGACTTGACCATTTGCCAAATTTGATGTATTAAAAAATTTTGCTCGGTGTGTAAGATATCATAAAGTACGATAGGGGAAACGGAATTTATGAAATGCATACAGAAAGTTATATTACCAACAAAAATTTATTTTTAATTTTACATTAAATTTTGTTTTGTTATTAGTTTAGTGAAGGTCAGTTATCTGTTCAGTTTTTAATTTATAAAACGGGACGTATAAGCGTTTATCCCCGTTATTCTTATTTTTCATTTTTAAAGAGCAAACGCCTCCCAAAGAAGCTATACCGGGACTTTTAACCCTACTATTTTTCATTTTTAAAGAGCGAACGCCTCCCAAAGAAGCTATACCGGGACTTTTAACCCTAATCTTGAAGTCCCGGACATACGTTTGACCTTATATAGTTGGATTTATATAGTTTTATTTTTTTGTCGGAAGCCCTAAGTCGCCTGTCACACTATAACATCTTGTAAGTAACACTGATAAAATTGTCCAGAATAGACAATTGTTATCACTAATAATAAAATTCAATATTTTGTATGTTGGACCACTAAGAGAATAACGGTGATATATTTTACAAATAACTAGATTATGAATTTATAATATATTATTCCAAAATCCTTTAAAAAAATCATTAATTTATTATTACTATTTTTATAACCCTACCATCCAAAAAAAGTACGTTTCGAATTTAGTCAGAATCTTGAAGAATCTCATAATGGCCGGATACTCGCCGGAACACGATGTTTGTGGCATCAGTGATCCATTTTTACAGGTAGTATAGTTTATTCCCTTAAAACGTCTTCCATTCTGCCTATTGATGGTCTCATACCATTTTGGAAAATAAAATTAAAAATATATCTTTTTCTGGTTTTCATATTTTAATTAGAATAATATAATGAATTAGTAAAGAAAAAAAGAAAATATATTATTCACTTTTTAGGTATACAATTATTTATATCTATGTTTAAAATTTATTTTTGATTTAGGTCAAAATTTTGAGATTACTACGAATATTGGGAACAGATGACGCGGAAGCTAGCGAAACTATGAACGATATTTTGGCTCAAGTTACTACTTTTAAATTTCTTTTGTTTTGCACCAAAAATCAAATTTTTCATTCATTGGTGGAAAACTGAGAAAGGAAATGCCCTTAACCAAATAATAAAATCATTCATGATTCATACAATATATGAAACGCTATCTAAGCATAATAAATTGTTTTTGTTGAGAGAAAAAATTCCACTTTGCATATTTTAATCATTTCAAATATTCTTTAACATTCAAAATACATGTGTATACTGTAAAGAAATAAACTTGTATAAATTAAATTGAATTTTTATAAACTATAAAATTATTGCTTAAAAAAAAGGTTGCTACCAACACAGAGATTTCCAAAAATGTTGGTAACGCCATACTCTATGAAACCGTCCTAACAATTATGAATATCAAATCGGAATCCGGCTTAAGAGTCCTAGCTGTCAATATATTGGGCAGATTTTTACTTAACACCGATAAAAATATCAGGTTACATTTGCCAATAAGATTTCTATTAAATAATATTTTTTTGTATCCATTTAAAAAGATTTTCTTTTAATAAAAAATAAATTTAAATAACTATTTTTTAAACTATGATTCTAAAAGATATATAGTCATGGTAATCTTTATTACTAAGTGTTGTCTTTATATTTGTAATATATACGGTATTCAATTTACTTTGACCTCTTTAAATTTATAATGATATATTGTTATATAATATTAAACGCGATAACTTTATATTCAAATAATATCGTATTACAAATAAGATATAATCTTTATAACAATGAACTGGAATATAATATACCTTATTTTTCCCCAAGCTTTCAAACTTTTTTATTAAGAAAATTTAGCTTGTTGTTTTATTACTATTTTCATTTATTCTATTATCCGTTTTCTCTAATGGATTTTGCGATAAAACATCTGCAATAATATTGTTAACGCCTACTCTATAACTTATATCGTAGTCGTAAGCTAATAATTTATATGCCCATCGTAGCAAGATTTCCATATATTTTTATTAGCGGGTTTTTTGAATGTTTGTATAAATTTTTTATTATTTTCCTAGATTCCTGAAAAATCCCTTCCTAGCCTATGTAATCTTTTAAAATGGAATATTAATAAAAAGATTTTTTTAATAACAGTTATAATTTGGAATCGACGATACTGACAAAAAGGCCACTATTGAATTTAAAGGGATGCATTACGTTTTCTTTTATTAAAAAGTTACCAGAACACGCAAACGCTCAATTTGTGTGCAGTATTAATTAATCCTGATTCTTATTAAATTTTATATTTTTTTATTAATTGTCTATGTCAAAACAGATACGTGGCGCTCAATACATTGTTAAAAACGGTGAACATTGATCACAATGCCGTCCAGAGACATAGGAATACTATATTAGAGTGTCTTAAAGATCCTGATTATTCCATTAGAAAGTTTATCAAGAAGATATTATTTCATTAAATTTTTATGAAATAATTGCATAAGATTTATACTAGAGATCTGCAAAAGAAGGTCGGGCTCGTACCCGGCCTGAACGTCGGGCCTAATATTTTTTAAGAAAATTCGGGCCAGGTCGGGGTGGGCCCTAGAATTTTTTTTAAATATATCTAAATTTATCAATTTTATGTTGAATTTTTTATGTAAAATAAAAATATTTGATTTTATTTATAGAAACTAGATGCCATATAACATATATCGTTTATTTTCAGTAATTATAAAAATTAATTTCCATATTTAAATAAATTCGGGCTGGCCCGGTAAATTTTTTCAAAAAATTTTGGATTAGGGCTAGGCCTGAAAAACTTTTTTAAAAAAATTTCGGGCCGGGCTTGAAAAATTAAGTTTGATGCAGATCTCTAACTTATACCTGTATTCCTCTTTAGATGGAATTAGAAATTAATGGATTAAATTATATGGCCTGCACAAATAACCCTCCTTCCTTATAAAGAGTCACCTGTTAATCAAATAAAAACATACTCATTTGTTTTAAATAATTCTAGATTCTCTTTTAAAATATTAAAACTATATTGATATGTTGATGTACATTAAGACGTTCCATGGAACTGTGTTTCGTTCTCATAAACAGCTCTAACGTGAGAAGTATGGTGAAAGACCTACTCATTTTCCTTCACACCTCACCGGAATCTGAGATGAAAGCAAAATGTTCATCCAGCATCTACCTTTGCGCTCAAAAATTTGCCCCTGATAAAAAATGGAAGATTGATACGATGGTCAAAGTCTTGCAAACGGTATAGCATGGTTTTATAACGAAGATAAAAAGAAAATAAATAAATGAAGGGTAAAAGGATGTGAGGAAGCTCATCATTTTCTTAAAATGAATAGGAAGGAGTATGCTGTTAATTTTTTTTTTTAAATTGAATTTAACAATAAATTTAGCCAAGAAATGCTTATTTATGAAAAATGGCAACCTAAATATGCTAGATCTTAACAAATATTTAATACCATTAAACAAAAAACACTTAGAAGTACTTAAAACGCTATTGATTATGGCTTTTCTTACATATTTATTTTGTAAAAATATATGCTAGGCTGGTAATCATGTGCCTGAAGAAGTAGTTGGCAGCGTGATTATACTCATAGCATCAAGTGATAAAGGGGACCAATCCTACGCCTGTACCAAGCTCCTTTCTAATATCCCATACTACTCCAATGCACATAATTCCAATTTCTCACCTGGCGATAATAAAACCCCCAACGATATGAACACAGCTGATAAATTATTTGGGGAGAACGACGAAAGTGGGACAGACATATTTGATGATTTCACAACTAATTTGACGCCAGTTGCGAAAGGGTTGGGTGACAAAAAATCCGGTGATCTAAATGGTTAATTGATATTCGATTAATAAAGATAATACACTTTTTGGGGGTTGGATAAATTAGCATTTATTTATTAGAGCTATATCAAGTGAAGACTTTATTTGGAATAAATCCAATCCCACTTAAAATAAAGTCTTGATCGCTCCCACTACTTAATACTGAGTCTAATGAGACTGTTTCCTTGTTTTATCTGACTGGAAATCATACAGGCTCGCGTAGGGTTATAATTAGCTATAGTCAAGTTGAAAATATTAGAAATATAATTTAAAAGGAAAAATTAAAAACACATACTATTTTTTACTTATTAATAGATGACACAGAAGGTATCGATTCAGAATTTTTTAGCTCGGACCCGAATGAAATTGCTGATACAAAAATATCTGGTTCACACAGTGACCTTGGGGATAAAGTTAAAGAAAACGGCAAGAGATCTTATCAACCACTAAATCAAGTCATTTTGTGGTGTTTAGGCGAGTTTTACAGACCAGCAGAAAGGGATTCAAATGTAATTTTTTTAGAAATTAAACTTTATAATATCTTTCATAGCTCTATTAAATAGGTGAAAAATAATGTTTTTTTGGCCATTATACCGTTATGCTAATAAAAATTTTTTAAAGGAAGCCAGAATAGTTCTAGAATACATAGATGAATTATTAATATTTCCGTCCACCAATTTGACCACAAAAGAATACGCAATCAACGCGTTAGCCAAGTTATCCACCCGCTTTCCTTCTACTGATCACTTATTGAAGTTTGGATTTTTTTAAAAAAATTTATTAAAAATAAAATTTATACAAGAAAACATTGTTAAAGTTTGATGATCATTATAATTTTTTTTGTTTCTTGTTTTAATTTAATAAATTTTGTTAGAATATCAAAATAAATGAGCGAAATCAAATTTTCTATTAAAATTGCTATTCCAAATCAAATTCTCTAATTTTATATAAAGAAATATTCTTATTTATATAAATTTTATTATATCCTATATTATTATACTTATTTTATAATGCATTACAAGTCGTATAAAGTTAATTATATCTCGCTATACTGTTAGCATGGAGACCGAGCTACAGCAAAGGGCCATCGAATATGATTCTCTCTTTAAATTAGATATAGATCTTAGGTTCATAAAATATTTATCACTTTTCTTTAATATATAGTAGAAATCTTAAAATCATGGCTGCAACGGGCTTCGAGCCAGGCCTATTTTAAAAATAATTTCAGGGTTCTGTTTGGATCAGGGTTAATATTTTTAATCGAAACGGTCTGCCGGGCCAGGCAGGGCTTGAAAAATTAGGCCCAAATGCAGATCACTAATATTTAGTCTTTTTATTGATTGTTTTTTCTCAGTTGTATAAATTTATTTAAAGCATATATATACAGTTTTATATATTTACCTCCTTAAACTAAGGTCGGTACCAATTTAATATTTTTTGGTAATACCTAGCTTATAGAACAATCTAATTATTAAATTTATCATTAATTTATGCTTTCACAAAAATTTTTAAATTAATATATCAGGATGGGCATACTCGAGCAAATGCCTCCCCCTTCTACAACCAACTTTAACACGAATAATTTTGATTCCATTAGCGAGTTAACACGTAATAATGGGGATCTCATAAGCGATATTTACTCTGACCTCGATCCCAAGCACAATGATATTGATTTTACAAAGTAGATAAGAACCAAAATTGCCTTTAAATTTGGAAAATAAAGAAAATACAAAATTTGATTATTAACTCTTCTAGCGAATTCCCAACTAGTTCTTATTTGGGGATGCTTTGTAAAATATAAAAATTATAATTTTCTACTATAGTTTTAATTTTTATATATCTTTATACATTTATTGGTAATTCAACATTATATATCTTTATATTAACTATAAAGTCAAAACGGCAATACAAATGACCATATATTCGATGGTTTTAGCCTTTCAAAATCGAAGACTCGCATTCCTGCAACTAAATCTGAAAAGGTTTTTAATTATTCTCTCTTTGATTTATCCACTAATACTATTTTTATAATTTAAAATAAAAATTTGCTATGCAATTATAATTTATCATTATTTTTTTGCAATTTAATTAATTTTAATTTTGAAAATCTACAAAACGGCCATTGAATTTTTATTATTTAATAAAAAGTATTTTACGATATATTTTGGGCTTATCCTTTTCAATCAGTGCATCCAACATTAAATTATCTGCCTAGGGATACCTTATACCTTCTCCCAACGGCCTCTTCGAAAATAATTATGTTAATAGATCTTCCTTCCCCTAAGAAAATTCTAACTATGCCTATGACCAATTTATATAAGAATTTGCTTATTTTTTTAACTTTCCATTGACATTTTTATATTCTATTGATTACTTTTTTTATTACCTATATTGCTAAACTCAGATTAACACCAGCCACAAGCATTTCACTCCCGCCCTAATTAATGGCTCCTCTCATCTGAGCAATGGAATTAGCCCCAAACCCGACAATTCATCTTCCAGTAAAGATATATTATTGGACATTTTTAACAGTATAAACGATACTCTACCGTCTTCTTTAATTTCGGGAAATAATTCCCAAATTCTTACCACAAAAATTAATACTAAGAGTAACGCATTAGATGATCTGCTATTTTCTTCCAATGATAATAAGCCTCCTAAAAATGATGTAATTGTGAATGGTCACAAGGGAATTCATAATCTAAATAACGGAAACGGAATCAACAGTTTAAATATAATGGATCTTTTTAACACATCGACTCACAGTGAACCCAACAACGGATTTGATATTGGTAAAAACCTTGCATAACAATAAAAAAAAATTATAATTCACATTGATCAAATTTACAGAGAGCCATTTTTATTTCGATCAAATGGGGATCATTTTATATTAATACTTTTTTGAATATATTTATTATATATCATTTTTAGATAGAAGTAAGGATGTAAATAATAAAATACCAGATATGCTCGTCTTGGACAAACACCTTATATTGGTAAACTTTTCTTTCACCCATGAAAATGGTCGTTTAAGTAATGGCGACAACAAGCCGTCCATATTCATCAATATGAGAGTCTTGAATAAAAACACCGACCCTAATCTTATAGTTTCTGATTTTTTGATGCAGGCAGCGGTCCCTAAGGTTTGCCATTGAACTAAATTGATTATATAATACTCTGCATTTTATTTTAAATCTAGATTAAAAGTTAGTATTTTTATATTCAAGGATCAATAATTATATTATCTCAATTTTTAATGTCTCAGAAATTAACTGAGCGCTTGATTGATTCAAATTTTATTAGACAATTAATAGCTATCTAATTTGACGGAAAAATTTGGAAACGACCCCTTTGGATTTTATATTAATGAGTGATTATAAAATTTAATAAAATTCAAATCATTTATTTAACGGTTGGAAATTAAACATTATTTTTATTAGGGAGTAAAGTAAAAATTCATTTTTTCTTATCTATTGAATATGTATAAAATTTTTAAACTAAATAAAAGATCAAACTAATAAATGACTTTTAATTAAAAAGGAAAAAAAAATTAAGAAAAACATAATTGTGTTCCTAAATAGGAATAATAGTTAAATTTAATTTAATAAATTGTATTTGCATCTTCTGCCTAAGGTATAAAATTTCCTTAGGTTCAAGTTTTTTTATTTTATGAGCCAAATTTTTATTAAAGCAGCGTTGTTAGAAGTTGCAATTAGGGAGAATTCTCTATCAAGATGCTCAGGTTAATATTGGTTAGCAATGCTGAGACTAGTTTTGTTAAACGGTCCGATTTTTTAAAAAGGCCCGATTAAGATTTTAGCCAAAATATTATTATGTAGGCATCGATATTTGGCAAATAGACCTCAAACCTTTCTACCACCCATAGCAAAATCGCACAATATTATTTTGCCTAAAATCTGAATCAGGACAGTCTAATAACACTAGCTGAGACGTAAAGACCCAAATTCGGAATAGGAAGGAGATACCAGAAAAATAATATATTGCTGATGATATTAAGCTGATAAAATAATTTATTAATTTCCTTCTAAAAATTAAAAATACGTATATTTGATTTTTAGAAGAAAATATAGAAGGGATATAAAAATTTAGGATTACGAGTCTTTTTAAAAAAAGGTGCATTCATTTGTTGATTGAAAAGTGACATTGCTGCCGACTCTTTGATGCATCTTAATTATGAGATGACACATACTATACATTACAATCTAAAGGGTAAGGTTGAAAATATACTTTTTTTGGTTGATTTAATATGTGGAATTCACCTTATTTGATTTGTAAATGTAATTTGATATTGAATATAATTTATGAAATGCTAAAACATTTCATAATTTTTAAACAAAAATATTTTATATCTTTATTTCTAACAGTCATTTCAACTGCAAATGTTGCCTCCTTCGAGCAATCAAATTCTGCCAAATGGTGGCATACTAAATCAAGGCATGACTATCATGAATCCCCTCAAAGTTTTTTAAAAAAAGAATACTTTTTTTTAAATAATAACATTTATTTTATAAAAAAATTTTTTATCAGGCTGCATTGAAAATGAAGTTGAGGTTTACCTTTATGATCAACGGAAAGGAATATACCGAAGATACGCAAGTTAACAACTTTCCAAAAGATTTATGGATTTAAAAAAAAATCGAAAGTCGCGAATGTAATGTGATCGATTATATCCCTCCTCAAATTTATGTTCCTTGTCATGTTACAAATACTCGACGCCCTCCAAAAATTTAAATCGCATAAGGAATCGCTTGCAAATTTATTAGTGATTCTTTCATTATCAGTTTTATAACTCATCTAGACACATAAAATATAAAAATTAATTTATTTAATAAAATATATATTTTAATAATTTAATTTACCATTCCAAGTTTTTTAATAGAATTTGATTGATAAAATATTTTATAATTATTAAATTTCACACACTTGGATTATGCACCTTAAATTCAATTGTTTTTTAAAAAAATTATGTTATAACAATTTTATTTATTATATTCATTTTATTTATAACTTTTTGAAAAATGTACAAAATATTGATAATTTATATTTTTTTCCACAATTATATTAAATTATAATATTTACAAAAAAATTCTATTCACATAGAGGAATTAAAATCCTTTTGACTTAATATTTTTTGTCCATTATTATATTATATATATAAATGATTAATAAAAAAAAATTGAATTAAAATAAATTTTTTGAAGGCTTTATATACTATAATCACTTTATTTTCTTAGCATTAAAGCTAGTTCGCTTTTAGCTCTCACCAACATTTGTCTAAGAAAAAACCCCTCTCGAGGTTCTAAAAATTTGCTGATTTGAGACCCTAAATTTTTGAAGAATTCTAGAGCAGGTTTTAGTATATTTTTAAAAAACTTTTTCATATAAAAAAAAGAAATATAAAGCTTTACTTAATACAGAGTTTGAAAAAAAATTTAAAGATAAAATCATTTTTAAAAGAAACTATGATTTCATCATTTTGTACAAAAGATTTACTTCAAATTATTTGGGAAGAATAATAGCTAAAAAAATATTTTTATTAATTGCAACAAGAAAAGGATATATAAATATAACAAGTTAGGGTGTGTCCAAAGTCAAAATTTTATTTTTAAAAAAATTAATTTATTGAAATTTACAAAATCGAGTTTGGGTGCATAATGTATAAATTAATCATTTCTTTTTTTGAAAAATTTTCGGACTTTACATTCTGATTAAAAATTACCAATATTTTAAACAAGGATCCAACCCGTGCTGAATATCTGTTTAGGTTAGGTTCAAATAAAAATAACAATTCAATTTCTGTTTATAAAATATTAACGAAGGTTCGATTTGAACCTTCAAAAACCGGTTCAAACCTTTTGGCATATAAGCGTGTTAGAATTATGTAAAACACATATTTTAAAATTTTACTACTATTCTCTAAAAAATTTGAGCAGTATACAATTGAAATTTTTTCAAGATTTTATGTCAAATTATACGAGTAAGGATTAGGAATAAATGTTATGGCTGAAAACGTTTCTATATGCTTGGATAGCTGGCACCATCATTTATTTAATGATATTTTCTAAATTAATTAATTATCTTTTTGTTAAACATTCTTAAGTTTGTTCATCATTTAAAATTTCACCAAATGTTGTTTTGCACGAGTTTCTCATTTCAATTTGAATGTATAAATTATGGCCAGTCAATACTCACATGTCTATTATTATTCAGTGCCTTTATATGCCTATTAAATAAAATTGGTAAGCTTTAATTCTTTGTGTGAATAATGCTAAATGCCTAAGGATAATATTTATAAAAAATCAATCTAATTTTTTTACCATACAAAAAAATATGTAACTTGATTCTTCTAGAAAGAGTTACTAAAAACAGCTTATTTAAAATATTTATTTATTGGATCGCTCTATTCAATAAGAAATTGGTCCAATAGATAAAAAGTGGTGGCCATTTATGGCACATATCCCCTATTAATTTCCGCATTTAAGAAAAAGTTTAGTAAAACAGGTAAGGTTAAAAATTAGAAAAGAAAACCTTAACAATTTCCATAGATTAAAATCCTGTTTATAAAGTATAATAAACGGGTGTAGATTACAGTACGATGCCAAGAACGATCTTAAAAACTTTGAAAAACGATTACTATTAAAACTTGAAAAAAATAAAAATTATCTACATTTAAAAAATATTCTATCCAATTATTTGTTTATTTAAATTTTGGAATTTGTGTAACAAATATATATGTATACCGGTTGATGAAATAAAAGGCAAATAATTTATTCAATCTTTTTACACAGCAACTCTTTTTTTTAAAGTAACGTAAACAACGATCTATTTTTTGCAAACATAAAACATAATCATGTTACATTAAAGAAAGTCGATAACTCTATTTATTATATATATAAATTCATTCATATAGAAGGAATTAAATCCTCCGACTTAAAAAAAAATTCGTCCAATATAAAAATTTTAATTTAAAAAAATTGTAAATTTCTATATAACCAATTTTTGTCTGAAAACTTCATATAATTAAATAGTAATAAAAAAAAAATTTGCAAGTACAAAATAAATATATTTTTTTTATACAATATAAATATAATATATCACAGAAGTAGAATATTAGAGTAATGACAATCAATAAAAGTTTTACTCAATCAATATCTGATACCGATTAGAGAAATCGTATTACTTGCACTAATATTTACTTGTCGCCATGTAATTCCTCAAAACCATCAAATATCGATTTAGCTAAAACTTTTATTGATTGTCATTTTAAATTAAAATACTCATTACAATATAGGAGTAGATAATTTACTATTTGCCTAAATTTGGGATGCATTTAATTTTAATGATGATTAATTTGCGGTGGATGTTATTATTTCTTCTAGCAATGTTCTCATAGGTTTCACGTTTCGAAATAAAGGCGGATTGGGAGCTGATAATGGTGACAATCCTACATGAAAATTATGTTAAAAATTTATTTATTTTATAGGATACAAATGTTAAACATGTAAATACAATCAAAATCATGCTTGAACTTGAATGTAATAGGATTTCAAATAATATAAAAAAAAAATATTAATGGTATATAACATTATAAAAATGCTCTAACTATGAATGTAGAGTAAGGCTGTGGTAATAATTATCGAATTTTGAATCACGATTTAAAAGTCAATATCAAATTATTTATTTTCTACCCGATATAAAAATATTTTTTGAATTTTACCATTTTATACCTTTCAAGATTCGATATTAAGATATAGTCTTAAAACATAAGATCAACTAAATTAATTATGCCAGTGACGTACGTCACTCACTAGGGAGGAATTATTAGGAGTATAGAGTCCCCCACAATTTTATTCGAAATATACAAATCTTGAAGCAAAATATTAAAAGAATATATTGATTTATAATAATCTTGTTTAGCATTATGATTGAACCCCGGCAAACTAAAGACGCCTATGTTTTAGATATTATTATATATAAGAAAAAAAAGAGAAGAAACACATTTGGGACGAACTACAAATTACGAAACAACATTTAAAATTAAGTAAATAAATTTTTACTATTAAATCGATTTTCAAAATTATAGTAATTAACGCTATGGCACGGCGAATATGAATTTATATTAAGATAATTGGGTCTTTCTAATTTTTTATCTAAACAAAAATATGAATATTATAATATTAAATAATTATAATTAATTAACCTTCATAATCCACGAAGTGGTTAGAGTTTGAAGAATCATAAATCGTTTTACGAAATATTTGAGCTTAAATTTATTGGAAAAAAATGAATTATATATTTTGAACATCGCCCTATGTCAATATTTCTTATTATTATTTATTATATATAAATAATTTGATAATTAACTAACCTGGGTGTTTGGTCATATCTTCTAGCTGTAGATGACTATCATTGGAGGAATTGTTTCCAATATACTTAAAAAATTCAAAGTTTTCAAAATTGTCGCCATCCGGGGATCCTCTTATATTATGAACATCTTTTTTATAACCATCATTGGCGTGTAGAAGATGTTTTGTTGATTCATTAAATGAGAGAGACTGTGATTTTTTTTATTAGTTTTAAATAATTTTATCACTAAATTATTTAATCATTCAGTAGTACTAAAAAATAATGTGCTTCAATATAAAATACCCTTATTCTATTTTATGATAGGGAAAATATATATTTTGAGATATTTCGGTAACGATAATTTATTAAATAGAAAAATTAAATTTAAGCTTGCTGAGAACCTCCCTCACCCTCATCCTTCCATAAACTGTTTGATTGTCAAAATTTGATATATAAAATAGAAGACCCTGAGTCGGTGCTTAAAACATTTACAACTAAAATGTGGGTCATTCCATGTGAAATCTACCGGTGCTTTGACCACTATTCTTGAAAATAAATGAAACTTTATATATTGGTTAAATAGGTTGTTAATGTTATAAAATCGAATTTTCAAGAGTTCTAGCTAACCGATGACTGGGCTTATGAGCCTTCAAAGTCTAAAGCGTGATCTTGATTTAACCAATCTCAAATTAATTAAAAAATATGTTATAAAAATGTTGAAAATGATGCATCATTTAATAGCTCCTAAAATTTTCCATTGGAAAATATCATTAAAAAAAATAACTTCCACGTTGGAGTATTTTTTAATAATTTTTTTTTGAGAACTATTTTGTTTAGGCATCCATAATCTATTTTCTCAAGTGAAACTCAAATTTAATTTGGACTTGAACCTATGGTATATTTAGACGATGGAAACTTATGAGGGCCCTCACCTAATATTCTTAAAACAATTGTCCGAAATGAGATTTGCTTTTTTATATAGCACACCATCAGATTTTTGGTTAGTGCAATGCGATAAATTAATCTTATTAAGCTCCATTAACTATTACAATGTCAGAAATAACGATCTAACTTAATGTCACAAACCGATTATTTATTACACTGTGCAAATACATGAAAAGAAAATAATTTTTTTAGTAAACATCTCATCTCATTTTATATTAACTAACGATAGAGAGCAGCAATGGTTTAACAAACTAGGTTGTAACATAGTCCAACCAAATTGTATAGGTTGCTACATTTTAATATGGGGAGGCATGGACATTACTATTTATATAGTCAAGACCGACACTAATGTCTTACCTCAATAAATCTTATATAGAAGAGCCTAAAAGTAGCTCATATCCCAAACATTCTTCAACCTATCGATCTATTATCAGAGGATAGTCTGATACCTGAAGGATTATTACAATCCCCTGAGGATCAGACCAATCCTTACTTGGGACTTCATTCATGTCTCCTAATTTCTATCATACAAAGATTTGATTCGTTTACTAACAGCCAAAATAAGGAAAATAAAAAAAATACTCAACACTTGAATCGTTTTGTCTACAAATGAACATTTTTTCTCTTAATTTATAAATTATTAAAATTTCTAAGCAAGAAAATCAAGATGTACTCAAATAAAGCTAGAAAATTTCCCTATCTTCGTTAAAATATGCATATATAAACCTTTAAATATAAACATAGCTCTTTCTTGGGAACCCAACTAAAAAAATAGTGGAACCAGTTATATTATCTGTTTGTAATTAGATTTTTATCAATTGATATAATATTATATGTTTTTATAGTTATTTTATAAAGAGTTAAATAAAAAAAAATTAATATAAATTTCTATTGCTCCCGTTTATGTTGGTCTCTATCGAAATATTAAATAAAATCTTATTTTTAAATTATATATACTCTATTTTGTGGATTTTTGTTAAATTCCTGAGAGGATAAAGTGTATATGCATACAGTGGCTGTTGTTTTTGATATATCACTGCGATTATCTGTTAAATGGGTAGAGGGTCGAATAAAAGAATCAGGGTGATGATCCATGGGGGGGGGGGGGGGAGGTGCAGAATTTGGGAATTCATATGCAAAACATAGCTAGATTTGGGATTTCTTTGGACAGAACTCAAATATTCTTAGGGAGTAAACGTATAAGACTGTTTCTATTTTAAAAACTATTATTACTAATTTTTACATATTAATTTCACGGTGTAATATCATTGTATTTAATAACAGAAAAAATTTCAGTTTATTTTTTCGAAGTTTTTATTTTTTTAACCTTATATCTTACATATCGATCACTATTTCTTTTAAAAAATATTTCAATTTAAATAATGAAGAGCTACATGTTCTTTATAACATTGTTTAACACTAAATTAAATAGGAATTGAGATTATAAAGAAAAGTTAAACAAAAAACTAATCAAAAAAGAATTAAAATAATGTAATATTTTAATTAATAATCTACATTTAAGGTCAAAGCATTTTTAAGTGATTCATGAGAGGGATTGAAAAATATACGTTCATTTAAGGAGCCAAAATATTGTATACAAAATGTCACGACTAATAGAATGGTTACGATTCATTTAAATTTTATAATTAGCAAAATATTGAATCGATAGAAAAGACATTAAAAATTATGAATTTTAGGGTCGATCCCCATAGCCTGCCACCCTGTCTAGATTAAAACTTTTACAAATATAAAATTAAAACTCGTAGCACCTTATAGTATTCTCAAAATTTTGAAAAATTCAAATAAAATTTAACAACTTATTTTCTCCAATTTCCTTTTCATCTAATTTTTTAAATATAAAGGTAGCAACCTGAGTGAGTTTTGGCATCATAAAATGTAGTTTTCTCAAATTTTTTTAAAAAAAATACATTTTCGCGGAAATACTGAAGAAATTATTTTTTCAAAAAACAATTATATATTCCGAAAGAGAATTTTAGGGGCTAAAAAATGATATATTATTTATGACATTTCCAACAATATTTTTTAATTAATTTGAGATTCATTAAAACTGGATCGTGCCTACCCTTGATTGAAGGCCCATAGCTCCGGATATGATTAAGCTATAGCTTTAAGATTTGGATTTGAGTAAAATTTAACTACTTTTTCAAGTATGGTGGTTAAAATTTCGCCCTTTTGATTGATTTTTCATATAATCATTTTATGTTTTCAAAATAAAAAAAAAATTCTTCACAGATCTTTACTTTTTGAAGATTTTTTTGAGAATGTTTAAACAGAATTTTTGATCAAATTTTACCTATAATTCCAAAATCTTTTATAAGTAAAATATTTGTGATTTTCATGGATAAAATTTTATGATTATAATATAAAAATTAAAATATTTTTTTGATAATCTTCTTTAAAAAAAAATCTTCATACTCTGATTTAAACAAAAACTCATCTTAAAACAAGAATGCATAGCTTTCTATACTCGATGTATTGATTCGTGTGAATTGACAGATTTTGTATGTTGATTTCTCATAGCTAATTCTCTAACAACGAATTCCTAATATATATAAAAATATAAGATTTAATAAATAATTTAATTTTTCAAAACCTGTTTGACTTTATCGAAAGATAACAGATTATTTAAATTTGCGATACTCCTCATGTACTGTTTTATATAATATTGGTTATTTCCGTCCCCAGTTTTTGGCTCATCTAAATCTCTTTGTGCATCCTCGAATTCATAATCATCCTTATTTTTAGCGTCATTGTCAGGAAATCCGTTAACAAGACCATCATCATTGATAGGGGAAGCGGCTAAGAGTGCCAAATTTCTAGTGTTTTCCAGATGCTGAGATTCATGGGGAATACTCGATATTATTTCGTAGGTAACACCGCAGGAAGTTAAAAAGGGTTCCTATATTGTTCCCCGTGATTAAATAAAAATTATTTTAAATTCCAATATAATGTTTTATAGCATAATTTAAATATATTTTGATAAGAATTTATGAAAAAGTTTTTTAAAAATATATAAATTTATAGATCTACAACCCCCGTTTTAAAGCCTACTGTAACGTGTAAAATAGAATGCTGTGGGATTTTGAAATCTCAAGCAAACTCCCCAGGTTAACCGTGAGATTTTATGATGGCTATTATCTATGGAAAAAATATTTGAATATGATGAATTAACTAAAAAATATATAAATTTACTCCTAAAATTTATGAAGCTAAAGAAATCAAATTTAAAGAAGTTGTTACAATTTATAATCATATATATATATAAAGAAAAGGTAAATTTAAATTTATTTTATAATATGATCGCCAAAAAAAAGGAAGTCACATTAGGCCTAGGCAAAGTTATTGTTATATTTTAAATAAATTGATATGCATTGTGGCCATAGTCCTGATCTCAAGTGGCAGAGATCTATTTTCTTCTTATGGGCACATTTTTTATAGCATACGTCATTAAATCTTCTTTTTTATTATTTTCAATATTATAATCCTTGTTGACCTTTTATAATCTTAATTTGGAGAGGTTGTGAATTAAGCATTGAGTTTCTTGATTTCCAGATTAATTGCTCTATATTCATGTGAAACGCTTTTATGAATGTCCTAAAAAGAAATTACCATTGGCTTCAACTTGCTCTAGGAAAGTGGATGCATCAAGTGATATGCCAGTCTCCTTTCCAACACCTTCCGATAGTATATATCCTTTATAGTTCTATGTAAAAATTTTCTTTCTCTGGTCGTAAAGGGGAACATATCTTTTGACAATTTGTATTTCCATGCTGTTTTAGGAAATCAATTCCAATATTTTTTTAAATAAACCGCACATCTGGGTGAAAATGTTTTTTCTATAGAAATATGAGTTCTGTGTATTGACGATATTGGGGTTAATTAAAAATATTCAGGAGAACAATTTTTTTTTAAATATGAAAACTATTTGACGGGAAATGCATTCCAACATGTATAGAATATCTACACTGTAAATTTCAAACTTTTGTCTAAAACTGTTGAAAAACATCATAATTTATATCCATTTTTATACAAAGAATATAAATTGAAAAATAGACAAAAGGTTAACCCTTTATTCACAGTTACCGCGAATTCGCGTGTAGGGTAAGGCAAAAAATATGACTTGTATAGGGTAATAAGTCTAAACATGCTGGAATTTCGAATTTACAAATCGCGATTCTGAATCTCCACGGATCCCATTCTAAATAAATTTCTAAATCTTGCGGCAATTGAAATTTCGAAATTCCACATTTTCAATTTTATTAAGTCGGACATGATAAAACTCTGTTTGAGTAGGGAAATTTAAAAAAAAAATCTACAAACCCGGGCCAGTCATACTCTCTGCAAATTTAAGGAATCCAATCCAATAAACCCGAAAATAAATACTTGTCTAATAATCCTATCCTTTATTTTTTCTGCTAAGGTCAGTTTTTGTGCTAAAACGTTTACGCAAATTCTTTTCCGCAACCAAACGTTGATAGAAGCTGGGTGGCTCAATTTAACGCAAAATTTGAGTATAAGGTAAGTTTTTTCGGAAGGCGATGCACTAGGTGCATTCAGGTAAAGGGAATCGTGGATTGATGAATCCCAAGCGCATATTATTCTACGACACTTTTTAAAATATATATATATTATAAAAGGCATATGTTTGGTAGGTGCAAAATAAATTAGTTTAATCGGAGCCCTTTAATTTAATCCAATATTCAACTAGATGCCCCAAAGGATTTATTTTTATCAATTACTAGTGTTTTTAAATAAATGAGTCTTACCAACCTCAACTCCGAGTCCTAGCTGAAAAATAATTTAGTAGATTATTCATTTTGCTTTCGTCGGTTCCAAAGTCATCTCGAGTCGGCTATAAGGCCACCTTATGCTCTAACGTTATTTTCTATTCCATAAGGAAAATATTTAGTTTTCACTGGATAAAGGTTTTGGTAACAGGAAACAGTTACAAGGCCTTTAGTAGGAATTTAGGAAAAATTGAAAATAATTTCACTACTCAGTTTTGAACTACAGGTCTCTGGTATCAGAACAAAGTTACAAGATATTAAATCGATTAAAGTTTAAAAAACGATAATGAATTTTATTTGTAATTCTTTTGTATATATACATTTATATAATTATCCATTTTAACTTCTAATAATATGCAATTTGATTAACCTCGATAATATAATCATGTCGGAAAGTTATAATATAATACAAATAACGTCCTTTTAAAATATATAACGTGACCTTTTAAAATATATCTTACAATAATAAATATTCAAATGTAACACAAGAGACTTGGCTAGAGTTTGTCCTAGGACTCCATCTAATTTTACCACAGCGTAAAAGAACAATTTTAAAAAAAATTAGACTACTATGTTTTGTTTTGTTATAAGATCTTTCACTGGAGTTTGAGCTAAGTCCGCCATTTGTTTCTATACTACAAGGGAAATTTATAAACTATAAAACTTTACTTAGCTTTGTTAAAACATTTTGGTATTTGAACAGTTACAAGACTTTTGGTTGCGAGTAAATGATATATAGCGTTGGCCATCATATAACAATTTGTTAAATTATATCCAAATTTGAAATATAAGATCCATTTTGATTTTGAAATATATTAATAGAATCACGTGGTGGCTTCCGATATTTTATATATCATATCAAACAACCACCTAATTAGATACAGAAAAAAATCCCGATCCTTACTGGATTCGAACCCAGATCTATACGGTAGGAGTTATATACAATCATCGACTAAAGGATCAGACGGTACTCGAAACCAACAATTGTTTTGTTTATAAGAACAAATTACGACGCTATCTAATATTTTAATAAAAATATATTTAAAAAAAAATGTTCAATGTCAAACATCATTAGCTTTTCTTTGAACTATCTCGTCATTTCCTTTCCCTCCAAGAGGAAAGTTATAAGTGGGAAATTTTTTTTAAGTGTCAGTTTTTAAATTTATTATTCAGGTATAATAAATTATATTGAATTTTCCTTAATTTTATCCTAACAATTATATATTAAAAAACTGCTATTACTCTAAAGAGTTTTTATATTAGTATCTTTGTCTTAACATGCACACTATGTAACTATTTTTTTTATCTCCCCGTTCCCCTTTCTTCCAATATATATCAGGATTATATAGTAGAAAAATAAAAAAATTTTAAAAAATTTACTACTCAGTTTTGAATAGTGTAAAGATCTTTGGTAACAAAAGGGAATTGTTCTTTGGCTGAAGTTGAACTAGATCCAGCTATCTGATTATACTCCACAAGAAAATTGCAAAAATTTAACTAATTTGTTTTGGAAAGCTTTGAGGTTTGGTTTTTTTGAATTACAAAACCCTTGGTCGGAGTTCAAACTAAGTCCAGTCATCTTTTTTTAGTACATAAGGTAATAAAAAAATTTATAAAAATTGAACCTCAGTTTCTGAAAATTTATTTATCTAAATTTAATATTCAGATATATATATATAATACTGAATATTCTTTAATTCATATTTTAACATTTTATATATAATAATTACTTGTAGTTTTAAGTTTGTATAAAAGGCTTTGAAACTGTTCTCTACTATAAATAATTTTAACGTAGTTGAAAATTAAGTAATAAATTTTTTATATATTTTCCTCGTGACAAATTGATACCGAAGTAAACCTGAGGTAGTTTTTAAGTCTTTAATTGACTAATCGTCTCAAACTCATCGCCAGAAGTGTTTTTTTTGGCTAAGACTCAGAATTGAGGTGGATAAAATTCTTCATTTTAACAATATAAATGAAGAGATATTTCATTGGAATATTAAAAAAAAATATTTTTGCCGTCTTTTTTAAAAAAATGTATGCACAACGCAAAATAAATTTTCTAGAATAGAATACCATTTTAAATTAGTTATTATTTGATAAAAAAGGCAAAAAAAAGAAACTTAATTAGGAAGAGTCTAATAACATTAATATACTCAATGATATTAAATGTCATTAAATATTCTTGTCGACATTCTTTAAAATGGATTAAGCTCTGTACTGGTGATAGGAGTCACCTATTAGAGGCCATTTTATGGTCTGCACGTTGACTAAATGTCATTTAAGTTTTTATTCAAAAAAAACCTATTTTTTTAAATAGTAAGTGTTTCCGCTGATTTATATGTGTGCACACCTGTAATGAATGAATAACAAATCTAGTTAGTATAAAAAAATCACTAGAAGAGTTATAAATCTTACATTAGTAGCTATTTGGCATTCTTTGATTATATTGAGCTTAACGAACTCGCTATGGCTGCTCGTATATATTTTATCGCAAGCGGGTTCGCCGAGTAAATAAGAATCTTGGTATATAATCGGCGTGCTATTACCAATCGAAATTTCAATTTGATCCAAATCTTGGTCATAATTCGTTGAGTCTTGATATAAATTATCACAAGAACCTTGAGATTCTGATAATTCGGTAGTGTGATCGAGATTGAGATCCAAAAATATGACGGGTATGTGCTTTTCCATGCCCAAAGGCGGGTTCCTTAAAATGATGATTAAGAAATAGCGCAAAAAGTGATTTTTAAATTTATTATTAAACAAAGCAGTTTCTTTTTAAAGAAGGTATTTTAATAGCTATTACCAACCACAATTTTCAGGAATTTTCGATATTTTGTCGACTAATTTCATTGAATTATAAATAGACTTAAGAAAATATCAAATCTATTAATTGACCCGTAGTATGACAAAAAAGTGTGTTAGAAAAGATAGGTCTAATTGAATAGAATAATTTGGTTAACCTTCATTGCGATACATTATTCAGATAGAAAAATTTGGTTAACCTTCATTGCGATACATTATTCAGATTCTCGGTCTTCAAACATATGAGGATAAACATTTAAAAAAATGAAATTAATACAAAGAAAAAAAAACCAATCAGCTGGTGAACCGGGAATGTCACTTCCTTCGCTTGGTAAGGAGAGCGCGTTTCTTTCTTCCGTCAGAGTAATCCATTGTTCCATCAAACATTTTTCTCGCATGACATCGTCTTTACTTTTTGCTTTTCATTTATTTATTATTTAAATTTGGGGATTTTTTAAAATTAAGAGAAAAAAAGTCTACAATTTAAAAAATTTGTTACACAAGTCAATCGTTAAAATAATTTGCCGGATGAAATAACGTTTACCCCCCCCCCCCACCCCTTAAAAAAGAAAATCAAATAGACACTTAAATTTATTTCGATTGATATATTTCTCATGAATTTATTTTAATCCAGAATTGTACATAAATTTTTAAATTTCTCGCGCAGTCTTTATGGAATTCATATTTCGTTTAAAGGGTAAGAGGTGTGCAGAACGGCAAGTTAAAAAATTGGTGGAGGGGAGGGGGGCATCATTGAAATCAGGCGGTAATTTTTGAAGGGAGTTCAAGCCAGTAGCTCAAGGGGGGATATAGAGGATATTGCGACCATTCTAATATAAATTTTAAAAACAAAAACGACAATAATAGGAAATATAATAAGGTAAATGGCAATCACTCGTTGTATCGGAAAATCTCTGAAGTTCCCTTTCCAAATAGCCCTTGCGTCGTTCTATAACTCGGCTCCATTTGTGCCTCAGCCTTTTTAATCCTTTTTCTTGATAGGAGTCAATGACGATCTCGGATTTATTGTCATACGAATCATAAAGTTGCTTTCCTTTTGTTAATAATTTGAACCGTTAGGTGAAAAAAAATCCCTATGTACTATTCGTCTTAATCTTTGTTCTTAATTCTAGCTAGAGCACCTCTTTTGGCTATTATTTTATATATTTAAACAAATGTTTAATTAGTTCATTCGTATCAATTTATAATAGAACATAAAATCACTTTCGTTCTTTCTCTTTCTTTCCTTCTTCCCTCATTTCTTTCATGAATGCCTATTTAAATTAGATTTTTTTTAAATTTTGTTTTCCTATCATAAGGAAAAAAACGAATATTTAAAATAATGATACTTTCATCTTTCTGCGAAATATTGTTTCGATTTTTAGCACATATCGACAGTAATTTTTCGCTTCTCAAAACGACGCCGCAGAGCACGGGCCCTTGCAGCGTTTCACACATCAAAGGAAGCTGTCCTGTTTTGCGTGACTGGCTACTCGTCTTTTATTTTTTTTACAAAATTTTGTTTTAAAAAATAAAATGATAAAAAAAGTTTTTCATGTGTTATAAAAGTCTTTTAAAAGGATATGGGTTGCAATGTACTTAAAGTTATAATATCTAATAAACCATTTTATTTTATGGGTTCAATTAGCGGTACCGCATTCATCTTAGATAAACATCGCATTGTCTCTTTTTACAATTCAATAAATAAAAGTATATTTTACCTCGTTATTTGTGGCCACGTTGATATCTATCGTGACTCTACGCTGCCGACCTTGCCTCAATTGGTAAACGCCACCAGTCCCATTTTTAACAGTGGACAATAAATTAGGATCCTCCGTATCGCTATTGCTTGCGCTATTGTAATTGGAAGAAGATGATGATTCTGGGATGACTTTCACATCGTTAAAATGCCCTTGATCGTTGAGCTCAGAAATTCTAACCCAAACCTGCAATTTGCGTTTAACTTCGTTCCATCTTAAATAATATGAAATTTAAATCACCAGATAAAAATTCAATCTTAGATTAAATTCCCTTATTTAACCTCAAAATAAGTTAGGAAACAATCACTTATAATCTTTTAGTATATATTTTTTTTGCTAATACTTATGCATCTAAACCTTCAAAAAATTCAAATCAAGGTGCTGAAATAAAAATCACTATAATTTTATAATCTATTTTATGCATGAAAATCGAACTCAGTATAAAGAAATCAATTAATAAAATATTAATCACCTTTGCGTCAAAGACTTTCTTTTGGCATTGATATAGTTTTTCCCGATAGAGTTAAATTCATCAATTGGACGACAACTTAAAGCAAGATTTTGGCTAATTTTATTCAAACGAGTATCGCGCGATAAACTATTTTTGTTCTTGAGGGACAAATCATTTTTGGATATTCCGGATCCAACTATGTTAATGCCACCATCCGCCACCAGTTTTTTCCTGCACCAAACCTCGATTGATAACACCGAATCGTTTAAGGACTCCGGGTTTTCTTCGGGATAGTCAAGTCGAAACGTCTGAATTATGTATTCATAAATTCGTAATTTAAAAATAAAACAATTTACAAATGTTAAGCTATTTTCTGTAAAAAAAATTTTAAGGCAGTGTCCTGGTTCGTCTTATTTCTAATAAACAGTCGTGTGTTTAGAGGTTTATAGAGCTACCTCTAAACAGCTTTAAAAAGAAAGTTGCTATACATAAACGGTAAATCAGCATCTAAATGAAATATATATATATAACAAATACTATTTATTTAATGTTGTACACTAAAAACAAACCCAAAATAGAGTGTCTTAGTATATTCAAAAATAAGACAAACCAGAATATTTTTTATACGATATACTTACGTTTCTGTGCTTAAATTTGACGGCGCTTCTCTTGTAAGGACATTTATTGGAGCCTCGATTAGTCGTCCTAGCTCCTTTACTATCCTGACCCATTTCCCCAAAATATAGATCTTCGGTGCCGAGTTCATCCGAATTAATATTGTTGGAAGGATTTAACTTCCTTTTTTTAAACTTTCTCTCTAGCACTAAAACGGGGGAACTGAAGCCGGCAGCGGTATAGCAAGGATAAGACATGGAATTGTTCATGAAGCCATTTTTCGCGGGATGATTGAAATTGAAATTCGAATTCGGAACAAAATGTAAAGTTTTATCGTTCTTAAAATCTTTTTGAGCCGTGGCCCGATTATAAGGTTCAGGAACCTCGTATTGTAAATAAATGGAGTCGGACCGATTAGTTTTCCGAATGTCTAGGGCCTCCTTGATATTTAGCTGTAAAGTTAAAAAATATAATATTATACATTAGGTAAAATGATATAAATTCTTATCTAAATATTTATAGCACAGCAAGAACATACCCAAAACCCAAGGTCCAACCTGAGTTCCAAATTATCAATATTTTTCGTCCCGAACTTCAGAACAATTTTTGTAAAACTCTCTAACCATCTATCCACCTATTCACATTTCTCCGAAATCTCATTTTCATAACGAATTTTAAAATATATTTTCAAAAACTTGAGCGAAAACGGTTTCGATTTTGACGGGATTTTCGGAATTGAATATGCCACTGGATTCGGTGGAAAGAAATGATTCATCCATAGCTGATGATGAATTAGGATAATTATCCTCTCTGCAATCGTAATGGGAATTGTGAACGGTTTCAAAGTTTAAAGGACTGACTAGAGTTTTGGCAAAGGACGAATCTTTCCCGCGACTTTCGTCAAAGTTGATTGGGTTTAAGTATCTATTGTGCGAAAATTCGTGTTTTTTGTAGGAATCGTTAGTTATGACGTTCTTATTTATCTGGGTGCCATGAGTGAATTGTATTCGATCTAGAGAAATGCATAATCTTCCGGCTATCTAGTGAATTTTGAGTAAATTAAGTTAAAATCATAGTGAAGGTGATTTAATGGCTGATCGAGTTTATAAAATCTTTCTGAGATCAATATTTCTTTTTATTAATATTAATTTTTAAATTATTCATGATTAGGATTAAATATGAGAAATAATGTTAATAAAGAAAATTCTCATTGAAACGATTTATAAAATCGATCAGCTGCTAAATCGAGTCCAATATGAAATAAATTCAGCCTTAACGAAATTTTAATTTTTTTATTAAAAAACCATACGTGATAACTAGTACTGTTAAAAGATACTTTTGAAAATAACCAGTTATAATTAAATACATAAAAGGATAACTAAATACATTATTTCAAAAGTATACCTAGTTACATTCAAGTTAATAAAAATTTATCTAACCCATCCTTTTTAATATATTTTTTAAGGCTATGACCTTAAATATATTTTAAAAAAATTTCAAAATTTATAAACAATGGTGACTTTATAAAATTATGAAACATGTCCAAAATCTTCCATTAGAAAAAGTTTTATAAATTTTGAAATTTATAATTCCTAGTCCTATTAAATTATTTTTATACTTCCCATTTAATTTAAAAACTTTCCATTTTGATCAATATAACCGCCCATTTCTTATAAAATTTGAAAAATGTAAATCAATATTAGTAACGTTTTTGTAAAAATTTCACAACTTTTTATAAAAACTAAAATTTATTAAATTTCCTAACTTTAAAAAATTAATAAACTTTCGTAAATTGGGAAAAATTATTTAGAATACTATTTTATTTTTATATTATTTTTTTTGATAGAGTTAAAAAAAATTTTTAAAGGTCTAAATAAAATTTTTATAAATTTAATTAAAAAAAATAATAAAGACAAAATCAATAAAAAAAATTCACGAAAATGTTACTTGTTGTAACTAGTTACCTTAACAACACTAGTGATTACTAAAGTCACCATTGCTATATTTTGATGAACATACACCAAACTCTCCACCTAACTCTCCGGGAAATTGGGCGTTTGGTAGTCATTATAAAATAAATCAAACTATAACTATATCGTTAAAAATTTTACAGGTTAGTTTAAAATATATATTTTTTATATTATATACCTGTTACTATAAAATATGAAAATATTTGGAATTAATACGACTAGTAAATAGACGATAAAAATTTTAATGTGCAATGTTCTAAATATTTAAATTTTTGCAAAGGATATTTTACAACGCTCAATTTTTGAGGTGCGAATTTATGATAAATGTGATTTCAAGCGGTTCGGTATTTAACCCTGGGTTATTTACAAAATCAAGCCAATAGGCATAATTCATCAATATGAAGGCGAATTGATGATAACGCTTTGATAAAATTTAAAAAATATGTTGGAGGACGTATATTTCAAAAATTATCAATGTGTTGAATCAGATGTTATTTCGATAGCGATAAATACCGCACCGCTTAAACAATGCGCGTTTGATAAATCTGACCTTACTCCTTAACTTTAAGTATTCTAAAGATTAGGTATGGTCTTGGCCCTAAATCGAAGTAAACACTTTTGATAAAATGATAACTCAAAATTTAATACATAATGCTCTTAATAGAAAAATAAAGTTAATAATGTCCCCTACCTCTCCTTGTTGATTGATAATGGGGACTTTGTAATCAAATTTGACATTGTATCTCAGGCATCCTAAGTATACGTTAGCTATTCCTAAAAGAACTTCGGTATAGTTTATATCGTAAAAGATGTCGGATATGAAAGTCTCCTTTGTGTATTTATATGGTTACCAAAAAAAATGAAATTGTATTATTACATCATCTTACTTCCACAATTATTTTTTTTTTCTTTCTTTTTTTTCTTTCAGGCCACAATAAAAAACATAAAAATAATATTATATATAAAAAGGTAAACTTTCAAGGGATCATTTTTATTATCGTTGTAAATATCGCGCATTTCGTAAATCTTATTTTGAAATCTGTCTAAACTCCATATATACTCGGGATAATTGCCTCTAACTATCAATATGGCAGGTTCGCATAATAATTTGTAGGGTTGCCTATTTTTGTTTCTCTGAAAATAATTTTTACATAAAAAATAAATCAATATAAGGCTTCAAACCGAATCCCGCTACCGGGTTTAAGTTGAATTTTTTGTGATCCTGAACTCAGTGATTTCTGTAAATCCCAAAATAAAATACGAGTTTAGAACTTATTTTGATTAATTAATTTATACTAGGTATAAAATTTATAAAATCTAGTTTTTAAAAAAAATTCTTATAATTTATTAAATTAAATTATCAATTCTATTAAAAAAGTAGAAAAATGTGTCTTTTTTTAAAAAAAAATCGGTAAAACATTTTCATTTCTAAATCAATCACTTTTTCGATTCACCTGAAATGACATATACTTATCATCCTTTACGGGTTTTTAAATTTATCCATATATACTTTAATATAATAATAAGAGTAAATTATTGGAACGTTATTGATTGTAGGTTTTTTTAATCAATATTAGAGAGCGTCATAATTCATTCATATACGCAAATTTTTTGTTGATGTTTTCGAGTAGACCTAATCGGTGATGTATAACATCTACCGTATAGATCTGGGTTCGACTCCAGAAAGCGACGAGGTTCTTTTCTGACGTTAACTAAGTATGATATATAGAATATCGGAAGCGACTGCGTGATTCCATTAATAAATATTCTTATTACATTTTAAAAAATACCCAAATTATTGTAGCTTAATATTAACTTAATTGTTATTAAAATCAAATAATAATATGTTGTTTACATTAACTTGATATGTGAATTAGTGATCTGCATCGGGCCTAATTTTTCAAGCCCGGCCTGGCCCGAAATTTTTTTAAAAAAGTTTTGCCGGCCCGGCCCGAATTTAAAATTTTTTTAAAAATGTTTTGCCAGCCTGGCCCGAATCCGAAATTTTTTTAAAAAAAATTTACCGGCCCGGCCCGAATTTATTTAAACATAGAAATTAATTTTTATAATTACTCTACTCAAAATAAAAGAAATATGTTATATGTCGTTTAGTTTCAATAAATAAATTCAAATATTTTTATTTTACATAAAAAATTCAATATAAAATTGAAAAATTTAGATATATTTTAAAAAAATTCCAAGGTCCGACCTGACCCGGCCCCAATTTTTTTAAAAAATAATAGGCCGGGCCCGGCCCAAACCCGATTATTTAAAATAGAATTAGGCCCGATGTGAATAGAAAGATAGAAATATAAATATCGATATAAACAATTGTAAAAATGGATTATTATTTTTTAGTTTCTCAATTAAATTATTATTATTATTATCGCTTTTAGAGTTTACCTTTTTTGAAATATTTTATAAAATAATGTAAGTAAGATTTATATATATAATATAATGGATAAACCTTATTATAGAAATGGATTTTGTTTGATGAAAGGAGAAGATTTTGCATAGGAATTCTAAGTGTGACCCTATAACATATATCAACCGATAATTCTTTGGCCATCAAATTGGCCTCTTCCACCAAGAGATTGGCATTCAGAATTCTTTTCCGTAACATGGCAGAACTTCTTTTAAAATCGATCTTGTAACTTATTTTTTTAATTTTCGTACTTTTAAAAAATAGGAATATATACAATGCCAACTTAAAATATGCTTTCTTTCTTTGCTTTCCCTTTCTTTATCTCTTTATACAACAAAATTGGTTTTATTTAAGGCCAAGGACATTCTAATTTTCACAAATTCGTTTTTAAACTTTAAAAAAATAATATTAAAATTCCAAGTTAAATAGAAACAAAAATCAATATTTCAAAGGTTCCAACTTTTTCGCGAATTTTCCTATTATTAGTTCGCTGCGAATAAATTTTGGAAAACACCGCATTGAAAAAATTAAAATAAAAAAAAATATATAATTTTATGTCTATTTATATATATATATAACCTGTTATCTTCAAATTCTAAATTCGTTTTGATACCCATTTTTTCGGTGACGATCAACTTAACGCCATTTTCTGTTGCGAGAGATTTATTGACATTATTTTTATTATTCTTACATCCATCTTTGTTGAAGCTGAATTCAGATTTGGCCGAAGCCGATTCTAGGCTTATGCTATCGTGTCCGAAGTACAAGGAATTATCGCGGTGTGTAGTACTATCTGAGTTCAATGGAAATGAATTTTCTTCCGTAGTTGTATCAATATCAAGACTGGTATAATTTTTTGTTTTAAAAGAAATCAGATGGAACACATTTATACTTATTTTCAAAAATGATATCTTAACTCCTCCAAAAAAATATGTATAGATATTAGATATAAAATGTTAAAGAAAAAAAATATTAAGACAAGTAAAATGCGGGTTTTTAAAAATTTTTTTATAATATACATGAACTTCTAATGATGCCAACCTTCATATGATGACCTCTATAGTTCTATACCTCATTGCCAAAATATTATTAAAAGTTTATCAAAGTGTTCTATATTTATGGGGAAAAAATTGAATCGTTCGATTCAACAGTCATACTTTCCTGCCGAGCTATTGCCATCTTTCGATTCTTTGATTGTGTTTTTCGCATTACAATTATCAAAGGATTCTCGGTCTGGATACAGTGAAAGAGAGTTAGAGTTTGAATAAAAAGTCCTGTAAAGACCTTCCATTTCGACCGGGTTAGAAAGAAACCACCGGTTTTGTAACGCTAGTTCTTCAGTCACCGCGACAAAATTGGACGATTCAAAAATGGAATTAAACGGTTTAGTGCTTTGGTGGTTGATGGAATTATTGTTTGCTTCTACAGATATCGACCAGTCGGATCCGGTAACGTCATTGTCGCGCATGGAAATAAGCGAATTAGATTGATTGTGATCTTAGAAATTTTCAAAAAAAATAAATTCCTCAATTTCAAAGAAGTGGCGAAATATAGATTTGTCAAGTTATTCATATGATTCGGATGTCAATTAAAATGATTACTTTTTAGGAGTTTCATTATAGATATTTAAATGATCTTATACCTTTTTAACAATTTTCTCATTTATTTTATTTTCTTTATTTAATTAATTAATTAATGATAATGAAGCACAAATTGTGTAGCAATTTCATAATTTTTTTTCAGTTTTTACCGTGACTATGGACTAATGGGCAATTCAGTCGGAAAAAATGGTAATTTCCCCATAAAATTCTATCCCCGTGCCTCAGCAAAGTTTTCGCGTATATTCTTGAACCATTAACACACGTACTTTTTTTCAAAAAAAAGCAGACATAAAAAGTAATATATGTTATAGATATAAGTACACAAACTTTTTTTTAAAAAAATTTAATTTTAGCTATTTCATCGTCTCTATTATTCTTGTTTCTAATAATCTAACTTCATTTTTAGTGAAAATTGCATCAGATTCAAAATATTATTCTTAAAGCTGCCGCTTCTTTAGAACTATACAAGCTGGATCCCCTAACTCAAAATATTATTCTTAAAGCTGCCCCTTCTTTAGAACTCTACAAGCTGGATCCCCTAACCAGGGCCTAAAAATAAACTTAAAAAAAATCCTTTAACGCCCTCGTAATTCTAGTAATTTTTAAAATCTTATCCAAAATACAAAAATGGATGATATTTCGAAGTACTTATGTAGTATTGTTAAACGGCTCGATTCGAGCCGATTTTTAAAAAAAGGCTAACTCAATATTTTAAACAAAAAATATTGCCTAAGTCTCGAGTGTCCAAACCTTATTTCCATATGTGCCCAAAATTCTCAGGCTTGTGTATTATCTTTCTGGATAAAATATTATGTTAGCCGTTTTTAAAAAATCGGCTCAAATCGAGCCGTTTAAACAACACTATACTTATGTTATAAAAAAATATAATATGATATCTGCTATATATTACGAAGCTCCTTCCAACGGGGTAATGTAAACCATGTAAAGCTGAGAATCCACGTAATTTCCAACCGTTCCTTTATTTATATCTTCGCTATCGTTTTCCTCGTCGGACTCGATCCTGTTTATTTTCATGATGTCTATCTCGCAATGATGAGCCACTATGCCCAAACCTCTGAGCTTAATGTGCTGCTCTGGCTCAGTGTCGGGGCGGCCTATCAAGGTTTTGAACTGAGAAAAAATTAATAAAATTTTATATTTGTACACCTGACACTTTAAAAAATAAAATATAATCGCTACAAAACGCTTCCCAATGGACTATAAGATCTTTTTTTAAAATGTTTTTTTTAAAAAAAAGAGAAAATATTTGTAGATTTTATAAGCAAGTTGAAACAAAATGACTTAAAGCGTGAAAAATTTGCAAACGAGAGTTAGCGGATTATACTATACAAAGGTATAATATAAATATACCTTTTTCAAGTAATATATCAGCATTTCGTTGAGTGAAGGATCGGAGTTCAAATTGACTAAATAGTATTTATCGTTTTGCATTTTAATACCCGTGTCATCAGCTGATATACCGATATTTTCTAAAGTTTTCTGCCTTTCCTAAAAAATTTGTTTTTAAAATAATGTTTATAGTTTTTTCGATACTTATAATCCTAACCTTTTTTCATGCCTCAATAATATCCGTAGCATTCATATTTATTAGATTCATCCATAAATATATTAAGAACATAGGCGTGGCCAAAATATTTCTAAGGGGGGGGGGATACAAAATTACTGGGGGCTTCGCCCCCAGACCCCCTTTAGGCGGGTCTTCGGCTCGTTTTGCCCGGCCTTCGGGCGGGTTACCTTAGTCTATATATAGTCATAAAATATTTTTAATTAAGCCTGGAACAAATATGAAATATATTTTTATTAGTTTATATAAAATATAATAAATTGCTTATATATACATTAATATAAAAGCATGGTAATAATTTCCAAACAAGTAAAAGAAATTTATTTAGAAAAAGTAAGTAGGCATATAGTTGATATTCCCCTATTATATAGAATTAGTTACAAAATACTAGGTAAAATTCCACTTTTACAGACATATTTGACAGTTAGAAAATATATTAGTTAATATTTTAACAAATTTTACTAATCAATGCTCTTGATAATAAATATAGCAACAATTTGCATTCAATTATTTAACGCCATCTATTTATCTTAAATAAAATATTAAAAATTAATTTTCATATTATTTATCTCACAATGTCTTTAAAAGATATTTTCTGATGCCCTTATCAGTATTTTATAATCTGTAAAATATATAATTCGCTATATTGGTAAAAATTACTTGATTTCATATAATAATTGATAAAATTAGATATACTGTAAATCCATGACATATAATATTCTACTGTTTGTGTTGTCCTTTAATTTTTTTATTTAATTTATGATTTAATTTTATCAATAGTTTTATAATTATATTTTACTTTTATTAAGATAAATAAATTAAAATTACTCACTTTATAAAAAATTATATTTGATATATTATATTATTTAGTAATTTAATGGATCTATTATTAATAATTATAATCACTTTTGCCTTAAGACTTATCTTATATTCCATTTCTTAAAAAGCATTTTTGGTTAACTTTTTTTATATATAAATGCTTTTTTCCAAAAATGTATAAATTATGATGAATATTTTTATAAAAAAATATTAACTTTTACATTCTTTCTTTCAAATTATTGTTTGAGTTATATGCATACATTTTTAGGGGACAGGGAGTGGCGGGAGGACTAAGGGAGATATTTTTTATTAGCTTAAAATGATATTCACAAAAAGTGATAAATTTCTGAGGGGGGGGCACTGGATACGCCTATGATTAAGGAAAACTAATGCTAAAGCAACATTTATAAAAATGAAAAAGTTTGATAACACTCATCGATCATGTTATTTTAATTAATTTAGAGGTCATATGAGCGCATAAAAAAAATAAAATATCTTCTTAAACTTGTTGAATCTTCTCTGAAATAGCTAATTTGGTTTCCCATGGCATCTCTAATTCTTGCATCAAATCTTCCGACTGCTTTAATCTCTCCAAGGTAGAGGTCTCCTGTATATGTATAATAAAACAGAAAATAAGGATAAACTTTCAAGATACCCCTTTGATGTCGTGTATAATTATTATAAAGTATTAATTTATACATGAAACAAATATGAAAAGTGAACCAAGAAAAATATTATAAACGGGAATTCTATAGAGGGTTTATACCAAAGAGTTTAGAATCAGAAAACTTCAAAACTGGATCAAATTTAAAAACCAGGACAGCTTCCTTTTTTGTTTAATTTTCAGGAATCACAAAATGAACGGTCTAGCTTAATCTAGGTTCCAAACTCCGTTATACTATATTTTCGTTTATACTTTGATCATAATTTCAAAATTCAAACCTGTCTCAAATTAAGTTGAATCTTGAGCATCTCCACCTCTTCCTTGAGTTCCCTTATGACTTTGGCTCTGGGGTCTTCGTTGACGATAGCGTGATTGACTATGCGCTTAGCTCGGTTGGCAAATCGCAAAGTGGATAGACTTTCTTCGTAATTATCAGATGAAGGAGATAAGGTACTTATCATGGTAGTCACGGAATTGCCTCCCAAATTGTCCTGTTTTTTTCAATTTCGGTGGTAGATGTTGCATTAATAAAGAAAGTAAATTCCTAAATTTTAACATTTAAAACTTTAATATAGAGTTAATATGCACCGATTATTGGTGTTTGTTAGATATTTTACGAAAGTTGATAGACATATGAATTGTATTTTGTAACTGGAGGAAATATATTAATTTGTTTAAAAATCTATCAATTTTTTTTATTATAAAACAAGTAATCAAAGAATTTAAAAAATAAAATATAAATAATTAATGAAATATTTACTTTTAGCAACCAGGTTAATATGGAGTCCCTGTATGGAACAAATTTATGCATCTTGCAATTTCCAGAACTTTGTTCAGCCAAGGTTGATATGACCAAACCAAGCGTAGTTAAGGATCTGATGATTTTAAAATATAGACAAATATTTATGAATTTTCGTTAAATACTTTATTTTATAATGGCGATAAAAAGTTAAATACTTTATTTTATAATGGCGATAAAAAGTATTTTAAAAAAATTAAATTTTAAATAAATAGAAATATTGGATATCTACAGGCCTAGCCAAGAATCCGATCAAGAGCGAATTGTAAAAATGGTAATAATTTTAAAAATCATTACTCATATTTTTAATTTCCCTTTTAAACAATTTAAAAAATAGGGTCAGAATTATTGTAAATAATAAATTTTAAAAATCCAGGTCGGGGCATGAGGCAATCGAAATTTTATCCGAGCCAGGTCAGTATTAAACAAATAGGTATCGTGCCACATGATATACTTTTTTTGTGTTTTGATGTTTTGTCGCGTGACTTTTTGCTAAATTTTGCTTAAGCTTAAAATTTGTAAGCTCAATTTAACAAGCTGATTGCGCATAATATTGAATTACAAATAAATTATATTAAATGGATAAATTATAATATATATATGTAAAATATGTAAATAATATTATAAAATATAAATATATAATATAAATTATACTATATTAATTATATATTTATTATGTAAATAATATTAATTATTATATTATAATTAAATCATATTAAATATTACAATTATATATTACTAAAATTTATATTAATACAATTTATATATTTTACTTTATATCAAATTAATTTAAATTAAATATATTAATTACTTTAAATATTATATTAAAATTATATTATGTTAAATATTACAATTATGTATTTACTAAAATTTATAGTAATGCAATTAATAAATTTTTCGTTATATGATATTAATTTAATATTAAATACTTAAATCTATCTAATCTGTAAGAAATTTTTAATATTTTTTTAAATCTCTCGCTTCAAACTTATAGGGGCCATTTTGACAGCCATTTTAGCTTATTTGCCTTTTTGATATTTTTAAGAGTATAGAGAGCGCACCCGAACCCTAGAAATAAAAATCGGTCCTAAATTTATTTTAAAAAATGGAATAATATACAAGATTTCCCCTTCAAAATGTTCGCTCATATCTAAACCTGTGCGTCACCGGTTCACACCGGCAATTTTATTTACGTTGGAAAAGACGCGGATTGAGATGAGCAGCGTGGCCAGGTTCGCCGCTGATTTTTTATAGCGGCGGCGCTGCGTGCATAATTTTTAGTGAATATTAACATTAATAAAATAAAAATATAAATTGTATTCTATTTGCAAAATAAAATAGTGTATATTATTTACATTCATTCATACATCATAATTCAAAATTACACAAACATTAATACATCTTTTTATGGACTTAAACGTTGTAAACCACCCTAGTTTGTTTATTGCCAGGTTTAGTTGATGTTTTTTTGAGTATCTTATTAATCAATAAACTTATTATATAACTGATTTATTAAATTAATTATATAAAACTTTATTTTGAAAGTTCAACTTTTATTTCAGCTCTAATTATTTTGATGATTTTTAAATATCTTTTTAATGTATTAAATAAATATAAAATCTAATTAGGCGAAATTACGTTTTGATGTGATGCCTAGATTTAATGCCATTTTATTTTATAAACAATAAAGGAATAACTAATTTTCTATAGATTTGAAATTTAAATATAATTATTAAGAAATAAAGTGTTAAAAAATAGAAATATGATATTTAATTCCTCTTCAGAATTGCCTGATAGGATAACAATGAGTCGGGGTGCACTAGATGATGTTTATTAATCTATAAAGTCGCATGTTTTAAATATTATTGATTCTGGATCAAAATTGTGTTCTATCATTTTTGATTTATGGACAGATCATTTAATGCGTTAAAATTATATCATGTTTAGTTTTCGTCAAGCCCAACCAGCTGGCACAGCATATGTATTATTCAGATTCCTATAAATAATCTTCTAAATAAAACCTTTAAATAACGAATGGATATAATTAACGAACTTTACACATTATTAAATCCATTCCGAGATTCGGTGGAATTTCTTCCCTCCTTAAAGAGATTAAAAATAAATTTAGGATTTATTTCGCAGTGAAATATAAACACATATATAAATCAATAAATCTGATTGCTCAGATATCATTTGCACAAAAGAAAATATGAAAAAAAGCTTGACCATAGGTTTCTAAATCCGAACTTCAAGTAATTTATATTATATTTTAAACAACATCAGATATTAGGAACACTACTTGATCCCTGATTTCAAAATCTTAAAATTGTTTCAGAACATATAAATCCGAATTCTATATCATTGCATTTTTAATTAAACATTTAAAACTTTTAGAGCATGATAGAAATGCACAGAGCGAGATTCAAGTTGAAGATAATGGGCAAACATCCAGTTAATATATAGCTAAAATATCTCGTAAACATTCCTTTGCAAGCAACGATAATAACAACATAGCAATTTAGAGCAAGAATGCCATATTTCGCAACCAATATAGTATACCAGAAGAGGAACACTAACTATATAGGGAAAAAAGCGACTGGAACTTCCTAGTCTCAATTTAGCTAGGAAGGTTCTTTATATGCCTAGAACCAGTAGACCCAGGTGAAGAAATTTTTCCATCGCTGGATTATTACTCACTTCTTTATGTCCAACGAATATTGATAAAATGCTATTTATTCATGTTAATACTTAAAGCAAAAATACTTCTTTTGTGCCAAGAATATTGATAAAATATATTTATTCATGACAATTATAATTTTACAAAATCTGATTTATAATTTATAATATTTCTTACTTATATTTTACTTGCATTCGAAATTTATTTTTAATTTGTTTTAATAAAAATCAATGAAATATTACTAAAATGTATTGTATGTAACTCTGATTTGAGTAAAAATGCAATTCCTTCGTCTATTTCTGAGAATGAGAAATAACATAAATTTAAATAGGAGTGAGACAGAAAATAATTTAAAATGAATTAAACTATATTTACTATGTTAGAACAAGAGCGCCGGAATAAATTATAAAAAAAAATGTAATACATTAAATTATATACTAAATTCATTAAAAAAATTTTTAAATAACATGCCGCGGCCGTTGCTAATTAATTGGGTGGCGGCAAAATCGATCCGAACGCCGATAAAAAATTTTTTAAAAAACAGCCGCCGTCAATCTCATATTATTAGGGAAAAGTTCAATTTCAAAACGGTAAATAATGAATCCAAAATTTAATTAATCCAATTTAAAAGTAAATATTTAAAAATGAAACTTGTTTATGTTGCTGCCCTCTTTTAGGCGTTCGCCTATAACCCCGCTTTTGGACACTCTTTCGCTTCCTGCCAAATCGACTAGACTTATTTTGCTAATTTTTTCGCCGATAATTTTCTATTTAAAAAAAAAAGGAAAAAATATTTAAATCATTTTATGGTAATTATATTAACCAATTAGATCTAAAACATAAATCATATAATATTCGGGCCAGCGTTTACGAAAATATGAAGGTAGAACTTTAAGATATTTAATTTAATTTAAAAAATTCGCCAAATTCCAAACCAATGCCTCATTCATAGTAATCAGATGATGGTTAAGGCGATGCGATAATTATCGTTTAAATAAGAGCATCAATCTATTATTTATCATAACTTATATTACAATTTAAGCAGCAGCAATCGATGTCACCTTATTTTATTTAAGATTCGGTTAAATCCGGGGCAGACTTATTCGACGAAGTATTGATTTAATATAACTCCATATTGCCAATATTCAGATTTTATTTTTTTGTAATACATCATGAAAGGTCTCATGATCATGAATAATAAAGATTACGTAACTTCTTGATCGCCATCGTCCCTGGATTGAGTAAAATGGATAGTGAAAACAGCGTGAGATCTGCTACTCTCGGTGTTCATGTTGGTAGCAGCGACTATCCTTGATTTGTTGCCTTCCCTCAATAACATGCTGATATCCTAAGAGAAATTTAAATTTTTTCAGTTCTTGGACTCATTCATAATATTTTAAATTGTAAGAATTCGTGTTCAACACTAAGCAAATATTGATTTTTTTAAAGTGGAACAAACAACATATATTTGTTAATAATCTACAAAAAATAAATAAATACATAACTTCATTAATTGATCAAAATAATAACGCTAACTAAAATAATTAAAATAAAGCACCCTCTTTACAAATATCTCTTATCGCGAGCTCGAGTTCCGAGTCTGATATCAAATATTCCAATCAATCCGCGAACTCCTCTTTTAGATATGTGGCCTATGCCAGCCACTCATTTCAACGGGGTTGGTGTCAACCCAGGTCCTTGTTGATGTCCTCGATGACTACTTTATCAGGCTTTCGTCCCTCCTGGTTCACATTCCAAATTGACGCCCACTCACTTGTCTCTGGGTTTCGATGTTCCGGCTTGATTCGCTTCTACGGTTGTACCGCTCGTTGATTCTCGTTGTATGGGCAGCTCTCCAACTTCCAAAGGGTCATCTTGCAAGTATCTCCTTGGTGGACAGTCGTTCCTCAATCCTTTGCAATTGTTTATTATATGTCCTTCTCCCTGCACCGACGGCGCTCATCCTGTGGCACTCTTATAGCGGGAATTTTCGGTCTCCTTCAATTGTAGGGCGTCTGTCTCGGTCCTATTATCAATTGTATCTCCACATCTTCAAAAATCTAACTCCGAAACATTGCCATCTGAAAATTCTTTGGCTTAATTGTAAGTAACTTTTAAATATTTAACTCAATTTCCCATTATAATTTAACTAGCGCCGTCGGTGCTACCTCTACAGGGAATGGGATGTGTAATAAACAATTACCCCCAAAGAGGTTTGAGGAACGACTGTCCACCAAGGAGGTGCTATCGACAATATGACTCGTCGGGAGTCTTTAGCTGCCCATACAACGGGAATCAACGAGCGCTACAACCGGGGAAGCGAATCAAGTCGGGACATCGAAACCCGAATCTTTAGCGACAAGTGTGTGAGCGTCAACTTGGAATGTGAACCAGGAGGGGCGAGAACTTGATAAAGTAGCCATTAAGGACATCAACTAGGAGTAGGCACCTCTGATGACTAGGACTGTGCCGATCCACACCGATTCGATCCGATATTTTACGATATTAGTTCAAAACTCCGATACCGATCCGATATTTATATTGATTTTTCATTACCGCCCTAACCAAATATAATTAAGAAATTAATATTTCTTATGCAAAAAATCGAATTATGCATTTAATTTAATTTTTTTATTTCTACAATAATTAAAAAAAAGTTTACGGATAATGGTAATATTAAATGCATTTTTCATTATTCCTCCCCGTGAAATTAAAATTCCGCAGATAACGCATTTTTCAAAATTATTTGTCCTTTGTAAAATATTTTAATAATTCAGATACCATATTTAAAAAAAATTCTTTTTTTAAAGTATAAATAATAAAATTGGCGTTATTATTTAAAAAGATTTAAAATAAATAAAACTTTGAGTGTTTCTTTCTATTTTTATAAAAAAAACTTTTAAAATACTATAAATCTATTTTAAAAAATAAAATTTAAGGGGTGTTGTGCATTTGCATTAGAGGTCTGCATTGGGCGGGTTTTTGGACAAAAGCCCACCCACCCAATGTTTTTAAAAAATTTAACCAGCCCGCTCATAGTTTTCAAAAAATATATACCCGCCCACTCTGCCCATTAATTAAAATTCCTTACCGCTCTGCCCATTAATTAAAATTCCTTACCGCTCTGCCCATTAGTCTAAATACCTGCTCGCCCATTATTTATAAAAATTTTTTAACCCAAACCCGCTTATAATAATTATAACTATTATTTCAATTTTTTAAGCATCTAATAAAAAAATTTTTTAGCATTACACCTCTATAAATTGGCAAGACCAGATTTTATCCTTTTGTTTTAATTGAGAATTGTCTTTTTGAAAATATCCAGTTATTTTTTTATTATCTATAAAGTCTACATAATTTACAGATGAACATTGATACCGAATGAAGAATGATGTGCCACTTTTGATTATATTTATAGATTGATTCGCAATCATTGCAGCGAATCCAATCTAGCTTTTTGTCATTTTCATTGAAAATGATTTTAAATTTTTTCCACATTGAAGATTTGAGTTTATTGTCTGATTCATTATCTTTTAACTTGTAAAAATTATTTTTTAATTTTTTAGATATATATTCTTTACATATTTTTTTATTAAAAATTATGTTATAAAAAATAAAATTTATATATTATTTAAAAAAAATATATATAATAAAATAAAATAAAAATGAAAAAGGCAAATATAAAGATAAACAATTATTACTAAAATAAAATAATACAATGCAGATTGCAGACCAGGTTTGCCATGTCTCCCCCCATCGGCGGGAGACTCCTGCTATTTTTTAGTAAACACGCAGACATCTTACTCCCGCAAAACCACCGCAATTGGAAATCTCCCTCAAAAATCTACCTCAATTTTTTAATTTCTCTCGCAAATTTTTTTTAGCATTTAAACGTTTTTAATATATAAATAATAATTTTGTTTTAAGAGACAATAATTGATTATTTTTACATTTTTAAAATAAACTTTAAATATTTATTCGAAAAACATGTCTAGTTTGTAAATTTCTTTCTATCGTATTTTATTTTTATCCAATAATAAATCAACATCATTTCATTTATATAAGTCAGTATAGATGAGTATAAATTCGTCGATAATCCCGAATCTGCTATATTTACCATTATATAGTTAGTTATGTCTTTGGATTATGAGGGAAAAAGAATTTAATAGTTTTATTGAAACGACCTTAATTTTGTTAAAATAGAGGAGGATCAAGGGAAATGTTTTACTATTTCCCTTATTAGATGCATCTGTTAGATTGCATATGTATGCCCAAGAATTGACCTTCTGGATTCAGGTTCTAAAACATTGATGATAGCCTTGCTCATCTTTGTTCTACAAGCAAAGTTTTCATTTATCTCGGAGGCTTTAAATATTAAGGAAAAAAGATTCTACTTATATTGTGATAATAAGTAGCTCTATGAATGTTGTACTACATGATAAGTGTATACCATTGCCGCAACTGTAGTAGCATCTGTATTATTTCTTATTTTTGAAGAATATTTTTGTTTTACAATAGATGTAGATACACTCCCCTGCACTGATTATAATAATAATATAATTGAACTATAATAAATAAAATAATTATCATTGAAATAAGTACAATATTACCTTATTATGTATTTAAACGTGATTCGCGATAATTAAGCGCCTATCCCTATAATGTTATTATACACAAACACACATATTTTTGGAAAACGCGTGCGATCCGATATAATATTGGTATAGCCGTAGTGATGACCCCACACCTACTAGACTGGGGCGAGAGGTAGTGAACGCAAACGGTCTGGGCAGGAGAATAGTTGGCGGCCTCATATCTAATAGGGGAGTTTGCGGATTGGTTGGAGTATTTGGTTTAGACTCGTAATTCGAGTTCGTTCTAGGGGACGATAAGGGATTTTTGTAAGTTGGAGAGGTGTTGTGAACGGGGTCTTGTTATTGATTTTTACAGCTTTATTTTAACCATTTTAGTTAGCCATATTGTTTTTATCGATTTGAGGTTATGTATTTTTAATAGATATGATATTAATCGCAAGAAAATTCAATGAATTTATATTTATTTTAGATCATTCTTATTTTATTGTTTTATCGACGATATTAAATATTTCAGTGACCTGCAGGCCCGGCCCTAATCCCTGGTATACGTCGGGCAGTAATAATTTTTTTAAATATACCCGTGCCGGGCCTAAATATTTTTTAAATACCCGGGCAGGGCCATATATTTTAAAACCAAATATGTTAAATCGCCATTATATAAAAATTAAAATAAAAAATATATATTTTAAAAAAATCAGGGTGGGGCTGGATTGTGGATATGGTACCTCTGCAGGTCTCTGATATATTGAACAAAATTAGAAAAAATAAATCATTATTATCCTTGCAAGTTATTTTAGGAATCTTTTTTTTCGGCTGTCGAAAAGAAACATAATAAAAAGGTGAAAGGAAAATACAAAAGGAATTAATATATTTAAAATCTATCAAAATAAAGGTAAGAACAACTATATATAATTTTTTTTTAAAGGATAAAAGGAATAAAATATACATCCCATACGAAGGCTAGTCCGAACCTAAGAGTAACTTATATACAATTAAAATAGAAGCTATGTTTGATATTATACTTCATGTTTGTTTTTTATTCAAAGAATAAATTGTAGACGAGAGATTAGAGAAAAAGTTTACAATGAAGAAAAAGGAAATCATGAAATAGTCAAAATAGAGAGAAAACTGAGATAGGATATATGTAATAATATATAAAGACACTATTTTCCAAAACAAAATACTGTTTTTTTGATGACAGAGATTAATTTTATATCTATCTAAAAGCGATTTATAAGTTATGGTAGTTGAAATATTCAGTACGGCCTAGGATTAACACTTGCCTATTTTGGTATTTGAAAGTTGACTAAAAAAAGATATAAATAAATTTTCAATTTTACGGCGTATGATGCAACTGCGAGAAGCGTCAAATTTTCAACGTAAGGACCCAATAGATTGTGTTCCCGTACTTTCAAACTCTTCTTTTCACTGTTATTTAAGATAATAAAAAGTTCGAGCTTAATATTTTCATTAATGATCTGCACTTAGCCTAATTTTTCAAGCCCGGCCCGAAATTTTTTTTATAAAGTTTTGCCCGGCCCGAACCAGAAATTTTTTTTATAAAGTTTTGACTGGCCCGGCCCGAACCAGAAAATTTTTTAAAAAAATTTTGCCAGCCCGGCCCGAATTTATTTAAATATAGAAATTAATTTTTATAATTACTCAAAATAAACGATATATGTTATTTGGCGTCTACTTTCTATAAATAAAATCACATATTCAACATAAAATTGATTAATTTAGATATATTTTAAAAAATTGTAAAGCCTGACCCTACCCGGCCCGAATTTTCTTAAAATACTTTTGCAGATCTTAATTTGATTAATTTTTACCCTGTGGGGTCAAGTAAATCGTGAACCCTTTCGTTATAGATCTCAATGTAAGATACTTCCACCTTGTATTTCGTATTCTTACCAGCCTCCAAACTTTTGCAGCTATACGAAGAATCTTCCTCCGAACAAGCTATGCCAGAATTAGTTGTATCGATTCGATCAAAAAGTTTCTCGCAAAGCCTGGGTATGATACCCTGATCCGTGGAGGTTCCCATCATAGTATACGATTTACCAGAACCTTAAATTATGATTTTTAGTACAATTTTAGCAATTTATTACATTCATTAATTATTTCTTTCGTCTATCATATAAAATAAATATTTTTTACATTTTTAATAAAAATTCAATATTCATTCTTAATTTTTTTCTTATATTTTTTTAAAAAAAAATTAAACCAGTTTGTCCGTACGCAAAAATGCAAGCATTATAACCCATAAAAGCGTTGTTCAAAACATCTAATCCAATTTTTTCGAAAATGTCGGATTGACCTATTTTCATAGTGTTTTTGTCAAAAAAAAATTTCTATAAAATAGGCCATATTTATAATTCGATGATATGATTAATTGCATTTGATAAAGGGAAAAATTAGGCTATACTATTGCAATAATCTATTTTAAATAATATAACCAGCTTGGTATATTAATTCATGTTTATAATTTGATTATTTTTTTAAAATTTCATTATTCCACTATTAAGAAAACCTTAAAATCAGTATTTGAAATGCTCAGTTTAGGAAAATTAATTTATCATTTCGCTTGCTTAGGAGTGGAGCTTAAAAAACCCGGGTCGGGCGAATTTTTATAAATAAATCTCAACTCAATAAATTTAACTAGATAGAAAATCATAATACTGTGCATAATTTTAATTTGCAGCTGAAAACAATTTATAAAGTACAGCCAAAATTATTAAATAAAATGTTTTCGTATGGGGATTTATTTATTTTTTAAATCGGGAAGGGCTTAAAAATTTTACTGTCTTGATAAAAAATTAATAACTAAAAATAAATTAATTTCGGTAACATCGAAAAATAAATATAGAAAAATTTATGTTACTTGCTGCATTAGAGTCCTCGTTTGAATCAAAGCAATAATCGAAAGCAAATGTCTAATTGTAACAAATTAATAATTTTATATAAAATTAAGATTGTAAAATGAAAACCTATTTCAAAAAAAAAACAAATAAAATAGAACTCAAGAAAAATAGTTAGTTAATTTATTCTTATTAGTTTTGTTAAATGGTTCGATTTGACCCTATTTTTAAAAAGGGCAAACTTAATATTTTATCCGGAAAATATTATGCGAGTGAAGATTTTGCTACAGATAACATAAAAATAAGGGCATCTATTAGCGAGCGAAATATTAGAATCGTAGGCCATATTTTTCTGGCTAAAATTTTGAATTCGCCGTTATAAAAAAAAGGCTCATATCTAGCCGTTTTACAATACTGATTCTTATAAATAAGTCATTCATATTCACCTATCAAGATCTACATTACTCAATACCCCTGTCAATTTATATCCAACCTCATCTAGACCTTTGAACCCTCTTATTTTCTTAAAGTTGTTTTCATTGGAATATATATTGCTTGAATGAGCACATAAGGCCCTTTACATCTCCATGATACCCTAGTTTTTTGCAGGGATGTAAACCCGAACCCGGACCCTCCTGAACCCTTGTATTTTGGCTGAACCCGAACCCGGACCCTTTTTAAAAGTGAAGGGTCCAAGGGTTCTAGGTGTCATAATAATTTTTAAAATAAAAATATATTAAATAATATAAATTTTATTAACATTTTTTGTGAAATCATTTATTTTATCTTCGCGTTTTTCTTTCAATTCCTGGACTTCCATTTTATTTAGAGATTGATATCATTAGTGTAGGTAATAATATTTTATTATGTAAATTTTTTAATATGCTATTTTATAAAAATACCTTGATTATTTTTAAAGTGAATTGTGTAACAATATTTTAATTTAAATGATAGTGCACAACACGTTTGTCCTCAATTTGTATGATGTTAGAACGATTATTAAGTTGGAAAGATTTCATTTTATTATAGGAGCATGTGAAGTCATTTTGTTGTTGCCAAATAAAGGACCTTACTAGTTTATTAGTTCCTTTAAAAATAACAATATTAAGATTGTTTATTAGATTTTTATAGAATATGGATTAGACGCCTTAGAAAAATTTACAGTCCTTTTTATACGAAATGAAAATTCGAGAGAAAATATTTGCAAAATAGTGTTGTATATGCTTCTATATATTTAGACCCTCGATATCAAGTTTTATTGAGTATTGAGCAAAAACAAATGGCTAAAGACTATCTTAAGGATTTATGCCATACTCAAAACTCCATTATTTACAATATATTGGAGGCAACGACAATACCTACTGGTAGTAGTGATAATAATAATGATAGCAACATTGATGATCTTGAAATTTTACTTTTAGATAGATAAAAAAAAATCAAATTATCACCAGATAGAAAGGTCGATCAAAAAATGCCTATTGCATCTTTAATAGTAAAGTTCTCAGAAGTTAAGAGAATAAATAAGGATATAAATATTTTAAAATTCTGAGAAAAAAATTCTTCAATATATCTAGAATTATATATCTTATCTAGAATATTCATGGCTGTACCGGCATCGCAAGTACAATAATTTTATAAAGATAACTATCTATTTTAGGTAAGGGTATATACATGAATTTTCATCTGTAAAATATATATTGTCTAATTTACGTGGAAATCTCCAGGATGATATTTTAGAAGATATTATGATTGTACGATTGAATAAAACATTTAAAATATAAATTATTTCATTTTTAAATTTTTCATTTGTAAATTATGAATATGTATATATTGAAGTATAATAATAAATGAAAAAAAAATCTTATTTTGAGTCATTATTTTTATGTTCCCTGAATCCGGACCCGAACCCTGAACTCGGGTCTTTTCAAATTTTATTCCTGTACCCGAACGCGGACCTGGATTCTTTTTTTGTCGAAGGGTTCACATCCCTGGTTTTATGGCAAGAAAATCTTCTGATGAATAATACTATGCCGAGGTTAAAAAAATATAACAAAAATCGACGATCAAATTTGTTATTGGATTATTCTACTGCATTATATCACTACATATTACGTATTTTTGTTAAAAAGGCTAGATTTTTAAAAACGGCCAACCCAATATTTTAGCCAAAAATATTACGCAAGCCTAGAGATTTTGCGCATAGATGGTAGAAAGACTGGACCTCTATTAACAAAATCTCGAAGCTTGCTTAATATTATATTGTCTAAAATCTTGTTTTAAAATCGGCTAAATAAACAATAAAGCCTTTTAACAATACAAATATTACAATATTTTGAGATATCGATTAATAAATCTTTATGAAATTAATAGTTATTTAATGTGTTTTCTTTCGTGTCCAAAAAATATCGGTTTTTTATGTTGTATGCAAAATACTAATTCATTTTTTTTAATCAATCAAAACATAATAAAATAAAAATGACCTCATAATGATAAGATATTTTTTTCCATGTTGGCTATAAAAAAAAATATATATATGTAATGTAAAATACACATTAAAAAACTGACAAAATTTTGAAACATATCCAAAATATCGATATAATAAGAACGAGTTTTGAAAGTTTATATTTCCATTATATAAAGAAAATAGGTCGAATAACTCTATTGAATAAATCACCGCTAGCAACTTCCTGAGCCATCTTAAGCCCCCCTCCTCCAATCCGATGACTAAAATGTAAGTTCGATTATAAAATGGATATATTTATGTGTGTTGACTAATAGAGTATTCCCTCGAGATCTTGATGATACATAAGCATAGTATCCCCCCCCCGTGCCAGAGAGCCCTGTCATCCTCTATGGAACTATAAATATTTTTTTTTAAATTGAAATGGGGTGCGAATTTTTTTTGTCGGATTAGGTTCGAAAACAAAATAAATTTGTAAATCCGGTTGGGCTCAAGGCGAAGCGAGCATAAAAACGAGTTTAGTTCGGGTTCAAAAATAATTAAAATGTTAATCAAAATTTATAAAGCCTAAATTAAACATTTCACTGTTGATAAAATAAAATTATATAGTCTATAAAATTTTAAACCACGTGAAATATGGAAAATATTACATGATTATTTAATTTATTTTTTCCATAAAAAATCAAATTTAAAATAATTGTTATGAACCCTAACCTAGCCTTCTTTGTTTTACCGCATGAAACATAAAAATAAGTAATATTTTTAAAATATGAAAATTTAAAAAATAAATGAAATTCGGTATTAAAATTCATATTTAAAAAAAATGTCCCCAATATATGAGCAGACTAAAAGTAATGGAAAATAAAATGCCAAAAGAGCAGTCCACCAGATTAGATTGTGTTGCTAGAACATTTTATATTTTCATATTAAAGTGGACTAAATTGCATTATGAAATGATAAAACTACATTAATTTATTGGCTAGTGATAGTATTGTTAAACGGCTCGATTTTCAAAAAACGGTTAACACAATATTTTAGCCCAAAAAATATTACGCAAGCCTGGAGATTTTGCTAATAGTCTGCAGTAAGTTTAAACATCTATTACAATCTCGAGGTTTGCGCATTATTATTTTGGCTATCTTAATTAAAAATTGGTTAAATCGAGGCGTTCACTAGCCAGTAGTAAACAAAAAATTATTAAAACTTTCCATAAGGCCACTCAGTCCTTACTCATATTTTTAAACATTGCTTTTAAAACGCTTACAATGTTAATTTTAAAAAAATTTTTAATAGGGTTTTAAAGAAGTGAGCTGAGGCGAGTCCTAAAATAATAAAAAGATCTAAATCTCCCTTACCCTGCATTCAGAGTTAGCGCAAATTTGTGGCGAAGTATATAAAATGCATATTTTGTACACTTCGTCATGAATTCGTGCAAACTGTGCATGCAGGATAGCCTGTCATAGCGCGAATTCCTTGCAGAGAATACAAAAATACAACGTATTTTGTATTATTAGCAGCGAATTCGCGCTAACTGTGAATAAGAGGTTAGTTACACTCCCTTTTATCATAAAGTGAAAATTTAACTAAAATTAAAAAAAACAATCTCCACCATCCAATCGCCCTTGAGGAGATTTTCTAAATTACTTGTAATTTTGAAGAAAAAAAACCATTTACATTTTAAAATATTACTCAAAAACGAAACTATTTATATTGTAAATTTAGTAGTCATTACAAAAAAATTAGAAAAATTAACCATAATATCATTATTAAATTATTAACAGTCGAATGAATGTCATAGAGAAGAATATAAATATAATTTTTTTTTTACAAAATAAAGATTAAAATGAAAATGGAATTGTAAATATTTCTATAATTTTTTTTCCTTTAATTTTAAAAAGATTGTTAGGTTTTAAATTACATTTACTATGTGAGAATCTTAATAAATAAAATCATTATCAATCTTATATTTTATTAAAAGTATTTATTTATTTTTTAAAAAAATATGAAATAAAATTTTAAAAGTTATAAATTTTCGTATTAAACAAAAAAAACAATTAAAATATTTGGATGCGAGTTTCCAGCCTTGAACACTTTTTTTTCTAAATATCGAATTGTTTTACAAGGTTTTGTAAATGAAACATTTATTATTTATGAGAGTGTATCATATAAACGGTAGGAGGTAAAAGTTTTAATTTAATAATTTGAATTGGTAAAATTGTCATTTGTCACCATTTTTTTTAAAAAAATATTTCAATATATACTTATTGCCCGACCCGGGTTCAAGAAAATTCGATATCGGTACATGCTGAGACCAGAATAATTTTAAATGTAATATGGATGATAAGTCTGGGTGCTACGTTATTTATAGAGATGCACCGATAGTGAGGCAGAAAAATCGCTCCACGTGAGCCTTAAGCGGCTAACTCAATATTTTAGGCAGAAAAATATTGTCTAATAGAGATTTTGTTAATAGATGTCAAAAACTTTATGGCATCTATGAGCAAAATCTTCAGTCTTGCGTAATATTTTTCTGTATAAAAAGCGGCTTACAAAAATCGGCTCAAATGGAGCGATTTTCCAACACAATCCACTGATGCCAAATTTTATTTTTAAAAAAATACAATTTCCTTCCAGTCTTCATGTCCAGGAAAATATCTCTGATTTAAATATTAATGAAACTAGTAGGTCGTAATTCATTTATATTGCACGTTTCTATTCTTCATAATAAAATTAATTCCAAGACAAAAATTTCAGAAATTAAAAGAAATAGGTTTTAAAAAAAATCAACTGCTTTTTTTCTTCTTTCTAGTGTGCTCTGAGATTTGTGGATCAATTTTATTTCTGTTATCAATTTATGGCTTAATCAGGCGCGTACGCAGGAATTTGGTCTGGGGGGGGGGGGGATAATAAATTTTTTTAAGAAATATTATTGTTATTTAAAAATATCAAGCATAAATTTATTAGGATGAATAACTTTTCTAATACACAATTTTAAATTAATCTGAATTAAAAAAAAATTATGTGTATAAACCGGCATTGAAAAATTATAAAATAAATGAGAATTATAAAATATAAAGTGTATATTATCACCATATGAATCACTTAAATGTCCTAAAATAGATTTGAATTTTTTGAGCCTTTAAAATTTATATATAAAGTAAAAAAAATTCAATTGTTAGAAATATAAATTAATACACAAAAAGTTTCTTAGGAATAATTGTATTTTGTATTATATTTACAATGTAAAATCCAATCTTCGTTGGGATTGAGCTAATTTTTCAATTACTCATCCTTGTTGGCGTCAAATGCCTATAAATATTTAAAAGATCCAAACCATTCAATCCACTTTCAGAAGTTGTACCTCTTAGGTATGATTTCAGAGAACTGCAGGCCCGGTTCCCGGACCGGATCGTATTTTAATTTTTTAAATACACCTGGGCAGGGCCCGAATTTTTTTTTTAAAAAACACCCGGACCGGGTCTGAATCTTTTTTAAAAAAATTATCCAAGCCCGGCTATATATTTTATAACTAAATATTTGAAATTAGATATAAAAATCAAAAATAAATATAATTTATTTAAAAATATCCGGGCCGAGCCTGAAAAATTTAATTTTAAAAAACCTGGCCAAGCCTGTTTCTTTAAAAAAAAACCCGGGTCGGGCCGAAAAAAATTTTGAAAAAAAATCCAGGCCGTGCCCTGCAAATTGTATCTCTGCGGGGTTCTGTTATTCTTCTTAAAAAAGAGAATGTTCTCTCATTAGTTTACTAATGGGAAGAGTTGCTAATATATATATATATAATCATTTTAATACATAGGGAATAAAATCTAAAATGTGTTTGAGATTATACAAAGCATCCATAGCATTTTTTGGGACTATATCTTAGTTAATCTTTTAAACATTTATTCAGCTAATAAGGCATCAAACAAATATTATTTTTTTTCTATCACCATCTGTAAAAGATTGGGAAGGCTTTTGTGGAAGTAATATCTGCAGATTGGTAAGCGCTGCATGATGAATTAAAAACCATTCATTTATTTGGATTATAGTTTTATAATACTTTTCTACTGATCTTATACTAATGTTTTGACGATGAGCTTGCCTTGCTGCATAGCTCGCCTTTTCACTCAACGATAACATATAAAATTGAAATTCTTCATCAACATTAGCCCTAATTTCCTTGAGTTCTAATAAAATGCTCTCCGCTATTCTCATCTTCTTAATCAAGTCAATGCCATGTTTTTGAAAAGTATTACATAAAATAGTTGTATAATTAAATAATACATTCTAATGAGAAAAAAAAATTTAAATAAGTATTGAATCCAATAATTTTCTTGCTTCTGAGGATATATTTCTTTCAGGCCATTGTGATATTTCAGTAATTTAATAATAGGTTCTTCTAACTCCATAAAAGCTGTTACTGCTTTATGGTGGAGACTCCATCTCGTTGGACAAGCTTGCACTTTCTTTCTCCCTGTTGGACAAGGAGTTTCAGAAAAATTATTATTTGACTAGAAATATAAAAATGGCAGATAAATATTATGCCACTAGAAAATTGAAAATAATAGGTAAATATTACGCCAATGAAAACTTGAAATCGAAATTAATAGATAAAATAACTTAATAAATGAATGTGATAAATAAATGAATAAATATTAACAAATATAAGATACAAAAGTATAAAAATATTGGTATCTGATCGATGAATCGTTGTTTTATTATTTTTTTAAAAAATAGTTTAATTTGGCCTAGTCTATAGGAGCGCACCAAAGCCGAGTGAATTAATTTCCTCTTTCTTTAAAACTGAGTTATATTTTCGCGATAATAGTTTTCTTTTAGGTTTAAAAACTAGGTTTAGCAGTTTTTTAGCCGGTTAAAATAGCTTAAAAATAGAGAAATTACCCCAATTACACAGAATATAACCCCTCACTCCCCCAGTAAATAAACCATGAAAGTATAGTGGAAACTATCAAAAAATGGAGTAACTGGTAAGTTTGCGAATTTAGAATGCAGTGTTATTTAGTATGACGTTATTATAAATATAATAAACATAGATTTTGTTACTATTTAATACCAGCTAGATTTTCTTAAAAAAAAGGACTAGATTAACTCCCACCCAGCGAGGGCTCAAAGTTGTATTTTTATTCTTTTTTTAAAAAAAAATAAATATATATTCAAAAATTAATTGGATTTTTTTTTAAAAAAAAAGACTAGATTAGCCCCCCATTCAGCGAGGGCTCAAAGTTGTATTTTTAAAGGATATATATTCAAAAATTAATTGGATTTTTAAAAAAAAAAATTTAACGTTTTATCGCGTATTATAACATTTATGAGATGATATTTTTTTAAGTATTTTAAAAATATAAGAAATTTATAATCTAAAAAGTTAATAATAAATATCTTAAACAATTTTAAAGTTACCATCTGATAAAAAAAGAGGCTAATGGCACTTACGAAAAAAAAATCTTAAAACAATAATTTTAATTTGTACTTTATAATGAACATTTGGTTTAATTATAAAAATGTTTTGTTTTAAAGAAATCCCTTAAAAGGTGCAATATTGTTTTTAAATATAATTAATTAGGAAAAGAGTCGAAATCGTTAAGCCAATTTCATACAATTTTCTTTCTTTCTTCTTTCCTTTTCTAATTCTAGGGACGTGTTAAAATATCAATATAAAAGTCCGAAAACAGTCTAAGCGTAATTAAAAATCATATAGAATAGTCAAGAATTTTATGGTTAATTTAGATTATTTAAGATTGGAAATCTATATTAGTATTGGTGACTTTATAAAAAGGTGGTTATTTCCCTAAATAACCCAATAGTCTTTTTTATATTGGTGGTGGGTAGAACAAGGACAAAAGACAAATCTTTTTTAATTTTCCGATCCTCAAGGTGGAAGTGTGATTATAATTATTTTTTTAAAATTATAAAATAAATAGCACATACTTTGGCATCTTTAAACGACCTGTAATTTTTATGTAACAAAAAAAACATAGCTATATAATTTTGAATTTTGTAATTATATAAGAAATAAAAAATAGTAACGTAATAAAATATTAATGATTTGCATAATTCAATTTAATGCATGATTTGATATTCTTCCTTTAATTTCCATTATATAATTATATAATGTTGTAGGAACAGTGGCATAACTAAATCTATTTTAACAAGGGGGAGAGGGATTTTTATAAATATCAAAAATGGCCTCAAAAGTGACAATCCTTCCTACCCAAATTAAAATATATCCCGATGAAGAGCCCTGAAAATTCGATTTTTTGCGGCCCAAAATTTTTAGCCAGAGCCCGTCTCGACACGACTTCTATTTTAGGCCCGAGCCTGGCCCAAAATTTTAATTAAAAAGTATAAATTATAACGCATTTCTATTAAGTCAAATGAGGCTAAAAAACACTAATTTCTTTGTCCTTATGTCAATAATTATCGGCCTCCTATATAGCTCGATGGTTTTCAATTTATATAATTTAGCTAATTTTACAAAAATTCAGGTTATTAACATCTAAGAAAATTTTACACCTTAGGTATCACACGAAAGCAGAATTTAAATATCGACGGACTATAAAAAACATCATAAAACCGTATGATAAAATAAAGATAGTTAAAAATCCAAAGATCTCCAAAAATTCCCTATTTAGAGAAGAACGAATATTATGAAAAATTATCTTCGATCTAAATTATTTATATGCATTTTTTAAAAATATTTCAACAACTCTTTGAAAAGAGGAAAAGACTAAATTTGGTAAATAATCATATGATTTGTTAATAGCGTAGTAGTATTTAATCGTATATTTTGCGATAACGTTAATTTGGGTAATGTTAGGGAATAGGGTAATTCAACCGCAATCAGAAGCTTTTCATCTTGATTGTTTTCAAAGAACAATGATATTCCAAGACATTATGGAATTATGTAATGTTCATGTTAAATTTTATAGATGAGACCATAAAGGCCATATAAAAATATATATCTCATATGAATAAAGAATTAAATATGAATGTTCGAATTGTTAAAATAATTAGATCTAATATTCGAAATAATTATTAATATTATTTAATAAAATTTATTTGTCATCTCTATAGATAACCTATCAATCTGAAAGGTGATGTGATTAATAAAGTATACATTAACTGCTTGTGAAATGTTACCTGGAAGTAATGTTGTCAAAAAATCGCACGATTATAAAAAAAAGAAACAATAAGCTTTCTCTTAAAAATTGGCTTGGAATTAAAAATTAAATAGGCAATTTATATTGTTATCTTGATCGCATACAGTGTCTCAAACGGCTTGATTTGAGCCGATTTTTAAAAACGGCTAACTCAATATTTTTCAGAAAAATATTAGGCAAGTCTGTAGATTTTACTCATAGATGGCACAAGGGTTTAGACAGATCTCGAGACTTAGGCAATATTTTTCTAGATAGAATATTGAGTGAGCCCTTTTTAAAAATCAGTATTGAGCAGTTTAAACCAAACTAATCGCATATTATTTCTCATTAGGTTAATTTTTTTTCTATTTAAAATTAGAGAAAATATAAAAAAAAAATGATGTCAATATATTTTCTCATAAACTACTTTAAAATATTTTTAAAAAATAAATTATTTCAATAATTCGATAGAATAATAGTAAAATTTGATATTCGTGCGGATACGAATAGTAAATATTGCTACTAAAGCATTCGATTTGTATTCGTTTTTAAGTCGGCTTAGAATTGAGCGTCAATCTAAAACGATCAAAAAAGTTAATTAATAGCAATAAGATATGTACGCCATGAATGGGTTGAGTTGTAAAAATTTGTTAAAAAACCCGGGGGATATTTTTGCGCATACGAATTATACCAAAATAAAACTGTTATCCGTTCGAAAAAAACACTAAATTTATAAGAATAACAATTAATTACTACTATTGTAGATGGTTAATAACAACATGTTTTAATAAAAAAATTTAAAATAATATAAAAAGGTGTCTAAATATCTCGTCAAAAAACTTGTTTTTAATTATAATTATATAGTATAAATGGATTATATCTATGCTATTTGCTATGTTTTATATTTATAATCGATATTTTGCAAATTTATTATAACAATTATTTCAAATATCATATATATATATATACTTGCTTACAAGTGACATAACTATATTTAATATCTCTTTCTTTCTTTCTTTTTAACATCCATTATTTCAAGCTGTCCCTTAACAAAACTTAAAATAATGCTCACACTACCAAAGATGATGAATCCTACACCAAGGTATTATCTTTAAGGAAATTTAGAATCGATAATGATTCCCATCTACCAGCCACAGGCAATAAAGGAAATGGGATCCCCAATTGTTGCCCATTGCCTCACTCTATTAAGCCAGCAGGTCCCTTTTTTTCTTACCAGGACACTAATTCCTAAAAGGTATCACTTCTATAAACCTTCACTTGCAACTTACAAAAAATGAGCTAACATCTACCATTGATTTATCCGTCTCAATTGCCTAATTATCCAACCGTACATTTGTTCTGACTTTTATTTCTCCCGTTGACCACAACCTGCATGACCATTCTTGCAGAGGACGAATCTTGCGATACAATCAATGCAACGCCATTATATTAATTTTTATTTACCATTTATCTTTGAGTCATAAAAAAATCAATATTTTCTATTCAAAAAAAACTAACAAACCTTCAGGAAATGATTAATTGTATGTTTTTTATTCTCCAAAAGAAAATCATCTTATTTAAAATATGCGATTTCGCCTATTTTTAAAAAAAGACAAAATAAAGATTTAAGCCAACATATTATTATTATCAGAGACCTGCAGAGGTACCATTTGCACGGCCCGGCCAGAATTTTTTTTCAAAAATTTTTTGGCTCAGGTTTTATATTTTCAGGTCCGGCCCGGATATTTTTAAAGTACATTATATTTATTTTTAATTTATAGCTAATAATGGCGATTTAAAATATTTGGTTTAAAAATATACGGCCAGACCCGGGTATTTTTTTCAAAAAAAAATTTCAGGCCCGACTAGACCTGGGTATTTTAATAAAAAATTTTAGGCCTGGCGGTATATTTTAGAAAACTAAAATAGGGCCCGTCAGGCCGGACTTAAAGCCGGGCCTATAGGTCTCTCCCTTTGCCTATCTACTATCTGTGGATGAAATCTCTAACCAAGGGTAATTTTTTGGCTAAAATATTAAGTTAGCGCGTTTTTAAAAATCGATTAAATTCGCCGTTTAACAAAACTAGCTGAATGTAACTCGTTATTTTTAAATCCTGTTCTTGTTGCATATGAGGCTTTATATTTTTCTTTTTAAAAAAATTCATTTTTTAAACGTTATAAATATGAATTTTGGTTCGTTTTATGAATTTATTATTATTCTGAAATTATGTATGAAACTATATAATACAATAATAAATTAACCAAAAATAATAAAAGGATCGTTTTGAAAATATCAGAGCAGCACTAATTCCTGAAATGGGACTACACTTCTGTATCAATTCTTTAGCTCCTTCCAATCTAAAGCCTAACATCAGATCATAAAGAGCAATTTAAAATCAGCATCATAAATATCCAAATATGAAATTTTTAAACCAATCATCTCCACTACTCTAGCGATATATTATGGGTGGTCTCTCACTATCCCTCTCCGAAGAACTAGGCCCCGGGAAGGATTATATCTCAAGCAAAGGCTCCGTAAGCCATACACATGTTCGATCATATTAGCTTTATATGAAACCTACTTTCCAGAAACCTATTTAAATAGAATAATATTTTTTTTTATTACTTTTTAAATCTTTAATTTTTTTAAAACTTTTTTTTATATAAATAAATATTTCTAACTAAATTAATATTAATAAAAAACACTTTCCTAGGAATATTGTATTATATATTATAATTGCATATTATGTGTTATTAATTATATGGATATATCAGAAAAATTTTAATAGAGATAATTAACACGAATAATATAATATAAAAATAAGATAAATTAAAGACAAGAAAAGAATTGTGTAATCTTGTAACTTTCAAATTTTTCTCTATTAAACCTTATAAAAAAAAAGAGAACTTGTAAGGGTAAAATTTTATGCCTAGCCTAAATTTAGGATTTTAAATAATTATTTTTTTGTCATCTTAAATAATTTTGCTTGCATTATGTGGACTGTTTCAAAGAGAAATTGAAAAATGTGAGCAGTAGATAAATGTTGAATCACCCATTATATTATTTCCCAACATATTAATTCTTGTCCGGGTTTTGTAAAAATAAAATTATTTTAAGGTCCACCAGTTTATGGTTTTATAAATTTTTTATTTTTAAGTCTATCTTGGGTTTTTTATAGAATATAACATTTTATTGCCAGCCTTGTCGGGTTGGGGCCTGCAGGTCTGAAATTTTATTATAACTTTTTAAAAAAAATGAATTATAAAATGTAAAAGTAAAAGAAACATTTTAAATAGTTACCTTCTAATTGGGTGGTTTAGATATTTTTCCTCAATCTATTATCTTTATCGTCATTTTTATCATGTAGATTAACAAACAACTCAAACGCAACTGGAGGTTAATTAGCACTCATTTGTCATCAATCATCAATCATAAAAAAAAATTCACAACGTTAATATTATACCAAATTTATATATCAGTCAACCACCTTTAGATTGCCCTCAACTCCTTCAATCAGCTGACAGATTTGGTGGTCATGAATGGTTAGAATCACTCCCTAGTCATAACCTATGTAATCTCTTATCAGACGAACAATTGAAAGTTGCTATTGGTTTACGTCTAGATTGCGACATCGTACAGCTACATGCTTGTATTAAATGCAAATAGCCCGTTGATTCAAAGGGTAGGCATGGCATCAATTGTATTATTCAAAAAGCGCCACATACAATAAACCATGTATAAATCGAGGTTTAAGAGCCGCCCATATTCCAAACCATCTTGAGCCCTCAAATTTATATAAAATATATG